GCCTGGCCACAAAAACCGCATGCGGAATGCAGCCACAGGGCCACGGCCGCCGGCAGTCTGGAGTTGGGAGGGGCAGGAGGTCCTGGCGGTAGAAGGGCGGGAACTGCCAGGCAACACTTCGTTAAGACGGGGCCAACATCAACGCCAACGCCTGTGCCGGTTAAATAGATTTTCAATACTCTACTGGTTTGCTTCTTATTGTTTCTAGACTCGATTTGTTAAGAAATGAAATAAAGAATTCATAAAATAGCAGGAGTAATATATTTAAGCTTTAAATAGTTTAGATTAATGTTTTAATTTAATTAATATAATCTCCAAATCATTAAAGAACTACAAACCCAACCTTATTTTCTAAGAGGGTATCTGCAAAAACGCACCAAGAGTTTGCCCTTTTTTTTGGTTGCCATGTGCTCTCCTTCGCTTGGCTTTGATCTGCGGATGCTGAAGCCGGCAGTCAGTCTGTCAGTCGGGGAGTCCAACGAGCCAGCTTGGCAGTTTGGAAGTTCAGAGCCCAAAGGTAGCCACACGAGTCCCCCGGACAACTGCAGCAAATCGAAAATTGATTTTTGAGCAGAGTTCGGCTCGGCCAAGTTCGTTGCCTAAGTCTTTCGTTTGGGATGAGTCAAAGTACAGGCCATGAAATTCCCACATAAATTGCGCGCGTTGTCAAATTAAAAATGCCTAATGAGCTGGTCGGGCGGGGCTCCGAGGACCGGGGATCCATGCAAAAGAGCTGAAAAATGCATTAGAAGCAGCAGGGACCCTGGTCTTTGGCCCAGTGTTCCCCCTTTGGATAACCCCCTGCTTTTCGTGCTCCTGGCTTCAGTCAGCAGCGGCGGCGGCGAAACGTATCGTGTTACAAATCACGGCGGGGTGTGCGGGCGATCGCTGGTACAAGAACAAGTTTCAAGTGGAAATGCGTGTAGCGTGCAGCGTGCGAAACACTGCAGAACATGAACACGAGAGCCAAGGCGAAAGTCTGAGCTCTGGCGAGGATCCCTGATCCCTGCTTCTCTGGATGCTCTTGTACATGTCTAAAAATAGTTGGTGGGGGATCCAAGTTGGCATGAAAAATGGCAACACTTTTGCGCTCATAAAACCTATTTATATGCCAGGCCAAGCCAGCTACCTAAGTCTTTTTGTATTCGTATCCCCACAGATCCCATCCAATCCGATCCGACTCCACTGATATGCCCGCCCGTTTCCAGTGCAGTGTGCTCGAGCAGGCGCAGGCGCAAGCGCGTGAGATCGCCACGCAAGATCACAAGGCAGGCAGTCGCAGTCGCAGTCCCAATCTTTGGCAGGAAGACTGACCAAAGGAGCCAAGGGTCCCCTTCCCAGTCCAGTCCAGTTTGAAGACGGGACCACACAAATACAGGCACGCGTTCGCTGACAGAATAAAAATTGTTGCGCTTGTGTTTAACGCGCGAACGCGGCGATATCGCAGCAACCTCCAACAGCAACAGCAACAGCAGCTAAAGCAGCAGCAGCATCTTACCTTGTTTCAAACTGGCTGCCTGGACCTCGGTGGCTCAGGTTAAAGTGGCAGTGGTAAAGAGATGAGAAGAGCAGGGCATTAACACTGAGAGAAATGTAAAAATGTATTACTATACCATAATTATAAAACCATATCATAAACCATAGCCCTAATATGTTCTGTAAAGGACTTTGATTACAAAGCTTCTTAAAACCAATATAAAAATTGTCCTTTATTTTTACAGTGCAGAACAGGCAGCCTGGGCATTGTCGGCTTGCTTAGCTATCACTGAACGATTATCGTGCATTTTAAAATTCTTACGAGTTTCTGACTGCTGATGCTGCTCTGCCTTTACCTTTTATATTGCCCTTTTCTCTGCTGCTGCTGCTGCCTTTGTGTGGTGTGCAGTTGTTGTTGCTGGGTTGCTGGGCCAGATTGGAATCACGCATGGGAACCAAGCGCCTTGGCTTTGTCTTGTCTGCAGACTGCAAAAATATAAACGAAAAAAAAAAAAAAAACGGAAAGAAAGGACTCCGACTACACACAGAACCCACTAAGCCACACATAAAAATTGCGGCATTCCCATCAACAAATTAGGAAATGGATATAAGTATAATGAAACAGCCGAAAGGAGTCATGCTTTAAACACGATTTTATTAATCTTTCTTTTAAATAGTAATTTGTATTTATCAATTTGTTAATTGCATAGTTTACATGTAGTAACTCTCCTTAGCAAATGCCTATATAGAAACTCTAGCCATGGCTGCCTCGCTCGCGACCATTCGTACTCGATTATTGCCAATATATAGGATCATAAATATATATAGAGGTGTGTATACTCGGATTGAGGCAGATGCTTTTGTTGCTTTGTGGTCACCTTAGACAAACATTTGTTCTTTACTTGAAATACATAACTAAATTGCTACACAATTTTCTTGATAACACAGGCCGACAAAATAGAACTTTAATTTTAATCCACAATTAGTTTTACCTTCTCTATAACTGGTATCTCTTAGAACCAATGTTTATTCTTGACTTGCGTAACAGAGAAGGTGAAATTAATCATAGAGTTTTTGCTTTTGGCCTGTGTAATAATTTGATAATGCTATCGTAATGTTTCATAATTGTATATATATTTTCATAAATATTCAAATATTTGTATTCACTTCCTTTGCAGGGCATAACTAGTTACATAATTGATTTGTTAAGGTTGCATTGTCTACAATGTGGAAGGGTATCTTTAGAGTCGGAGTCTATTGTTGTCGCTTTGTCATTCGTTTCGGTTTGGTCGTTTCTCAAACCCTCAAAATACAACTAGTCGTCAAATTTTCTGATTTTGAGTCTGATTTAAACAGAATATATATCAATATTTAATTTAATTGCTAATATTTGCAACAACACACACAACATCTCGGAACAAAGCGAGTCACTACAGAAAAATAAAATTGTGAATCAAAAATGGAAAATACAGCCTCAAAATAAATTTTTATGATGTCCGGAGAAGGTAATTCTGATAAAAAATAAATTCGCATTTCATATTCCAGCTATTGATTACCGATAACAAGGTTTATATGCATAGCGAGAGCTTTATGACATCTGAGCCATATCAGTGCAGCGGTTTCAATATCTTTAGACTGGAAATTAAGTTCTATTATTTTTGGTGAGAGTACAGAAAAGTAAACAAAAATCATTGGAAATATTTTCATAGATATTCTATAATAGGTAAATAGTTCGTAGTATATTTGTTGTAATCCCTATGGCCTAGGCTAGGTAAAAGTTAACTTATGTAGAGCTGTCGAATTGCTTCGAAATTAGTTCAGCGTTTATGTCTAGTAAAAGTTTCAAATATTTTCTGGCTTAGTTCACTTAGGTCTTGACACACATTTGTATTATAATATTCTAGAAAAAAATTATTTCATTGAAATTTGTTTGATTCCACTTAGTTTCTGGTGTCTTTTGTTTTTCTCTTTCAGATTATTGAGTGTGTCTCCGTGTGGGCTTGGTTCGCACAAACTGCATAAATCCTTTAATTAATAATTTTTGTTTTTTTCTAAAATACAAGACTTTCAGTTACAAATTCCTCTGTCTCTGTATTGCGATTACATCATTAAAAAATTCCTGTTCGGTGTTCGGAGTTATCATGTTTTTGGTTTACTAATTTCGTTTAACCCTTTCGTTAAACAATTGATTACAGTTTACTAGAATTTGTTAATTAATTAGTTATTAACTAGATGAAACAATTGGTAGCAAATATTTGTTATTGTTCTAGAACTAGAGACGTAATGCCTTTGCTTTGAGTTGCTCTTTGTGAATCCTTAATGTGTGTCCATTTTGTTTCCAATTTATTTTATTTTTGGTTAACCAACCCTACTAAACTAGCTACTAATTCAATTTGATATTTTAGACATTTAATTTCTTGTTCATTACTTTGTGATTTTTGCTTGGTTTTCAATTATAACACCGTCCCAATTGCGCTCTAAAAACTCATTGAAATTGAAGGACATTATCTTTCCTCATTTAACAATTGAGAAGGTGCTACAACAAAGGTCTTATTTTAATAGTCTAAAACATTTAAACTCTTCCAATATTCAATGTACAGCGTGTACTTTTAAAATTCTCCCCCTTCGCCTGGTGTTTTGTTTTTAAAATGGAGCTGGAGCTTTTCGAATAGATTCTTCTTTATGTAGTAGTTGTGGTACATAAAATCAAGTTGGTTTATAATTGATTTTTCTTGCTGTTTGCTGTCGCGATCTTGCATTTATATATAAATATTTTTTTTTTGTATTTTCTTGCCCTTATTTTTCATATACTTCTGGATCACATATTCAAGTAGTTTCAAAATCACATAAAAATCACTCTTACAGTAGCGTATACAAAATACATGTGTCATCTATAAATATATATGTATGTACTGTACATATACATATTTGCTCTGGTTTTCTGCTTTGATTCTTCTCAGTTGAGATGGCGTGAAATGGATTTCTTGACATGTAAAATTGCTTTGCATTGGTTGATTTGGATTGATGATGGAGTCTCCATCCGTTAGTCGATAGGTAAGTAAAGATTTATAAAGTAAATGTTCAAACGGTGCCCCATCGTGGAGCGTCAGGGGTGTATATATAATATATATTCTGAGAGGTAAGTATGCACGTTAGATTGGTGTTGTTCACCCACTTTCATTTGCGACTCAACAGCTCCATTATTAAACCAATATTATCTCATTTAGTTTATCGTGATTTTTAGTATTTTTTATCATTTTGTTTTTGTATTTGTTGGTGTACACATTTGTCATAAACTATTAAAGCATTTTAATTCAACACACATTTATAGGTTTTTGTTTACATATATATTTTGTTGTATTGTATATCGTAATAGTTCTCCACTCCATCCTATTTCAATAAATGCCTCTGCAGTTGCATTTTCTTTAATTCATTCCCAAAACAGTCCCCGTTTTGATTACGTGTTCCATCAATTCAACTCAACTAGCCAACAGTATTCGTTATTCAACAGTTTCAATAGCTAATTGAATTGATTACATATTATAGCTTTATTTCTTTTATACACAAGAAAAATACAATTGTTTTGAAGACGGCTTCACATTATCTCTGGTTAACATTTTTCATTAAACTCTGTTCGTTTCGCTGTATCGAGTTACATTTATTGTTTACGCTTTCTAAATCACACTCATCAACTCTACGCTCAAATGCAGTTTTAATATATATAAATACCTATTCATTTCCTTTCGTTCTTGTACCTTCAGCCAAATGCTTGATTTCATATACCTTAAATACTACGCTCTGACATTAATGAATTTCTTTTTTTTTTATACAATTATTATTTTTTTTGTTTAATTTTTTATTTTTTTTCTTTTACTACTTTGGAAGCGTCCAGTTGAGAATATGCAAGTTAGATGAGAAAGTAAAATCAGCTGCAAAGTAAGTACTTAAAGCACTATTCAAATCACAAAGTAACCTAATGAGAGTATGAGAGTATACAAGTATGCAATTTTTGTGTCTCTGTAACGCCGAAATAAAATACATTCAACTTGTGTTTCACAAAACAAAATGAACATTACAGTAATAAAAAGCGTTGTCGCATTCAATTTAATTGTCCTTAATGACCTTTGTGCAGTTAAAATGTGAAAAACTAAAGACTAAGATTTATGATCTGTCAGTTGCAGTTTGACGCTTGTCTTGGCTTTTGAGTTTTGTTTTTGTTTTTGTTGGTTTTTTGCTTTTTCATAAGTTTTGAAACACACATACATATATATAAAATAGTTTTGAAAATCGGTTCATATAAAATCACTGGTGGTTTTTGTTTGTGGTATTTGTTGGCTGCTTTGTATGCGACAACTTGATTAATTTGTTGGTTACTATAAATTTGTTAATAGTCAATTGCTAAAAGTGTCTAGAAAAATTAATATATTATATATGTATCATATCATTCTAACAATTACAACTTGCAATTGGTTAGTTGCTTAATTTCTTAAGTAATACTAGTAAAAAGTACAATATGACTGAAAGTGTATCATATTTAAATACAAATATAAGAGTGGCTGCCGCAGAAAACCCTTGCAAGTATTAGACATTTATCGTTGCATACTTTTAGTCCCCTCGGGTAATGTTTTTGAATCTCCTTAAATTTTAGTTTGGAAGGAGTTTCTGCAGCAACCTTAATAGTGAGACAAAAATAATATATGTATGTATATATATAAAAAAAAATTGAGATATTGCAAATTCGTTTAGCTTGCTAAAATAATCGTCAGACGTACAAATTGAAACTTTCCTGTAAACAAAAGCGATACAAATTAAATTTAGAGATGCTAACTAATTCAATTAATAGTTTGTGCCTAGTAATTTCTAATATTCATGACAATAATTCGCATAGTGGAAATACATAAATTATATACGCTTCTGCGCCGCCATGTGGCTGCACACATCCGATCAAGAGTTTCATCTTTTAACTTAGGACTAAAGTTTGCTTTGTGTGTAACACATTGTCATGCTGTTCGCGGTATTGATCCTCAATCGAATCGATCCCCATAAACCACCTCTACTATCCGATTTTCAGCCAAAGGGCCACTTATGGTCCTGTTGCTGGTAAAACATATTCTAGGTGTGGGTGGTCATCACCGGCACCTGACAGTAGGGGCACTCGGTTACGGAGCCAGCGCATGTATTGCAGATGGACAGGTGATTGCACGGCTCCAGGGTGACAGTACGGTTGTTCTCCTCACACTTCATACACTTCTTGGCATTTTCTAAGTATAATACTTTGTCAACCTCCTCCAAATCAGTACGCAGCTTTGACTGAAAACGAAGATGGGTAATTACATAGACTTAAGCCTTAAATAAACGTCCAACTTTTTATACAAAACTTACCTGTAATTGCTTTAGTTTCTGTATGGACAAGTCCCTTAGCTCGGCCGGCAGATTCAGCTGTATCTGGGCTAGATCGTAGCGCTCCTTCCACTCCTGCGCCTCCTGCTTGGCCTTGTCGCGATGTAGCTCGGCAATCTTCAGTTTGCATGCGAGGTCCTCGTAACGCCCATTTAGCTTGTGGATCTGTGCATTTTTGGTCAGGATTTCATTGGTGATGCGTCCCAGGTCACTGTTGTTCTGCGACTGCAGCGACTGGAGGCTAAAAGCATTTTTGGCCGTATTCAGGGTGTTCTCAAACAAGCTGTTGCCCACAGAGCTGCTGTTGATATCGTCGCGAATGGTGTTCAATTCGGATATCCTGACCGATGGACTGATGGACAGACCATCGCCAAAGCCTGGTGAAATAATGCGCGATGGGAAGAAGAGGCTGCTGTCGTTCTGGGTGGCGGCCGAAAGGGAGTTGCTGAGCTTATTGGAGCCCCCATAGTTGAAAGCATCCACATTGAAGAGATTGGCGTGATTGGTTGGACTGTAGGTGAGCGAGCTGCTAGGAATGTTGACGGCGAAGCCACCTGAGTTGAAATCTAGGTAATTTGCATTATTAATTAGTTGGTTGGTAAACTTTTTCGCTTAATCACTTACCGTTAATTGAGTTACTTAGTGTCGTATTAGGAATGTTAATTGGCGCCGAGGAACGTGTTAATAAGCTAGTATTGGCCAGACTCGCCGACAATGAGTTCTCTTCCAATGAGCAAGCTGCTTGCAAGAAAATAAACAAAAAACCATTATTGATCTTTCATTAGCATTAGCGATGCGCTGACACTTTGTCCACAACCAATATTTGTAGTAGTGAATTCTAGATTTGCTATATCTGTGACCCAATACTCACAACGACTGTCCACGGGTCGTGAGAAACTTAAAAATTTGCTGGAATTCGTTGTGTTTCCCAAAGCATCTACCAACATTTTATTGGTACTACTACCATCAATGTTCAACTACGGCGACATCGAAACGAAAAGAAATCAAGGGAAGGCAATAAGAGTGGGCCAAAAGGTTCGATGAAGATGTAAGAAAGTTTTCTGATGGTGGTTATCTTAGCCTAAAGTGCATTGCAAATAGGCGAAGTGTTCTGCGTCTTGGATGAGTTTCTGAATTTTGTTTTTTTTTTAGCTATACGTACATTGTCACCCAAGTAAAGCACATCCGAGGCCTGGAGATCGGGCAAAGCATTGGAAATAAGTTCGCTTAATGCGAAATCGTGATCCCAGGTCTTTTCGGCCAGACTACAAGCTTTATGTTGGCGATGGATGGATGGATACCATGATTGGGTGAGGGCAAATGGAGCATCAAGTAAGATGCACATGATTCGGACAGACAGTTGATCAATGAAAGTAAATGGTTGGCGATTAAAAAACAAGAATCGTTAAGTTAGACACAATAAACATAAAACATAGAGCCCTCTCCTAACTGGTTGTGGAAAGCTCGGGAAACTGCCCTAGTTATAGTACAGAACTTACGTTCTACATGGGCAAAGGCGCAGAAGACACTGCGTGGACAGTAGCCGGCCTGCTGGACGTCGTTGCACTTGGTCGACTTGTAGATTTCCGGATGGAATTGCTGCTCGGTGCGTGTGTGGCAGTACTGGCAGTTGTCGCCGGCCTCGCAGTTTCCCGGCTCGCCCCACTCCTCGCCGTGCTTGACATTGGGGCATGGAGTGGACCTAGGACAAGGAAAGGATGGACTTTAGTTGCTTTTTCATTGTCTTCAAGGATAAATCTTACCTGTACTTATATTTCCTAGGCGAACGACGCTTGTCCTTGCTGTTGTGATACTGGGGACAGGCGTATCCCTGGCGGCAGAGGCGCGGTGGGCGCTTGCATGGCTCTGTCTTGTAGTTGGCCAGCACATAGTTGGTGTCCTGCCACTTCGGGTCCTCATTCATCAAATTGCGCTCCTTGTCCAAAGCATTGAGAGCATTGGTGCTGTCCAGGGTGATTTCGGCGTTTTGCAGGGTCTCCAGCTCTTTGATGTCGTAGACCGGTGGGCGCTGGTCCTGAATGCCGTGGGCGAAGGCGCAATGGAGCCCATTCTTGACGCAGTAACCGCGACTGTCCGTGTCGTGGACGCACATGCATGTTTTGTAGTAGCGTAAGTGATACCGGCGCTCTGTGTCTCCAGCAGTTCGGTGCAGGAATGGGCATCTGGTGGGGGAGGGGAGCAACAAAGTTTAGTGACGTCGCTAGCGAGGCTATAAATAGCCGCGAGGGCAGAGGGCAGAGGGCTGAGGGCACATGTTAAAAGTCTGGGTCATAAAATCAGCATTTTTTTCCCTCTTGAAGAAAGCGTAATTGCGTTTTACTTTTGGAGCTTTTCTTGAAAGCTTACTCGCCACACTAACTGTACATTTCAAAGCTGAAGTACCGGGGGAAAATCAAAATAAACGATGGAAACGAACGAAGTAAACACGCAAAAGCGAAACGCAATAAAAACAATGACGCACACACTTGTAGCTGTAAACGACAGTGCGTGTGTGTACACATTCCCGTTGTGCATGTATCGGTGAGAGCAACAACCACCACCAAGACGGATGCTGATTAGAATTTGCTAGCTCAATCGCTGCTATCACTTTCACTTTTCGCCCGTTTGTGGGCGGCGGTGACCTCGCCTACTCTCACACATACACACAAACACAAACACAGACGCACACGTTTCACTTTTACCCGCACCCAGGTTTTTGTTTGTAAACACGAAGCCAGATACACACAAAGAAGCGAAGCAAGAGCGCAAAGAGGAAACGAAAAAATACTACGTCGTTGCTTATTGTGTCTCATCCTCATCCTCCACAGACGCGTAATTTCACCAGGACCATGGGAATCACAGGATACTCACTCATCGCCTTCGGGACAGATGCCAGTGGTCTCGTCGTATTTGGTGCAATAATTATCAGCGCTATAGTTAAAGGTACCGTCGCGCTTTCTCACTGGCCGCCGACGCCGCTGGTTTTGAAAATGCCAATTGAAACAGACAAATGGTCTGTGCTGATTGCACTTGTGCTGCAGGAACGACGTGCACTGCTCCACGCGAAACTCCTTCAGGTAGCTGCCCAGGGAAAAACACTCAATTAAGCTAGCTGCTCAGATTCAGGGTTAAGGATGCTATTTACGTGTAATGGTTGGGCTTTTCCTGCTGCGATGAAAGCAGGAGTTTGCTCGAGTCGGCCATGTTTTGTAAATTTTTTTGTGTATAACTTCCTTCCATTTGGAAGAGTTCTTTGGCTACCACGGTATCCACGGTTTCGAATTTTAATGCCTCAGCAATTGTACGAACAAAAAATTTCAATTTAGTGTATTTAAGTGTATCTTGTGTTTTTGTGTTTGTAAAATAAATCGGCCATGTTGAATCAGTGTTGCCAGATGGTCCGATTTGATTTCCGCCCAAGCGCTGTAAGAAACCACTAAAAAATACCGATTTACTCCGTTAAATTTAAAAGTGCGTTAAATTTAAAATATAAAACGCCAAAACATTTATTTCCCCCCTAAACACAATTACTTTCACATTCTATAAAATGAATTTTGAAGGTAAATTGTCTGCTGTAAAAATACTCATATTGATGGATCAATTATATACTTTATAGACCATATACAAGATCATAACTGTAAAAAGATATAAAAAGGATCAAATTTGCTATATGTTTCGTGTTTTATCCAACATGAATATTTTTAAATCATTGTTGACGAAACTTATCTATTTGAAAAATTCACACAAAACAGTGTGACCAGTTGGGCGGGTCCCTCAAAATTCGAATTAATTATAAACAAGAGTGGCAGCTCTGTTCGCGAACCGGTTAAAGGGAAATCCGTTGAAAAGCTTTCGTGTCCTTTGAAATTTGAATGGAACACTGCAACTGATATAGATGAAACGATCCTTCACACTCAGCCCAGCTTTTAAAACAATCTGTTGACAAAATGCTATTAGGAGACTTCAAAACATAAGCTCAATAAACTAAGATTTAATTTGTAAAATACAAAATTTAGAAAGCTTTAAAGAGCAATCAATAAACCAAATAAACGACATATGTATTAAGATGCCTATGATAGATCAGATACGAGACTGGTAAAGCAATTACCAGTCCAAAGGTATTGGAATGAACGCATTTATCCTTTCCGTCTGACGCTGAGAAATGCACTCACTGATCCAGACTATATTCCGGCATTCCAACTGCTTAAGTCTGATGAAGGAGTAAAAGACCCCAAAATGAAACTGCTGCATATACGATTGCACATTCTTCTTGGCTTCAACCATGAGGAAGCGATCCTCCAGGGTGATCATTCCGTCGACGTCGCGTTCAATGTTGTCGAACATCTTGCCGTAGGTCACGAATGAATTGCAAATTTCCCGTATCCTTTCTGTATCAGGAGCGGTTGCCATTCCATGCAAGGCCGCTCGGGGCAGATACCCACAGCTGGGAAACATTCTCATGCGTTCGTCCGGTCTGAAATGGGAAAAGAAGTTACTGTATGTATATATTTTTTAAATCTTTCAAATAAGTCTCACCTCATATCGCTTTGCAGCGCATTTACGGCAATGGTAATGGACCTGCGGTCTGCCTCGAAGGCCAGCAGATCCGCCATCACAGTGGCGGTTGTACCACCCAGACTCATGCAATAGTTGTAAAAATGCTCCAAATAGTACCGATACAAGGTAGCCCTGACAACCTCCACATCATTAGAGAGCAGATTTTGACTGATCAGCTCCGGTGCAACAAACTTTGCGATGGGCGTATCGATCAAAACCATGTCGAAGAGCTCTGCCGAATTAGAGGCAACCTCGATGGCTGCCAAAGAGTCAAAGAATCCAAGAGGGTGGCACATCTTCAGCAGGCGTTTCATGGACTTCCGGTTGTTCAGGCCGGCTATCAACAAAGCCACATTGTCAATCATGTGTGGACAACGGATGTACTCCAAAAACGTAGTCAGGGGCTCCGTGGCATGTCCACGAATGTAGTTGTACTGCTGGAGAAGGCGATCCCTTAGGCTCACCTCAATAACATCGACGCTCGGATGGCTATCGCCCGTAAAGATATTGCCGTAGTCCGTGCCCTGAATGCTGATCATGACATCCTCCAGGGATTCGCATTGCACCAGGTTCAGATAGTCCGAATGCTTAAGCATTCCGTTCTTAAAGCCCCGCGTTATGGCCTCCAAGTAGCCCCATTCGGTATTGAAGTACATCGACATTTTAGAGCTGCTTTTGAAGATTCCAAATTTTTAGATTTTACTTTAGGCACAGTTGAATAGAACTGATTATTTTTTCGTGGCACTTCAAGATTGCTTTTATTTGATAAATGTTTGATGAAAAATGAAATTGATCGCTGTACATCACTGTAATAAGTTCCCATAGATTTGTCGATTTTCAAATGGATCCATTAGAAAAATTTGCAATAAACAAATTTAAAACGTTTTTGTGGGCTTTGATGCAGATATCGTTCCACAAATCGTTTAGGGTACTCCGTTCAATGATTGGATCAATATAGGCAGAGATATGGACATGGGTGTGCGCCATACAGGCCACCCCCTGCATTTCCCCATTTTCAAGGGAGTCCATGGGAAAAATGGACAAAAAATGAAATCGAAAATGGGTTCCCAGGTTTTGATGCAGTTTGGTAGAGAATCGATCCACAAATCGTTTAAGGTATTCCGTTCAATGATCGGATCAATATTGACAGAGATATGGACATCGCTGTGGGCCATATAGGCCGCCCCATGCATTTCCCCATTTTCAAGGGAGTCCATGGGAAAAATGGACAAAAAATGGAATCGAAAATGGGTTCCCAGGTTTTGATGCAGTTTGGTAGAGAATCGATCCACAAATCGTTTAAGGTATTCCGTTCAATGATCGGATCAATATTGACAGAGATATGGACATCGCTGTGGGCCATATAGGCCGCCCCATGCATTTCCCCGTTTTCAGGGGAGTCTATGGGAAAAATGGACAAAAAATGGAATCGAAAATGGGTTCCCAGGTTTTTATGCAGTTTGGTAGAGAATCGATCCACAAATCGTTTAAGGTATTCCGTTCAATGATCGGATCAATATTGACAGAGATATGGACATCGCTGTGGGCCATATAGGCCGCCCCATGCATTTCCCCATTTTCAAGGGAGTCCATGGGAAAAATGGACAAAAAATGGAATCGAAAATGGGTTCCCAGGTTTTGATGCAGTTTGGTAGAGAATCGATCTACAAATCGTTTAAGGTATTCCGTTCAATGATGGGATCAATATTGACAGAGATATGGACATCGCTGTGGGCCATATAGGCCGCCCCATGCTTTTCCCCATTTTCAAGGGAGACCATGGGAAAAATGGACAGAAAATGGAATCGAAAATGGGTTCCCAGGTTTTGATGCAGTTTGGTAGAGAATCGATCCACAAATCGTTTAAGGTATTCCGTTCAATGATCGGATCAATATTGACAGAGAAATGGACATCGCTGTGGGCCATATAGGCCGCCCCATGCATTTCCCCATTTTCAAGGGAGTCACATGGGAGAAATGGACAAAAAATGGAATCGAAAATGGGTTCCCATGTTTTGATGCAGTTTGGTAGAGAATCGATCCACAAATCGTTTAAGGTATTCCGTTCAATGATCGGATCAATATTGACAGAGAAATGGACATCGCTGTGGGCCATATAGGCCGCCCCATGCATTTCCCCATTTTCAAGGGAGTCACATGGGAAAAATTGACAAAAAATGGAATTGAAAATGGGTTCCCAGGTTTTGATGCAGTTTGGTAGAGAATCGATCCACAAATCGTTTAAGGTATTCCGTTCAATGATCGGATCAATATTGACAGAGAAATGGACATCGCTGTGGGCCATATAGGCCGCCCCATGCATTTCCCCATTTTCAAGGGAGTCACATGGGAGAAATGGACAAAAAATGGAATCGAAAATGGGTTCCCAGGTTTTGATGCAGTTTGGTAGAGAATCGATCCACAAATCGTTTAAGATATTCCGTTCAATGATCGGATCAATATTGACAGAGATATGGACATCGCTGTGGGCCATATAGGCCGCCCCATGCATTTCCCCATTTTCAAGGGAGTCACATGGGAAAAATTGACAAAAAATGGAATTGAAAATGGGTTCCCAGGTTTTGATGCAGTTTGGTAGAGAATCGATCCACAAATCGTTTAAGGTATTCCGTTCAATGATCGGATCAATATTGACAGAGAAATGGACATCGCTGTGGGCCATATAGGCCGCCCCATGCATTTCCCCATTTTCAAGGGAGTCACATGGGAGAAATGGACAAAAAATGGAATCGAAAATGGGTTCCCAGGTTTTGATGCAGTTTGGTAGAGAATCGATCTACAAATCGTTTAAGGTATTCCGTTCAATGATCGGATCAATATTGACAGAGATATGGACATCGCTGTGGGCCATATAGGCCGCCCCATGCATTTCCCCATTTTCAAGGGAGTCACATGGGAAAAATTGACAAAAAATGGAATTGAAAATGGGTTCCCAGGTTTTGATGCAGTTTGGTAGAGAATCGATCCACAAATCGTTTAAGGTATTCCGTTCAATGATCGGATCAATATTGACAGAGAAATGGACATCGCTGTGGGCCATATAGGCCGCCCCATGCATTTCCCCATTTTCAAGGGAGTCACATGGGAAAAATGGACAAAAAATGGAATCGAAAATGGGTTCCCAGGTTTTGATGCAGTTTGGTAGAGAATCGATCTACAAATCGTTTAAGGTATTCCGTTCAATGATCGGATCAATAGTGACAGAGATATGGAATCGCTGTGGGCCATATAGGCCGCCCCATGCATTTCCCCATTTTCAAGGGAGTCACATGGGAAAAATGGACAAAAAATGGAATCGAAAATGGGTTCCCAGGTTTTGATGCAGTTTGGTAGAGAATCGATCCACAAATCGTTAAAGGTATTCCGTTCAATGATCGGATCAATATTGACAGAGATATGGACATCGCTGTGGGCCATATAGGCCGCCCCATGCTTTTCCCCATTTTCAAGGGAGTCCATGGGAAAAATGGACAAAAAATGGAATCGAAAATGGGCTCCCAGGTTTTGGTGCAGTTTGGTAGAGAATCGATCCACAAATCGTTAAAGGTATTCCGTTCAATGATCGGATCAATATTGGCAGAGATATGGACATCGCTGTGGGCCATATAGGCCGCCCCATGCATTTCCCCATTTTCAAGGGAGTCCATGGGAAAAATGGACAAAAAATGGAATCGAAAATGGGTTCCCAGGTTTTGATGCAGTTTGGTAGAGAATCGATCCACAAATCGTTTAAGGTATTCCGTTTAATTATCGGATCAATATTGACAGAGATATGGACATCGCTGTGGGCCATATAGACCGCCCCATGCATTTCCCCATTTTCAAGGGAGTCCATGGGAAAAATGGACAAAAAATTGAACCAAAAATGGGTTTCAAGGTTTTGGTGCAGTTTGTTCAATATTGGTAGAGATATGGGTATCCCTTGAATTTCCCCATTTTCAAGGGAGTCCCTGGGGAAAAATGAACAAGGTCGAATTTTTTTAGGAAAGCGGGCTCTAGCGGTAGTAAGCACAATCGTGGGTTTCAAATGATAAGGCAGCTTTGAAAACGGTCTGTTGATTTGAAGCAGAAACAAGAAACGGTTTGGGTATTTTTAATTTGTAAGAAATTTTTAAGATTTAACTTTTATTTATATTTGCAGTACTAAAAACTAAATAGTTTAAATAAACTATTCTCTCATTTCATCAGCGATTTTCGCACATGCGCCTGCCGAGATGCTGGAAGAGATGACGGCGACCTGTTGCTCGGATTTTTGTTTACTGTGGCTGCTTGTTTATTCAGTCAGATGGCTGCTCTCGAGCCGACAGCAGTATTACAGCAAATTGTAATAAAAGGTGTTGCCGTTTCATCCAGAACAAACAAACACGTCAATTTGAATGACATTAGTCCAAAGAAATTAAAATGTGTTTGAAAAAAGCGACGCTCTTTGTCGTCTCGTGTGTGAAGCATAAATTCTGAAATAAAATAACAATGCCAACATGTTAATTAAATAATTATTGCCACCAATGCGTTTAATTGCCCATCTCAAGAGTGTCAATGTGGACAAGGGAAAAGCCTTCGACTAAGTTGACATCGACCTGAAAAAATATTTCCTGCCAGTTTAATCTGAAATAAAAGTGAGAAGAGACCTTACCAATGATGGTATGTATATTCCTACTATTTTCATAATTTTATATTTTAAAGAACTATTTATTATTGCAAAATCTTTGTAATGTTCAGGCTATTTTCTCAACACTTGCCACCTGTCTAAGCCTCTTGATTCCACACAGGTCAAAATGAAAAGCTCTTTAAAGATGGCCAATAAATAATTTAATTGTCTTGTCAGGGGCTCGTCAATCTCATAAACTTTTCCATGCGGAATGTCTTAGGACAACGACATTCTTTGTTCCCCCAGCTTATATCTCCGGGACAGATACCTATAAATGTTTATTTATTTTTTTTGTTTTTTGGGTAATGACATTTGAAAAGCGTTTGCACGAAAACCTGTTGTGTGGGATGTGTTGTTGTTCCCGTTGCCCAAAACATTTCCACGGAAGCAAATAGGGGAAATGCGCTACCCAAATGGCTGAGAATTTTAGGAAATGTATTTAGCGTAAATACCATTTAGGGGGGTTTACGATTTGGGGATTTCCGATGTTCCTTGTAATAGTTGGATGATAATAAAGCTATTTTTACAAGTTACTGGCATAGAAATATCATTAAAATGATAAATCACAAATAAATATAAACTTATTGATTATCTTTGCCACCTTTAGTCGTCGAGTTCTTGGCGTAGGTGGCTCTATAGATATAAATCCCAACTGCTGTATGGACGGCAAGCACCGTGGAAATGGCCGAAATGACGTCCGCATCCATGTGCTCGAAGCTGGTCAGGACCACGAACTTGAGGGCGAAAAAGGTGGCGATGGGGAAGCCAATGATCAGGGAACAGTAGGACATCAGCAGCAGGACGATCAGGATGGGTCCATGCTTCTGGGCCTGGGGTGGAACCCATTCGGCCCACACTTCCAGGGTTTCCATGCGCGAGAACTCCTGCACGAAGATCAGTCGCAGTGTATATCCTGCGATCAGGACATGCATCACAATGACAGTGGCCACAGCCGATCCTATGGCTGCATTCGAATTGTCGATCCCCACAAACGGGGCCAATAGCGCAAACTTGAAGATGAAAAATAGCACAACAGGACATAAGAAGAACACGGTCAGGAAGATAATGAGGTCCTGCATTCGACGCAAAAAGGCGTCGACTCTACTTTCCTAAGGGATATACAAAATTTAATATTAAATACAGTTTCTCGTTAACCCACCTTGATATCTGAAGCCTTCTCGATGTTGGTCAGATCTCGAGAGCAATAGGTTTCCTCCTCACTCTTGGCTGCATCCCCGCTGGGATAATTTTTCCTCTGCTTGGGCAACATTTTAGGGAAATAAATAGGTTTCTTCTATACGTAGCTGACGTTTAGGAGACAGTCACCTTTGATTACTTTGTAGGGTATTCCTTGTTTCTCCTGGTTATCCGACCCCCAAAAGGCGCCACAAATCTGCAGCCATATTGGGGAATTAGGGTATTAACAAACATCCAATTTTAGAAGCGCATAAAGATTGTCGGGCCGCGAGGCAGAAATAACTGGTCCCGTGACCACACGCGACATAACCGTATAGTAATTAGTCTTAACCGCCCCAGTAGCCAGAAAAAGAACTCCTCCAGATTAGATAGGTCGGAGCAATTAGTCGGGGGCCTGAGGAATCCGGGAGACCTCTGGCCTATCTGTCCGATAAAGTCCTCAAATCAACGTCGTGATTTTTATGGCCTGCACTTGACTCTCAAAATTCATGCTTTTCCAAAAATTTATAGCCAAAGATTATTTTTGGGTCTGTACTCTGGTCACCTGACTCTGCGGGCCGAGCGGGTGTTTCCCCGATAAAATTATTAGTAGGTATTACTAAGTTTTAAATCATTTCAGGATTGTCATTCTGAGGTTTGTTGTCAGATTTCCATAAATTACATTGCAGACTAATTTGAGGTTCAAAACGTAATTTTAAAATTTAGTCCAATGAGTAATAAGTTCACTTAGTGTATACATCTAAGCTTTAGATTCTAAGAACAAACCTAAAAAAACAATACTGATAAGCTCTGGGGTTTCGGAATATTCGGGCATTACTCATACGCACTGGTGGCCCAGTCTGAAGCATTTATTTCCGAAACATGCAAATTTCTCTAATCAAATTATTATCGTAAACCTACCCTCAATGGGGCAATTGAGTCTGGAGGGTGGGCTATAAATACTTTTGGGGCCGATAACGAGTCCATAGCCATATTTGTGTTTTTAATTTGTATTGTTGTTTTTATGGTTATCCGATCAGTTTGGCTCGGTGGGGTTCCGTTGCTGGGTCGAAAATAGAATGGATCTTGTTCTAGCCGTTCTTTATGGTCTGCCAGAGATTTGGCCAGCAGCCAGTCGGATGGGGAAAGCATGAAAATAATGAGAATTATGCCAAGTTCACAAATGAACCGGGTCAGCATCCAACACTCTAGCGACAGGTTGACAAGTGGGCTTCGGATAGCTCATTAGTCCGATTCCGTTTGCGAGTCCATGCAAATTGTATGACAGCTAATGGCGAAACTATTTGCAATTCCGATGCCCCCAGCGGGACCCTCATCTTCCGCTCCCATTCAGAGTGTCCTTGAACCAGTGGAGCTGCAGCGTCACTTATTCATGCATTTTCCGGCTACTTATATTTACTATTTCCGTATGCATACATGGGGTATCCAGGAGGGACAATTATGGTAATTGCCTTGTCTGGCCATCCGCTTCCCGATGGCGTCTGTTTGTTTGCCATCAACCCGACCACCCACCAATTCTGACCTTGAATGCAGTTTCCCACCCAGCGTCCCCTCCGTCTCCTGTTAACCTTGACAAACACGTTGACCGCCACTCCAGAGTTGACCAAGTTTTATTGGTTTCCCTCGAGTGTGTGCAGTGGAAACTTTTTTCTTCAAGAGGACCTGGGACTTGGTGCATTGGCATCAGTCCTTTGTGGCCATCGATTACCAATTAAACGTCGCTGTTGCTTGAAGCCTCTCAGGGAATCACTTAAATGCCCTGCCAACTGTTGATACAGTAATTCAGTTCTCGGTAGTGACGGCCCTTACATCCATTATCCGATTTGCATACACAGGGATTGTTTTCCATGGGATTTAAAGCGAATCCATCGCGACGGTCAGAGACACTAGGGAAAGTTTAACGCACCCCCAGATACATGCGTATCTGTGTCTGTGTCCTGGGAGTGTTGGCCCAGGTCGGTTACATCAATCCCCCAGCAATCAACATGAATTTATTGCCCATCTAAGAGCGCTCAACTTTGAACTGAAACCGGCTGTAAACTATTTGCTGACCTTTGGCCTGAACCTAAAACCTAAAATACATTTTATCCCAGACTCTCGCTATTTTTTGGGTGACATGTGATGGATGATTGCCATTGTTCTCCGGGGCATGGGGTCACTGTGGGCCATAAAACACCAGGATAGATGGACATCCTAATGAGCGTCTTAATGAGGACTTCCTATGACGACAAGCTGGGAAAATAAAAGAAGCCAGCACATAGATTAGATAAATTAATTAAACAGTAGCTGTCAGTAAGCTGATTCCACTTCCTTTCGGGCTACATGTACACTTCTTATGTCCAATGGATTTGGCACGAATAGTCTGGGCCAAATTAAACATCTCTAGTCCAACTCAAATGTCAGTTATGCTTTCTTAAAACCAATAGCAATGTCAGAAAAGATAAGTCAATGTCAACTGTCATAAATTAGTTGCTTGCACTTGTTGCAAATATTTGCACGAAAACTGGCGAGTCGGCGGCTGAGTCAACAAGAGTCATGCGCCACAGCTAAGCGGTAGGAAGACTCAGATACCGATTCAGATACGGATACCGCTCCAGATATCTGGATAAATATCTACATATACGTAAATGCCAGCAAAAAGTCCGACGACAAGCACGAGTCAGAATTTATGTTGGTCAAAAGAGCAAATGTTTAAAATGTAATTGTTGATACATTTCCTGATTTTAATCCTTGTATCCATTTCAGGGAATATAGTATACAGAGTAGCTTACATTTTCTTCTCATAATTAGAAGGCTGGATCATATTTCTTTGGGCTGATAAGTGTATTAACTTTAAAGTGACCGCTAAGTCACAAGGGGAGACACACTCCAGATAAGCTTGGATTAGGGGATTTCGTTTGAATACCCTCATGAATCTAATTGGGGCTATTCAACCACAGATTGCACCTGGTAATTGCTAATTAGCCGACGTCAATCAATATCAGCGGCTATCAACAGGAAAGACTTAAGACTATCAAGTGCCAATTTGCTTAAAATTCCCCACGATAATAAATGAAATCTCTATATATTAGCTGAACACAATTGCTTAGAGTATCAGAATATATTCCGAATTTCAGAATATATTCCTGATGGATGTTCCATCATTTTTCAAAGGACTGGTTCACTCTAGCTTTGTTGGCTGATTAGCTTTGTCAACTGACTTTTGTTTGGCCAAGAAATCTCCACCTCGAGACCAAGGACTCTATATTAGAGAATGTATATTTAGATCTGAAGGAGCCTTGCAGCTGGGGCACGTACTGCTTGCAGAAGGATTTTAGTTGAGGCTTTTGTGGCTTCTGGCTTCTAGGTCACTTCGGACCAGGTAAGGCATGCAAATGCCACTGGGATGACCAACTTTTGAGCACCGTGGCCATGCAATGTATCGAGTTCAATGTCCGAGGAGAGGTCATCGAAGGACGTCAGCAAAGGACCCAGTTGGGCATCCTCGGCACGCAATGACATTGACGCGTGCTGGCTAAGCCGGCGGCTCAGGCTGGAGGCACCTGGTGTGGCACCTTCCACCTGATGGCTGATCCATCGTACGTGCCCGTACTTATTTATTGGCCAGTGGTGGTGCCAATTCATACCACTTGTTAGCCAAGGCCGGAATTCAACTGCAGTCTGGCTAAAAATAGCCACAGTCCCCGCAACTAGGTCGCAGAAAGTATGCAGCCCATTGCCATTAAAAGTAAATTATAGAAATTCACAAGCCACTTGAGGGGCTGCAGCAAGTCGCAGGGAAATCTGTCGAGGATTACTTTAAATTCAAGTGGCAAGCGGCAGGTAAGATGTATTCCGTGCCCCATTGAGCGGGCTTACAATACCGTGAAGCACAAGCACGTGTGGCATAACTCCCCCCGTGTAGCAGCCACGTGTGTTTTAATTCGCCAGATAGCTCCCCTGTTCTAAGCTTGAAGCTTGTTTTTGTTACAGAATCGACCTTGATGGAAAGGATATAAATATTAATTCAAGTGTTTAAAACCAGAAAATCGAGGGGAATTGAGCTTGGAATTCCTAATTGGAACACTTGAAAGTGGTTCACTCGTGTAAGAGCACACGATAAATGCTCCGGCACGCACACGAAACTAATTCCCCAGCTTAGGGAGGGTCTACGAGGTTTAGGGGGGAACTGTTCCCTTTATTTGCAATTATATAACAAGATTTATATCTTTGACAATTGAGCATTTACTCGCCGCAATCTGTCAGCGATTGGACAGGCCAGTAATAGGCACGAATGTGTGGGATTCCGGGACCTGGTACATACTCTATATATAGACGAATAAATGTGCTGAAAATCGGGGTAAATAATATATCCGCGAATTGACGTCAGAGGAAAGTGGCAAGTGCAACGAAACTATAATATTTGTTTTCGGAATTGGAAACCGCTTTTTGTATCTCCATAGCACGTGCCATGATTATTCAAAATCGCCGCAAATCAAATACTATGGGTATTAAGCAGAACCCACCTATTAGAATACATTTTCCGAAATTGAAAACGTGATGCTCGGGACACCTATTCAATTACACGTTTACCCTAATGGCGCTGCATTACCGGCAACACTTTGCACCCCCAACTGCCGTCTATTGTAGTGGGCCAACTGAATAGAAAATGAATCACTTGGCTATTTCCACTTAGTTTTTATTCAAAAAGTACAGAGGAGAGCATGTGACACCTTCCACTTTGCGGTGATTGTGTTTGCATTCGCTTTACAAAGAGCTGCTTTACAATTGTCGAGGGTTCAGGGGGTAAACAACAAGTTACAAGCCCAGAGATATACGCTTGGAAACAGTAGAGACAATTTCATTATAATATTAGGTGATTTAGTATACAATACCCCGTACTTTTCAACCCTTTATTAGACTAACAGCTAGACTAGTAATCTAAGATGTAACTCTAATATCTTAAGACCATGTCTTGGGAGTGCTCACAAAAGTGAGGAGGAAAGGCGGCTTAGTGCCAGAGCACACTGACAGATTTACGATCCAAAGTGGGGGCGACACTATCTGGCTGTATCACCCGGCAATATATCACCACGAACTCCGCCCGGAGGGGTTAACCTGCCACCCAGCCAGACCATTGTATATTAGGGCTGTCAATTGACGATTTTTCTGACTCCTGATGGACTGTCAACCAGGCCGTAGACTCCAGGGCTTTAAGGATTTGTCTCACCTGTTACGCTTTCTCCGGCAGAGCTCCGCTGCCGGCGATCACATGGCGCCACCATCTGTAGTTAGTCAGCCCCGGCAACGGCACCGGCAGCGCGGCAACTGCTACGCCGGCGACCTTATGACAGATTTGGCAATGCTGTAAAGCAGGCAGAAAAAAAACAAAAACAAATACAACAAAATCACGGAGGCAACAACAACGGCCAAATACAAACAAGCCGAGTGGAGCCGAAGTCGCCTCGTTTTGGCCAACTCGATAAAAATGTATGTGCGCTAGATGACGCTACCGGTCGGGTTGAATGTTGTTACTGTGGGGGCTGCTGCTGCTCCGACTGCTCCCGCTGCTCCGGCTGCTTTGGCTGCTGCTCCGACTGGTGCTGCGGCAGCGTTGGCTGCTCACTTTTGGATAATAAAACAGGCAACGCGCACTCGAGCGCCAAGTCAATTTGCGAACACCGCTCGTTCGCAACGGAGGCGCAAAAACAAAAGAATCCCAAACACACAAAAAAGGCCACCAACAACAGGCGCCAGCGGGCAACGGTAATAGGGTCCACCCCCCAAAAGCCAACCCACCTCCCCCAGCCACCCACTCGCGTCCGCTCCGCCCGGCACTGGTTGTTCCCACGTTGTGCGCGTGCGTACGCTGGCAGAGAAAGAGCCAAAATCAAAATAAACCGCCAGTCGACGGTCGGCAGTCTCCAATTCGTCTCGTCCCCAGCAGGTCCACTTTGGAAATCGCGCGGTTTGCTGTTCAAAAATAAAATCGAGCATTTACGTAAAGTTCGCGAAAATTGTGAATTCGACAGGGGAACTGTCCTCCGAAATCAAAACAATACATCCATCTGCTAGTTCCGAACTGTGTGGGTGAAGTTTCAGTAAAATAAAATAAAATTAGTTTTTTTTTATTGTAGAGAAAATTAATTTTACGTATTTTCTATTTTAAGAGAAAACGTTTTCGAAGCGCCACTTCTTTGCTATTGTTTTTCGGGTTTCCCGTTTATGGTCTCTGGCTTGACGAGAACCTGAAAATAAAACGTTGACGGCATTTAATTTGCATACCGAAAACTAATATAATCAAGCTACAAAATATGAAATTATGGAAATATTCCAACAAAAACATACAGCCAGCCATACAGAAATTATTGTTCATACATTTTATGATCGTAAGCCTCCCGCTGTCGTGAACTTTATAAACAATTTAAAAATATATGGCCAGTGTCTAGGACGAGGCAGTGAATATTCTGAAAATGTTTATTTAATCAAAAATATTAAATGCAAAATTTGGTTTGAGAAATAGAAGGGGCAGTTGGAGAAATTTTGATCAAAGCAGCAGGATATCAGATTCGGGCTGAATCATCCAACAAATTAGGTTGCCGTTTTCAAAAAATTATAATTTCCAAGTGATAAGTGGCGGCTAATATATCTAGACACCAAAACCTGAATAAAAGTTATAAAAAATAGACGATATTACGAAAAATTTTCCCAAATACCGCTTTTATTCAGTTTCGGGTTCCCAGTCGAGACAAGCACCAGACAGGCCAAAAAGGCCAGAATGACGGCCGTAAAGGCAGCTAACCGCAAGTTCGCGAAGAAGAATCCACGAATTGCTAATCACAAACATTTAAAAGTATGTTAAGTGTGTTAAACGCGTTTATGGCGGGAAGATGAAAAGTGTGAACTACTTATTAATAAGATGTGGGCGTTACGGCAACGTCCAGGCGTGCACCCAGATGTTGGACATTCGTCCAGTATAAATATAAAGTGTGAGGTCTAATCGCCATTTGTGTCTGTTCTGTTCCGATTTGGTTGCAGAGAACAACGTGGCTGAGAGCAACGACAACGAACCATCCATGATTGGCTCGCACGGTCCCAGACTGCAAAAGAAACGCGCCCTCAACAGCTACTCCAATTTTCCCTTATAACGACTACCCCCCCCTCTGAGATATACCAAAAAACTACCATTATAATTAGCTGTTAACTAGTCAATGCCAAAAATGATAGTCGACAAGACGGACTCGGTGGGCGAGAATGCCTGGGCCAAGCTGCTGCCCGAGGAGAAGGACAAGAAGAGCGCCCCCGTCATTGTGAAGATGGGCGGCGGCAACAACAACGACTCCAAGGAGACCACCCCGCTCAATGTGGACCAACTGGTGGCCGCCACAACCCCGGGTGCCGGCTCGGAGCAGGGCGGGCCAGCGAGCGCCCTGGAGGATACCTACAAGCGCACCGCCACCTACGCCTCGAACATCAACAGCACCGGCGGCGAGTCGAGCGGGAGCGGGACGCAGCTCTCCCGTAAGGAGTCCCTGCTGGGCAGCTTCCATCGCCAGATCCGTCGATCCATCAAGGCGGTTAGCGAATCGCCTGGACCACTTACCAGGTGAGTGCTCAAAGGTCAACGTGGCGTATGAGTAATATTTAATTGCGCTGCCAGCCAACAAGATAGTTTCTTTCATGCTTATAGGTAGTAACGAGTTAATGATATAAGCAGCAATAACATTATTTATTCAATAGAGAGTCTATATTAGCGAACCAATAGCCAGCAGTTTCTGAGACAATATCGATTGTTAGGTCCACAAAGTAGCTTCTTAGATAAACCTTAGTGGGGGCTTGTTGACATTTTTTAGCTAATTCCGCATTGTGTTTTAAAAAGAAAGAATTTCTATAAATAGGGGTAGCTTATATAAGACTAGACATTCCCTAAGATGAGCAAATCAGTACTTCTTCAGAATAATTCTTGTCAAAATATATTGTCTGTAACTAAAATAATAAGCCATATTTCCGTTTCTTATTTAAAGAAAATGCTAATTCTATAATTTTAAGTGCATTGTGCAACAGTTTCCAAGAACTTGTAGTCGTCAAGTATGAGCATAGCCACTTATTCGAGCCCACACGTCTTCGTTGGTAAACAAACTGAGAATTCTTGGGATTTGTTTCTGATTCAAACGTGTCCCAGTCCATTGATATTTGCAATTTTTGATATGCAAATGAAGGTGACGTCGGTTGGTCAGTTGGACAGTCGGCTGTTTAGATACCATATGAGTTCTCATACTAAGAACGAGAACTAGAACGAGTCCGCGTCCGAGTCCGAGTCAGTGGAGCGAGATAAACCTTTTGAGTTGATTGCCTGAAATGACAAAATTGAATTATTTTGATTTGAGCGCCGTCAGTGGGTGGACAATTAAATATTATTTCCGGCTGTTGCTCTCCAGCTCAGCGGGTCAGCTTTCGGATATATACAGATACAGATACTGATTCTGATTCTGGTTCTAAGCTGACTTAATTAGGAATAGAGTAGAGTCAGACGTGGACTCGGGTAGAGTGCCCAAATGAACGCCCCTGACATTACGCGTATGTGTTTACCGAGCACTAGTGCTGGCTATATGGTAAACAGCTCCACACTGTTTATGAGAACATTTCGCCAGGTTCTGAGGCTCGAGATCAACGACTCGCACCAGCACCTGCTCCTGCCTTGACATAAATTTGCATAATGCCATAATGCACATGATCTCGGGGCTCCTCGAGTGCTGCGATCGCGATTTGGCAGTTCACAGAGCCCATAAGTTAATTAAAAACGTGTTAACTGCTCGCCCGCCGCTTCGACAAATTTGGCTTTTTGGCTTTGGTCCAAAAGCCAGCCCAGAGGGGATTTCCTATGTGGATGCTGAGAACTATTACCGCTTCTCGTTCGGTTTAAATTTAGGTCTTGAATGGTTTCGATGCCTGCAGGCGCGCTGTCGATCGACACACTTTCTTCGTCTGGGGGCACACGGTGCGTATGATTGATTTCGGTACTCTCATTTCCGCCGGCCAATTGATTTGGCCAATATTTGCTACTTGGCTCGGATCGATCGTGCTAGCCCCACTCGAGTCTGTCCGCATGATTACTCACGATTCGAGCGATTCAGGGAAATTAATTATTTTTATTGTGATAGATTCACTCGATAATTCCGCCCCTTTGATTACGACTGCGACTGGGACTAGTGAGGGCGAAGATCCGAGCAAGCAATTATCGATCTGATGACAGGCCTCCTTAATGGCTTTATAACCAGTTGTAAATATTAAGCTAATAGTTCTGCGAGCGCGTGTTACCTATTAATGATTTGTAATATTTAATAAACAATAATAAAAAAATCAAGTGTAATTAGGAAACCCAGGACTGGACATTTTTTTTGGTCACAAGACATTTTATTTTTAGGCTGCAGCATTTCAAAGATGTAAGCCCTTGATCCCAGCCACTAGTGATAGATTGATCCATCCATTGACTTGCGGCCATGTGTCCATCATGTGATTGTAGAATGGTTGGAAATAGAACCACTAGAACCTCGAACCTGCTCGTGTGCAAACCCACTCCCACTGATAACTGCAAAAGTGTGGAGTAGCAGAGCGATTGAAACAAGGCTATAAATTCTTAAAAAATGCACAAAGCCTTTGGAATAGAACGTAGTACCATTAGGATGTGTCTCGAGAGGATCATGTGACCCAGTTACGATTATGCAGATACTTCGACGGAGGTCCGTTAATCACCTAACGAATCGTGATGGAATTCGATTGGCCACTAAATAGACGTGCCCGATTTGATTATCGCACTTCGTGGCTGGTATATATCTATAAAGATTGGCATGCGGACCAGGGGCTACATCACTTGTTGTAGCACTAACTGCAGTTATAAACTGACTTTTATTGTCGCTAATTGGCGAAAATCTTGAAACTTGATTTCTGTCTGTGGAACGATGGTCTTTTGTCTCTGGATGTGGAATGCCAGCGGATTTATTGAAACGATTGGGGCTGTCAGGGAATGTAACTGTTTATAAGGCGGCCATTAAAGGCCTTGATTTAAGGGCGAATTAAGGAGCTTCCTGTTAACCTCTCCCTGCCCGCTCTCTCTCTCGTTTTTTAATCGCTGAGGAATGAGCTGAAATTATCAGCTGTTGTATTTTATGCTTGAAAGTGTTTGTTTTTTAGTGTTTGTACTAACTTTAGGTGTATGTGTGTGTTGGCTACACGTTGTTGTCACTCGGTGTTTGCTTTTTTCTCTGCTGCCTCGGCTGTCGCCTCTGCTGTTGCCTCTGCTTGTGCTGTTGCTGCTGCTGCTGCTATCGCGTCTTCCACTTTTAAACTCAAAATAATAAAAAGCAACAAAGCTGTCAACCGCGCATTTCAGTTTGAGTTCAGCCGTCTTCGCAGAAAGTTATACACCTGCGCCGCCGTGTGCTGCTCTCCGCCGTTCTCCGGGTCTCTCTCGAGTGCTCGCCGCTCTCCCGCGTGGCAAGATCCCCGATCCATCCATCCAACCATCCATCCCCGAGTGCTATTAAAGCACAACTCTGTGCCACACGCTGTTCAATGTGGATCGTTCCCCGCTAGACACGCGACGTGCAACACTCAGTCCTGTGGCTTATTGTTGCCTGAATTTTTAACCAAAACCCGTGTTTGATTGCCACTCTCGGCAGTGTTTGTCGTAAAAATAATGCGCGCTTTTGTTTATTTCAAAATAAAAACCATTTTTGCCTTTCCCACCACTAAAAGAACGCATTTGTGATAAAGCTCCGAAGCAAATAATCAGCGGAGGCAATTTAATATTGAATATAAATCAAGAAGTTTGCTGGTGTTTCGCGAGTCGCAGTAAACCACAACAACAACAACAACAACCGAAACCTGCCTCACAGTACACACTCACACCACTACGCACTTCTAGATACATTTGTATCTGAAGCGATAACGTCACCGGTTCCCCCAAGTACAGTATTAAAGTTAATCCAAAAAGTGCTCGAATCTTTCGTTTCCTCCGCTCTATCCCGCAAAATTATTATACATCAGCATAAATTATAAATAATAATAATAACAACAACAACTGAGGCCAAGGCTGACGTCCGAGAGCTTTGTGGAGGAGCCGTCAACATTTGTGGTGCTGCCAACGCTGCCGCCACTGCCGCCGCTGTTGCCGCCGTTGCCGTTACATCTCAGTTGTCGCATAAAACCAAACAGAGAGCGACAAACCGAAACAGAAACTGAACAGCAATTTACATAGTTATACAACGCAGCGCGTGCCTCGAGTGCAAAAAATAGAAATTATACCAAAAACCCCACCGAATCCCATTCCGAAGCTCCCACTACTGCTACCAATTCCAAATTGTCCAAAATGAAGCGCTTGATGACCTGGGAGCGCGATCTTGTGGATGCCATGTACGAGTAAGTGGCAAACACACAAACACACACACACTACACACACTATACACTCCAGATACCCCCTGTTGTTGCTGTTTGTCTGTGTGTTGGCTAAACGATTCATTTATCACCTGTAGCCGTAAGTGTCTGGACGGGTTTCCAGTTGCATTGTTCCACCCAGCCACCAGCCAACACGTGCTTGCCACACAACAATACAAAACCGTGGAAACTAGTTTGGATTGCATTGAACTCGGCGGCAAGTGAACTTGTGACTGGGGAGAGCAAGGCGAGGCATCCACATGGGATGCTTTGTATTGCATGTGGCAGCAATGACAGACTTTGGATAGTACAGTTTTTTATACTCTTTTAAAGCTTAGTTTTTCAACTAAAAAAAGGCAAGTGATTAAACTTCAGCCTAGTGGTTAGTCATCTAAAAACCCAGATACAGATACAGTCATTACAGATATCTTAAAAATAGTAGTAATACCCCTTGCGAGGGAATGAAAACCAAACAAAACAAACATATAGTAATCATTTGCCTGGCAACCGAGCTCTTATACCCTATATTTCAGCATCAGCTGCTGCCAGCGATCGTAAATATATATATACTTATTTGTATTATAAGAGATTTAAGGAACCCTCTCGCTGGCAGTCTGACTCTCAGGCCTTATAGACCTCACAGGAAATCCCTCACATCTGTTCCCATACGACTTTACTTTGCTGCACTCGTGGAATTTAAATGCCGGCATTTACCTTTATGAATAATCTGGAGGTCGTCGAGAAAAGCACAACGTGCATTTATTTACCAATTTTTCAATAAGCCAACTGAACACTTAAAACAAAATTAAGGCCCCGGGCTTTTGGTAAGGATTTCTGGCCAATTAAGACCTTAATTAAGGAGTAGCACGCTCCTTTATTTGTTCAAAATTAAAAAGCTCTGGCTCTATTTGCACTTCCGAAATTTATAACTATCAGGGCTTAACCGCCAAAGATAAGTAATGGAATGGGAAAGATATCAGTATTGCTTATCTGGGGATTTTTCGGGTCTTTAGACTGGAAGAAGGTCAAGGCTTAGGGTGTTATTTAAACTTTATTTGATTAAATATTTAATTATAAACTAGCTCAGTGGCTCTTGAGGTGACTGTACCACCTTAATACTTCAATATTATACAAGTCTTAAACACTCTTTCGTAAATACAAATTATGATTATGAGCGGAACCAAAGCTGACCTTTTTGGGCGAAAGTAAAAGTCGAGCTTTCCATAAATTAAGGCAATAAATGTTCCACCCATTTGATGACTTTCGCAAACCCACTTTCCAGAGCCATAAACCGAGAATCGGCTGACATCTTTTGTCGTGACTGTACCGCCGAATATTTTGCGGATGCAGAAAGCGTGTAATCATTAGCGTGCTCGTGGCTTTAAGCCCATTTCTTGGGATCTCTTAGCCAACCTGCTGACAAGACAAGCCGTTGTCACATGGCCGGGCTTATTGTTTGTGTACACTTCTTGCGATTATTTACAAGTGTGCCGCCGCAGACCACGATGATGCCTAAAGAGATAAACCGAATCGCAATGATAAGGCAGCACCCCACTTTTTTGCGACTTTGGAATGATTAGCACCTTGGAACGGGGTTGAGCAACCGACTCCGACCTGGGCTTGGTATGGAGAACCCAGGAATTTTGTCACATCTCCGGATACGATGGATGATTCATGACAGACACCCTTGCCAATCATGCCAGATACAAAGATACACAGAAACAGATACAGATACCTGGTCGCGCTTATTTGTGGATACATACTTTTCCAGTTAATGACAAACATTCCACCGATAACTCCCTTTGCAAATATCCGCCGGTTGAGACATCTGTGAGACATCTGAGGAAAGAAAGGCAACTTAATTTCTTTATTTGCCCACTAATTGAGATCGCAATTCAAGGTGGAAACTTACTAGACGCCATCGGCGGCAATACCTTAACCAAATGTGAATGATAAATAGAGGTGCTAAGTGGTTTCTCAATTTATTTGCTTCGCTTTGTCGGAGAAGACACACGATCCCAGCGTGACTCCCCATGGAGCTAATAATATCCAACTCCGAACACGAATATAAATATTTTCTTTTATGATTTAGGCGGAAAATTCTGCAGATAATTAGGATTATAAACGATTAGCGTTTGATTGAGGAGAAAGAGTTGTATTTGATCACGATTTCGCATCAAAATAGATGGTTAGCATGTGAATTTGCATAAAAGATCACTCGATAAAAGTTTATTGGCGACTTCTGGTTACACATGAACAGCATACCACCAGACCACCAGATTCTTAATGAATTTTTCATGCTTCTTGCACTTAGGAATTCTTAAAAGCAAACATTTCCGCACCTTCTTAAAGTCTTGGGGAACATCATAATGCTTTCACCGAGTCAGTGAACCCTCGAAAGCCCCACAAGGCTGGATCCCATGCGATACGGTAGCCATGGGCGTTTATGATCTTGGCTCTTCCTAGCCAAGTTCGTGGAAGCATTTGTTGTCTGGCCAAAAATAACCGTTTAGTCGTTTAGTCATAGTTATGGTCACAGCGCCTCCATTCAAATCATAATAAGACTCATAAGATTGTGTATATCTTTACACCGATATCGCTCTTGACTACAAATACCCTGATTACCGGCCGAATGCGTCATATCCCCGACGTCACTAGCTGATAAGTCATGGAGGTTTTTGGCCATCTTTCCGTGCAAGAAATTACTCACGGGAATATGGGTATTATTGGCTCAGACGGTGCTGAAAGGTTCTTCCCTTTGGCAATAATCTTATTGTGCCATGGGTTTTGTTTTGGAGGGTGTTTAGATTAGATAGATTACAGTGGCCACTCGAGATACGACTCCTTGGAAACCTACACCCCAAATTGGTATTTTTACAAAATTATATAGAATTGAAATATGTTGGGAAATTCCTGGCTATTTTAGAACGAGAAGAGTTCGAGGCAGCCTGAACTGGTTCGAGGGGGATATGCTGCTTGTTCTATATGCCCCGATATACTATATCTGGCACTGCTGCTGATCGGTGTCGCTATTTTGCGTTTCAAAAATTAAATCGTCATTCTAAGAAAAACACTTTCCATACATATACCTGACGCAGAATCTGTAATCCGTCGAACAAATATGTGATCAATTGGTGGCTGGAATCCATATTCTATGGCGATCCCCCCTCCAAAGTAATCCATTCAGGTGTGGGACATGTGTCAATCGGGCTAATGAGCCAAGCCAAGATAGCCACGTGTGTGGCTGTGTGTGCCTTGTATCTTTGTGTCTGATAAATAGGAACTGGCATTCCCATTGTTTATAGCATACATGCATGTGTAATTAGGTGAAATGAGTAAATGAGGCACCAACAACACATTAGCATTCGATTCAATGTAGAATAGATATTGACAGGGCGATCGGGGAGGCGGGTGGTCGGTGGTGGGGCCGGCGGTACTAATATCAACACTGAATTTTGTTTGCAACGTCGACGAGGGCGAATTTCAATTTGCTCGCCCGACAGTTGGCGAAAAGTTGTTCGATCGTACAGTTCATAAAAACCAGCCGACCGATCGACATACCGAAAAAAAAAAATTCACCAAAAATAGAACAGAAGGCGTGAAGTTCTACGTGTTTTCCAACTCAATTAACCCGCCCCACAAAGCGGTCTAATTCGAAAGCGGTTGACAAAAAAAAATACAGAAAGTGCCAGTGCCCGTGACGACTCCCTTTAAAATGCTGAGATCTCGGTTCGGTGATTTATTGGGCTGCTCTGCCCGTCGTCGCCTCTTGCTGAAGCATTGTCTATGCTTTATTTTTATAACAATGACAAACTAGAACAAGATATCTTTTTGCCAAACAAGCTGCAAGAATAAAAAACAAAATAAAGTTCTTAAAAAACATTCAACCGCAACTAACAGTATTGTCTTGTTGAGACACAAAACAAAACTACAACAAAACTCTTGTGATCCCAAGTGTCTTAAACAAATAATCAATCGATCAAAGGCCCCAAGATGTCTGAGCTTCGACGCAGTCTCAGTCGCCTGTCGATGATCGTCTTCCGAGCCACTCATTCCAGCGAACAGTCCTGGCGGGAGGAGCTCCTCAGGTAATTCCCTTCAGGGATAATCCATCGATCATCCTAAAAAGAGGTTTCTTCCATTTGTAAGCTGTAGTTAACCAAAGTGAGCGTGAAATTTATTTGTCAGTTAATTAATTGTTGATCACCTTTAAAGAGGGGTCTTTTAAGGTTATAATAAAAGTTATCTATGATTGAGAGATAAGCTCGAAGTTCCTTCATTTTCTTGAACCCTTGAGAATTCTTTAAGCAGCTGTACATACAAAATAAACATACGTACATATATATGTACATATGTTTTTTATTGGAAATGTTTAATTGAATTTGGCATAAATATTTGTGCCACAACCTCTGCTATAATATATACATATAAGATCTATAAAAAGTTCAACAGAATTCACCTTAAAGGATGTTCTGTTCACCTTTTGGTTCATGATCTTTGTTTTGGCCAAGAAATCACGAATTTTGCTAGTGATCTTGGCCATGTTGACAACTTATTATAGCCGAATATATGCAAATTCATAATTGCTCTTCTCACTCTTGGCATTTTCCTTTTGGCAAGACTGCAGGTACAGTGCCCTCTCCCAAGAAGTTACTCAATTTCCCCCCAAAAGGCTACACAAACTTATCTGAGCTTATTGCACTTTAAAGATTACACTATATTTTGAGTCATCGTTAGGTAGACTTCCGGAATTATTTATAATTCTCTTGAAATAGAGTTTCTGTTACGAAAAGTGCTGTAAAATTATATGGCATTAGTGGGGCTTACACTGGCTGGCATTGATTAATGGGCAGCACATGCAAAGGTATATAGTATTCACAGTATGCAGGCCAAAATGCATTTCGGCCAGACTCATAAAATGACGTCAACTGTCGAACTGAATCGATTCTGATTGCTGATTGCGATCATGACCATGGTCAACCAATTAGAGCCTTTCAATACTCACAGATATGCCATAACAAATAGGAATTCCAACCAATTGTTGGCCCTTAGCCAGCAAGTATTGGCCCACTCAGAGAGAAAGTACTGTCACCCGGGGCGAGTTCATCTTGTCGAAGGTTAGTTCTGTTATGACCGAGTTTATCTCAAAGGCTCAGCTTTAATTGCCGGCCATAACCGCTTATCTGGCCTGAAGTTGTTAGATAATCTCTATGACATATATTTTTAGCTCCCTGTTTTCTCAATTCTACTTCCCTATCTGGGGAAATCTAAAATACCAGCTGATATCACCCCTTTCGAAAGCCAACTAATGCGCCAGTTCCATTGAACTTGTTTTTTTATTCTCTCCCCTCTGGCTTGTCAACCGGTTACTCCCCAAAAAAAAAACGTTAATACTGCAGTTGGCAACCATTAATACCAAAAACAAAACAAACCATTTATAAACAATAACAATGAGAAGCTCTCAGGGAGCCGGTTTATTTGCATGATCCAGCCCGAGATTTAAACTAATGAACTCTAATGGCACTGCTGTTCGACCGGTGGTTTCTACGAATTTTTACTGAGATATTATTATTCTGAGAAATTCTCTTACATTTATGCTTTTTCGTTTTTTATTATAACAAGATTGATACATTACTTCATATGTTGAGTCATAAAATGGGTTTGTTATGAAGAAAACGGTGGAACTCATTTAATTTTTTGATTTGAGCTTCGATTTAATGGTTTTATGATTCAATTGGTTTCAGTAGAAAATAATCTCTTAGATTTATGAACCTGACCTGAATTATAAATTTATTTGATAATAGAATTACGTTTTTAACTTACAATCAAACTTTGAAAAACATTTTTAAACCAGATCCACACAATGTGTTCCACAACCATAGAAAATTTCCCTCCTGTTAGCTGTTCCCCCTGGGATATTTTTAAAGAATTCCCAGCGGGAACAACTCAAGCTCCACTCACATACCCCTATAGAATCATTGATAATCGTTTTAAAGCTCAATACTCACCGCACATTTGCATATTCTAGCAGAATTCCACACACAAAGCAGTGCCAGCTGATAAAGAGCGTGTAAATACATAAATCGAGGAAAATAAAATATATTAAGTATAGATGAGCACAGTCAAGTGGAACAAAAACTGCAAAAGTCAGCTGCTGAGGTTCTCTACTGTTCCGTCCGGCATTCCCAGTTGACGATAACAGTTACTTTCGGAGCATACGATCCCCAGCCAGACAGATCCCATCTCCGGCTGGGCCTGGCCTTTTAGTGCTAATTCGACAGCGGTTCATTAATAAGCTTTCCCCGGTGAGAGTGCCAAGTGATCAGTAGTGATAGTGGATCGATCCCTGGACTCACGCACTGATAGTCCCCCACCGCACATGTTGTTCTATATCGGCCTGGTGCTCGTGGTGTGCCTTTCGAGCATTTTGTTCCAAGCTATGATTTGGTAAATTAATCTAATGCCCCCGCAATCCAATAACTTTGGGTAGCATTATCGATCCGTGTGGGTGATTTTCCGCAGACAGGACGTCACTGGCTGTTGTCTTGTGACTTCCTGTTTGTTTTTAGTTTTTTGTCTCATCTCTTATCAAAACGAACAAAGGCCAATTCAGACTATTTTATAATACAGGCCCGATAAATTTCTCCTTGTTTTTCACTTTCACTCTTCCCTGGAATGATTTTGTTTCAGAATAAGTCCAGGGAGAAGCATTAACATGCCAGCATTTAAAAGTTTTGATAAGAAAAACACAAAAGCATAGTGGAGAAGCTTATCAGCTGCTAAAGTATTAATAATACAATCTCTAAAAGTATAAAAATATACAAAATATTTGCTCGTTCCAAAAAGATACTCTCAATTTTGAGCAATATAAAGTCTAATGTTTTTTTTATAGAAACTGAAACCCCCTGCCCTTAAATACTAGGGTTCCAAATGGATTCATTCCATGTAATGTACATATTACACTATGCCAATAACCCAGACAACGATAAGAAACTAGGTGTGGTTCCCCACGTGCTCCCAATAGGGTTATTACCGAAAAAGACAAATGAACTGCAAAACAGTCCCTACCATTATCGTCAAGGGCCTTGGAGGTTGTGTAAGATAAGGACTGCTCCTTGAACTGAATTACTTCCAAATTTAGAACAATTACCCAAGAACTGGCAACCTGCATCTATTTATGTTCCATATTAATAAAGCCCTCTTCTTCCATTTCAGGTACCGGCAGACACGCTTCAGTTCGCGGCGTGTGCGAAAACGTGTGGTCTTCAAGCACGGCGAGTGCAACGTTGTGCAGGGCAATGTGGCCAAGAGGCGGCGACGATATCTACAGGTAAGCGGGGCAGACGGCGAGGTGGGGGCGGGACAACGTGTGGCAGGGCGTGCGTGGCTATATCTATTCGCAGTGTCCCACTTGCCTTTGATTTGCATTTATATTTAGCTCTTCTCTCGCAAGCTCTTCCGTTTGCGTAATGCCAACCGCGAGACTTTGACTGCAATTATGTAAAGTGACTTGTGTTCCTGGCCACCATATCCTGTTTCCTTGCCCGGGGGGGGGCAGGCTACTATATAGCTTTAACCTTCAAATTCCTTATACTAATCCCAATGCTCTCTCTTGCAGGATATCTTCACGACGCTGGTGGATGCCCAGTGGCGCTGGACGCTGCTTGTGTTCGCCGCCAGTTTCGTCATCTCCTGGGCCTTCTTCGGCTTCATCTGGTGGATCATTGCCTACGCCCACAACGACCTGGAGTACATCCTCCTGGAGGACAAATCCCCCGATCTGGTGGCCAACATGACGCACACAGTCTGCGTCACTAAGGTGAAAAGCATGATGACGGCCTTCCTCTACTCCGTCGAAACCCAGACGACGATAGGTTATGGAAACCGCTATGTGACGGAGGAGTGTCCGGAGGCGATCTTCACCATGTGCATCCAGTGCATTACGGGCGTGTTTATCCAGGCCTTCATGGTGGGCATTGTGTTTGCCAAGCTGTCGCGTCCCAAGAAGCGAGCCCAGACACTGCTCTTCTCGAGGAATGCTGTCATCTGCCACCGGGATGGTGTGCCGTGTCTGATGTTCCGAGTGGGCGACATGCGAAAGTCCCACATCATAGAGGCCCATGTGCGGGCCCAGATCATCCGCAAGAAGGTGACAAAAGAGGGCGAGGTGCTGCCCTTTTATCAGCAGGAGCTGCACGTCGGTGCTGATGGTGGCGAGGATCGATTGATGTTCATATGGCCCACCACCATAGTCCACAAAATCGATCGAAACAGTCCGCTGTACATGCTCTCCGCCTCCGACATGCTTAAGGAACGCTTCGAAGTGGTGGTTATGCTGGGTAAGATCCATAAGCAACTCCTCTTGGAATTTTTAACTAACTTTTCCTATTTTACAGAGGGTGTCATTGAATCCACCGGCATGACCACACAGGCCAGGAGCAGCTATTTGCCATCAGAGGTGCTGTGGGGTCATCGCTTCGTCAACGTGGTGTCCTTCCGCAAGGAGACTGGCGAGTACGAGGTGGACTACACGCTCTTCAACAACACCTACGACGTGGACACACCATTGTGCAGTGCCAAGCAGCTGGACGAGCTGAAGTCCGAGTACAGCAAGAGCGCCAAGAGCTGTGTCGGTCTGGGGGTAACTGCTCCATTTGCGGATCGCACGCTCTCGGCCAGCCTGTTCCAGCGCATCGCCTCCGCCGCCTCTGTGGATCACCTAGATCCCGCCAGCGACGAGTCGCTCGACTCCGGCCGACTGCAAATACGCTCCCATTCCATACCCAACGGCGTGTTGGCCAGCGAGCTGGAGCCGCTAAACAACAACAAACACGGCGCCTCGTTCACCATGGGCGGTCTGACCATCACGACGACGGCGCCCAGCATACCCAACCTGTCCAGTATTAATGAGAAGACCAACTCCGGTCATTCCATAAACAGTAGCAGCAATAACAGTCAAAACAACAGCCTCAGCGCGCTGAATATGGGAGGAGGAGGCGGTAGCCAAGCCAGCGGTCCCGGTGGTGGAGCCACCATTGTCGCCGGCCTGGGTAACGGAGGTGGCCGACACAAGCAGTCGAATCCCCGCCGGCTGAGCATCAAGCAGGACCAGCTGCCCATCGATTCCATTTGTTGATATTATTAATTGCGTGGAGAGCAAGTGCAGGAGTTGGAGCCCTCAAGTCCCTCGCCTCCCTGGCCACACCAATTAACTGAAGTTGTATTCTAGTTAAGCGTTAAGGCTCCTATATTGTAGTTCTAACTCAAAAATAAGCTAAGCGAGATTCCATGGAGCTCATCTGTCATAGCCCTAGTGCTGCTGCAGCTGTGAAACCTCCCAAGATTCCCAACACTTCCTGTTGATGCTGAAGTGGAGGCAATCGGATTGTTGTCCACCAAACCCCTACCCAACCCCCAAGCCCCAATTAAGCGATTGTATATGCATAGGCTAAGCTGATCAATGATTGAATTCACGTTGTTAGCTTTACTTGTATTGAATTTACTATAGTTAAGTTACGAATTGATATTACCGCAAAAGTAAGATGTGAGACATGTAGAAACCAAAATGCTGCAACTTCCTCGTAAGCTTAGACCTCCTAGAGAAATGTTAATATAGATCAAAGATTATAAAATATTCAAAAATTATGCGACGAAGACGCAACGGAATTGTGAATTCCCTTTTACCGATAATAATTGCGAAAAGATGAGGGAACTTTTACACAATAATACCCACTGTTTCTAAAACACGAGCTTCAATTATAAAAATGAGTGGACAATAAGATTGTATGAGTATGAATGTATATTATTTGTAAGTAAGATCGAAAGACGGAGATTTACCTAAAGATGAAAAGAAAACTAAAACCAAAGTGTGTTTCATTGTTTCCCCTGCTTTCAAGTTAAAGGTACTCCCCTCTAAAATCGGATGTATATTGACAAAGATATGGCTTTCGATGTGGACCATATTGACCTCTCCTACTTTTTCCCCATTTTTGAAGGGGTCTATCAGGAAAATTGGACAAAAACTCTAGAAAATATTTTGTTCCTGAATTTTTATGCAGAATGTTGAAGAATCCATCCACAATTCATTTAAGGTACTCCGCTCAAGAATCGGTTGTATATTGACAAAGATATGGCTTTCGGCGTGGGCCATATTGACCTCTCATGCATTTCCCCCATTTTTGAAGGGGTCTACCCAGAAAATTTGACAAAAAATCCAAAAAAATATTTTGTTCCTGGATTTTGATGTAGAATGGTGAAGAATCCATCCACAATTCATTTAAGGTACTCCGCTCTGGAATCGGATGTATATTGACAAAGATATGGCTTTCGGCGTGGGCCATATTGACCTTTCACGCATTTCCCCCATTTTTGAAGGGGTCTACCCAGAAAATTTGACAAAAAATCCAAAAAAATATTTTGTTCCTGGATTTTGATGTAGAATGGTGAAGAATCCATCCACAATTCATTTAAGGTACTCCGCTCTGGAATCGGATGTATATTGACAAAGATATGGCTTTCGGCGTGGGCCATATTGACCTCTCATGCATTTCCCCCATTTTTGAAGGGGTCTACCCAGGAAATTTGACAAAAACTCTTTAAAATATTTTGTTCCTGTATTTTGATGCAGAATGATGAAGAATCCATCCACAATTCATTTAAGGTACTCCGCTCTGGAATCGGATGTACATTGACAAAGATATGGCTTTCGGCGTGGGCCATATTGGCCTCTCATGCATTTCCCCCATTTTTGAAGGGGTCTACCCAGAAAATGTGACAAAAAATCTAAAAAATATTTGATTCCCGGATTTTGATGCAGAACGATGAAGAATCCATCCACAATTCATTTAAGGTACTCCGCTCTGGAATCGGATGTATATTGACAAAGATATGGCTTTCGGCGTGGGCCATATTGACCTCTCATGCATTTCCCCCATTTTTGAAGGGGTCTACCCAGGAAATTTGACAAAAACTCTTTAAAATATTTTGTTCCTGTATTTTGATGCAGAATGATGAAGAATCCATCCACAATTCATTTAAGGTACTCCGCTCTGGAATCGGATGTACATTGACAAAGATATGGCTTTCGGCGTGGGCCATATTGACCTCTCATGCATTTCCCCCATTTTTGAAGGGGTCTACCCAGGAAATTTGACAAAAACTCTTTAAAATATTTTGTTCCTGTATTTTGATGCAGAATGATGAAGAATCCATCCACAATTCATTTAAGGTACTCCGCTCTGGAATCGGATGTACATTGACAAAGATATGGCTTTCGGCGTGGGCCATATTGACCTCTCATGCATTTCCCCCATTTTTGAAGGGGTCTACCCAGGAAATTTGACAAAAACTCTTTAAAATATTTTGTTCCTGTATTTTGATGCAGAATGATGAAGAATCCATCCACAATTCATTTAAGGTACTCCGCTCTGGAATCGGATGTATATTGACAAAGATATGGCTTTCGGCGTGGGCCAGATTGACCTCTCATGCATTTCCCCCATTTTTGAAGGGGTAGACACCCAGAAAATTTGACAAAAAATCTAAAAAATATTTTGTTCCTGGATTTTGATGTAGAATGATGAAGAATCCATCCAAAATTCATTTAAGGTACTCCGCTCTGGAATCGGATGTATATTGACAAAGATATGGCTTTCGGCGTGGGCCATATTGACCTCTCACGCATTTCCCCCATTTTTGAAGGGGTCTACCCAGAAAATTTGACAAAAAATCCAAAAAAATATTTTGTTCCTGGATTTTGATGTAGAATGGTGAAGAATCCATCCACAATTCATTTAAGGTACTCCGCTCTGGAATCGGATGTATATTGACAAAGATATGGCTTTCGGCGTGGGCCATATTGACCTCTCATGCATTTCCCCCATTTTTGAAGGGGTCTACCCAGGAAATTTGACAAAAACTCTTTAAAATATTTTGTTCCTGTATTTTGATGCAGAATGATGAAGAATCCATCCACAATTCATTTAAGGTACTCCGCTCTGGAATCGGATGTACATTGACAAAGATATGGCTTTCGGCGTGGGCCATATTGACCTCTCATGCATTTCCCCCATTTTTGAAGGGGTCTACCCAGGAAATTTGACAAAAACTCTTTAAAATATTTTGTTCCTGTATTTTGATGCAGAATGATGAAGAATCCATCCACAATTCATTTAAGGTACTCCGCTCTGGAATCGGATGTATATTGACAAAGATATGGCTTTCGGCGTGGGCCAGATTGACCTCTCATGCATTTCCCCCATTTTTGAAGGGGTAGACACCCAGAAAATTTGACAAAAAATCTAAAAAATATTTTGTTCCTGGATTTTGATGTAGAATGATGAAAAATCCATCCACAATTCATTTAAGGTACTCCGCTCTGGAATCGGATGTATATTGACAAAGATATGGCTTTCGGCGTGGGCCATATTGACCTCTCATGCATTTCCCCCATTTTTGAAGGGGTCTACCCAGAAAATTTGACAAAAAATCCAAAAAAATATTTTGTTCCTGGATTTTGATGTAGAATGGTGAAGAATCCATCCACAATTCATTTAAGGTACTCCGCTCTGGAATCGGATGTATATTGACAAAGATATGGCTTTCGGCGTGGGCCATATTGACCTCTCATGCATTTCCCCCATTTTTGAAGGGGTCTACCCAGGAAATTTGACAAAAACTCTTTAAAATATTTTGTTCCTGTATTTTGATGCAGAATGATGAAGAATCCATCCACAATTCATTTAAGGTACTCCGCTCTGGAATCTGATGTACATTGACAAAGATATGGCTTTCGGCGTGGGCCATATTGGCCTCTCATGCATTTCCCCATTTTTGAAGGGGTCTACCCAGAAAATGTGACAAAAATCTAAAAATATTTGATTCCCGGATTTTGATGCAGAACGATGAAGAATCCATCCACAATTCATTTAAGGTACTCCGCTCAAGAATCGGATATATATTGACAAAGATATGGCTTTCGGCGTGGGCCATATTGACCTCTCATGCATTTCCCCCATTTTTGAAGGGGTCTACCCAGGAAATTTGACAAAAACTCTTTAAAATATTTTGTTCCTGTATTTTGATGCAGAATGATGAAGAATCCATCCACAATTCATTTAAGGTACTCCGCTCTGGAATCGGATGTACATTGACAAAGATATGGCTTTCGGCGTGGGCCATATTGACCTCTCATGCATTTCCCCCATTTTTGAAGGGGTCTACCCAGGAAATTTGACAAAAACTCTTTAAAATATTTTGTTCCTGTATTTTGATGCAGAATGATGAAGAATCCATCCACAATTCATTTAAGGTACTCCGCTCTGGAATCGGATGTATATTGACAAAGATATGGCTTTCGGCGTGGGCCAGATTGACCTCTCATGCATTTCCCCCATTTTTGAAGGGGTAGACACCCAGAAAATTTGACAAAAATCTAAAAATATTTTGTTCCTGGATTTTGATGTAGAATGATGAAGAATCCATCCACAATTCATTTAAGGTACTCCGCTCTGGAATCGGATGTATATTGACAAAGATATGGCTTTCGGCGTGGGCCATATTGACCTCTCACGCATTTCCCCCATTTTTGAAGGGGTCTACCCAGAAAATTTGACAAAAAATCCAAAAAAATATTTTGTTCCTGGATTTTGATGTAGAATGGTGAAGAATCCATCCACAATTCATTTAAGGTACTCCGCTCTGGAATCGGATGTATATTGACAAAGATATGGCTTTCGGCGTGGGCCATATTGACCTCTCATGCATTTCCCCCATTTTTGAAGGGGTCTACCCAGGAAATTTGACAAAAACTCTTTAAAATATTTTGTTCCTGTATTTTGATGCAGAATGATGAAGAATCCATCCACAATTCATTTAAGGTACTCCGCTCTGGAATCGGATGTACATTGACAAAGATATGGCTTTCGGCGTGGGCCATATTGGCCTCTCATGCATTTCCCCCATTTTTGAAGGGGTCTACCCAGAAAATGTGACAAAAAATCTAAAAAATATTTGATTCCCGGATTTTGATGCAGAACGATGAAGAATCCATCCACAATTCATTTAAGGTACTCCGCTCAAGAATCGGATATATATTGACAAAGATATGGCTTTCGGCGTGGGCCATATTGACCTCTCATGCATTTCCCCCATTTTTGAAGGGGTCTACCCAGGAAATTTGACAAAAACTCTTTAAAATATTTTGTTCCTGTATTTTGATGCAGAATGATGAAGAATCCATCCACAATTCATTTAAGGTACTCCGCTCTGGAATCGGATGTACATTGACAAAGATATGGCTTTCGGCGTGGGCCATATTGACCTCTCATGCATTTCCCCCATTTTTGAAGGGGTCTACCCAGGAAATTTGACAAAAACTCTTTAAAATATTTTGTTCCTGTATTTTGATGCAGAATGATGAAGAATCCATCCACAATTCATTTAAGGTACTCCGCTCTGGAATCGGATGTACATTGACAAAGATATGGCTTTCGGCGTGGGCCATATTGACCTCTCATGCATTTCCCCCATTTTTGAAGGGGTCTACCCAGGAAATTTGACAAAAACTCTTTAAAATATTTTGTTCCTGTATTTTGATGCAGAATGATGAAGAATCCATCCACAATTCATTTAAGGTACTCCGCTCTGGAATCGGATGTACATTGACAAAGATATGGCTTTCGGCGTGGGCCATATTGACCTCTCATGCATTTCCCCCATTTTTGAAGGGGTCTACCCAGGAAATTTGACAGAAAATCTAAAAAATATTTTGTTCCTGGATTTTGATGCAGAATGATGAAGAATCCATCCACAATTCATTTAAGGTACTCCGCTCTGGAATCGGATGTATATTGACAAAGATATGGCTTTCGGCGTGGGCCATATTGACCTCTCATGCATTTCCCCCATTTTTGAAGGGGTCTACCCAGGAAATTTGACAGAAAATCTAAAAAATATTTTGTTCCTGGATTTTGATGCAGAATGATGAAGAATCCATCCACAATTCATTTAAGGTACTCCGCTCACGAATCGGATAACTATTGGCAAAGATATGGCTTTCGGCGTGGGCCATATTGACCTCTCATGCATTTCCCCCATTTTTGAAGGGGTCTACCCAGGAAATTTGACAAAAACTCTTTAAAATATTTTGTTCCTGTATTTTGATGCAGAATGATGAAGAATCCATCCACAATTCATTTAAGGTACTCCGCTCTGGAATCGGATGTACATTGACAAAGATATGGCTTTCGGCGTGGGCCATATTGACCTCTCATGCATTTCCCCCATTTTTGAAGGGGTCTACCCAGGAAATTTGACAAAAACTCTTTAAAATATTTTGTTCCTGTATTTTGATGCAGAATGATGAAGAATCCATCCACAATTCATTTAAGGTACTCCGCTCTGGAATCGGATGTACATTGACAAAGATATGGCTTTCGGCGTGGGCCATATTGACCTCTCATGCATTTCCCCCATTTTTGAAGGGGTCTACCCAGGAAATTTGACAAAAACTCTTTAAAATATTTTGTTCCTGTATTTTGATGCAGAATGATGAAGAATCCATCCACAATTCATTTAAGGTACTCCGCTCTGGAATCGGATGTACATTGACAAAGATATGGCTTTCGGCGTGGGCCATATTGACCTCTCATGCATTTCCCCCATTTTTGAAGGGGTCTACCCAGGAAATTTGACAGAAAATCTAAAAATATTTTGTTCCTGGATTTTGATACAGAATGATGAAGAATCTACCCACAATTCATTTAAGGTACTCATCTCTGGAATCGGATGTATATTGACAAAGATATGGCTTTCGGCGTGGGCCATATTGACCTCTCATGCATTTCCCCCATTTTTGAAGGGGTCTACCCAGGAAATTTGACAGAAAATCTAAAAAATATTTTGTTCCTGGATTTTGATGCAGAATGATGAAGAATCCATCCACAATTCATTTAAGGTACTCCGCTCAAGAATCGGATATATATTGACAAAGATATGGCTTTCGGCGTGGGCCATATTGACCTCTCATGCATTTCCCCCATTTTTGAAGGGGTCTACCCAGGAAATTTGACAAAAACTCTTTAAAATATTTTGTTCCTGTATTTTGATGCAGAATGATGAAGAATCCATCCACAATTCATTTAAGGTACTCCGCTCTGGAATCGGATGTACATTGACAAAGATATGGCTTTCGGCGTGGGCCATATTGACCTCTCATGCATTTCCCCCATTTTTGAAGGGGTCTACCCAGGAAATTTGACAAAAACTCTTTAAAATATTTTGTTCCTGTATTTTGATGCAGAATGATGAAGAATCCATCCACAATTCATTTAAGGTACTCCGCTCACGAATCGGATAACTATTGGCAAAGATATGGCTTTCGGCGTGGGCCATATTGACCTCTCATGCATTTCCCCCATTTTTGAAGGGGTCTACCCAGGAAATTTGACAAAAACTCTTTAAAATATTTTGTTCCTGTATTTTGATGCAGAATGATGAAGAATCCATCCACAATTCATTTAAGGTACTCCGCTCTGGAATCGGATGTACATTGACAAAGATATGGCTTTCGGCGTGGGCCATATTGACCTCTCATGCATTTCCCCCATTTTTGAAGGGGTCTACCCAGGAAATTTGACAGAAAATCTAAAAAATATTTTGTTCCTGGATTTTGATACAGAATGATGAAGAATCTACCCACAATTCATTTAAGGTACTCATCTCTGGAATCGGATGTATATTGACAAAGATATGGCTTTCGGCGTGGGCCATATTGACCTCTCATGCATTTCCCCCATTTTTGAAGGGGTCTACCCAGGAAATTTGACAAAAACTCTTTAAAATATTTTGTTCCTGTATTTTGATGCAGAATGATGAAGAATCCATCCACAATTCATTTAAGGTACTCCGCTCTGGAATCGGATGTACATTGACAAAGATATGGCTTTCGGCGTGGGCCATATTGACCTCTCATGCATTTCCCCCATTTTTGAAGGGGTCTACCCAGGAAATTTGACAGAAAATCAAAAAAATATTTTGTTCCTGGATTTTGATGCAGAATGATGAAGAATCCATCCACAATTCATTTAAGGTACTCCGCTCTGGAATCGGATGTATATTGACAAAGATATGGCTTTCGGCGTGGGCCATATTGACCTCTCATGCATTTCCCCCATTTTTGAAGGGGTCTACCCAGGAAATTTGACAGAAAATCTAAAAAATATTTTGTTCCTGGATTTTGATGCAGAATGATGAAGAATCCCTCTACAATTCATTTAAGGTACTCCGTTCTGGAATCGGATGACTATTGGCAAAGATATGGCTTTCGGTGTGAGCCATATTGACCTCTCATGGATCCACAAGTCTCCAAACCTCATTATAGAACCAGAATTCCCAGAACAACTGATATAACAATGAATTTATATATTTTTTTAGTATTTTTCTTTAATTTTGACGGTTTCTTTGTTTAGCTGACGAAAAGTTGATCGTTTTTAAAGCATACAAATTTTCTTATGAAACATACATACAAATCTGATAGAAACATACAAGTACATGGTATTGGCCGAAGCGTGCACAGGAATCCTCGATGGTAATCCTTGGGTTAGTATCTTGTGGACTTTGGTAATGTCTGAGCACACTCCCTCCAAATTAATGTTAATGTTTTTACGTATGCATTAGAGTGTCTGTACGAGTAGTAGTAGTACAATGGTAGATAATTAGTTCAATTTCAATTTACAACAAATAATTTCGCGTTCCGTAATTGAAAAGCTGCGCGCTTTTATTGAATTTTGTAGTTTTTGTAGTGTTTTGCGTTCCAAAAAGCGCGAAATTCATTACAACAATTAAAATACGTATGCCTACAGTAACAATAGATTGTTTCGATTTTCGTAGCGGACCTGTTAAGTTAATATAGTACGTGTAAGTGTTTATATTAAAGTTAAACTCTTTATGCTGTAGGACATTGTTTTGAAGAATATTAAATATTAATATCTCTTATCGCTTATCGACTAAACCTCTACCAGGACTGCTGATACGCCCTAGCAAGGGCCTTAGCTTTTTTTTTGTTTTTGTATTCTTTCTTTTTTTTAGGGTTTTCTTAGTTTTTTTTTGTAGTTTCAGTAGCCTAATTCTGGTTAATGGTTAACTAAGTTAAAAGTATGTATTTACAGATTCTAGATGCTAGCTTAGTCTGATACGCTAATTTGTGTTATGTTTCTGCTTGTGGATGTGTTTTTTGTTTGTTTTTGTGGGTATAATGGGTTGATTTTGATAAATGCCGCGTGAACTTAATGTTTCTATGGTAGATCTCTCTCACTAGACTATAGTATACGGCTAGGGGCTTACAACTAACTGTCTTACGGGCGTATTTCATTTCATGTCCAGCAATATATCTATCAACCTTTACAAACGACTGTGTGTGTGTGGTGTTCATGTGTTTCTGGATGTGTGTGTTCATTGTCTATATATCTATATTTTACATTTCTCGTTCTGTATTCATTTATGCTTTCTCATTTATTTTACAATCTAATATTATATAAATCTGTTAACGGTTTCACCATCGAATAGTATTGGACGACGCCTTGATAAGCTATGTTGTGTGTGAATGTGATTTGTGATTGGGGGTTCTGATTCTGATTCTGCATACTTTTCTGATTTTAAAATTCATTTAAAACATAATCTGTTTGCATTCGCTAGTGTTCTGCTTGTGAGCGCCAGTTGAAGAAATAGTTGATTTATCACAAGTATAGATTTTTTCATATTTTTTTTTTCTTTCGCTTTTAAGTAAAAGGCTCTCCGGAAAAGTTAGGACGAGTCTGAATAATTAATAATTACAAAATAAATAACAAAGCTGAAAAGCTGACTAAAGTAAACTGTAGATGGAAGTGTGGGGGATGGAGAGGGAGGGATGTATGAAGAAGCTTCCACTGCCCGATATAGCAGCAACAGCAGGTGCAACGAATGTTGCCAGCAACATGTTGCAGCTAGTGAAGAAGAATAACCATTAGTACAGGTAACTGCTGTTCAGCAGGTCGTAGCGGTAATCGAATTGCGGCTGCTGCTGATAGTGTTGCTGGTGCTGCTGCTGCTGCTCGGCTCGAAGCTGCTCGCGCTGGAAGCTAGTGAACCAACTCTTTGTTGCGGCGATTCGCAACAGGTACTTTCATTCCTTGCGGTGCTGCTGTTGCGACTGACCTCCTGGCTGCTGTTGCTGCTGCAAATGGTGTTGCTGCAGATGCGGGGGCAGCCTCGACTGCTGCTGTTGCTGCTGCTGGCTCATTCCAGCACCGACGTGCTGGGCCTGCATTCCGTGCTGGCCATGGTGGCCGTGCATCGGTGCCTGGGCGGGCACATGTCCGTTGCTGCCCGAGGACACAGCATTGGAGGCAGCTGTGGCCGTGTTGTTGCCCTCGGGTTTGTCACGCGGCAGCAAGTAGACAGAGCCATCGGCGGCCTGCTGCAAGCTGTAGTCAGCCGGCGAGCATGCGTTGCCCTCAGGATCACGAAGATACTGCAAGGGTTATTGAACGGTTAGTTTCAGGATCTAAGAAAGGGGTTGTCTTCTAGAGACTCACCTGGAACACATGTCGATGGAGCATGGCAAACTTGTTGGAGATGCGCTTGCGCTCACTCTCCAAGTGATCGCGGTCCTGGTTCAGCTGCGTCTTGCGCTTCACCACAGCGTTCACTTCGTCCTCGAGGGTGAGGATCTGGTCCAGCTTGCGTTTGCGGCAGTTCTGGGCCGCCACCTTGTTCTTGCCACGACGACGGATGTCGCGGATCAGGGACAGTTGGTTCTCGCTCAGGTCGTATTTGGACAGACGCTCGTTGAACTCGTCCATGGGCAAATTGATGATGTCCTGCACCGGAATAGGGATGTTCAGGGCACGGGCACGCTTCTCATCACGGGTCAGATGCTCATCCTCTCCGCCGTGGCTACTGCCGCCGGCACTGCTGCTGCTGCTGCTGCTACCGCCGCCAGAGTTGGCTCCCTTGCCTGATCCTGTCTTAGTGGCCACCTGAGGCTTCTTGTCGCGCGCCTGGGGTCTTGGCAGGGCACCACTTCCCTGGGGCAGGGCCGAGTAGGTGTGATTTAGGTGCACCAGGTCTTCAGCAGTCCTGGGAGTGGGTCGGTGGGTGTAGTCCCCATTGAAGTTGCTACCGCTGGCGCCCATTCCGTAGGCCGCCTGGTGATGGTGGTAGTCCTTCGACAGGGCCGGTCCCATGGCGCCAGCTTCGCTGCTGATACCGCCAGCACTGCTGGCCATTCCCGAGGATCCGTATCCCGCATCGTATTCGTATTTAATGCTCTGCGACTGCACGGCCGTGGCAGCTGCCGGCGGCACTGTCGGTGGCAGAGCCGATGGGGTCTGCTTGTGAGGATCCCGCTTTCCGTATAACTGATGCTTCTTTTGCGCCACCGGCGGTTGACGGGTGGCCGTGGTCAGCCGCGAGTTGTTGTTGTAGCTGAAGTCATAGGGGCCACCGTACTTGCCCTGGTGATAGTCCTGCGCCGAGTCACTGCCCTCGCCCCACTCGCCGTCGGAGAGGGAGGGCACCCGCTCGGAGCCCATCGAACTGACGGCACTGTCGCTAGAGGCGTCCAAGCGATCAGCCCCGCCCTGTGCACCTGCACCACCGCCGCTGGCCAGAAGATCGGCGGTCATGCCCGCAGCTCCGCCAGTGCTCATTGGGCCCACGGCGCCCGAAGCTCCGTTGACTTGGTTTGCGTGAGTGTTTCCCGGCGCCAGCTGAGCAGAGCCACCAGAGCCGTTGCTGACATGTCCACTGCTGGGCAGACCCAGGACCGAAGAGTTGTTGCTGGTGCTGTTGTCCACCATGCGACAGAAGCCTGGAAGATAAGATGGAAGAATGGGTTATTAGTGGCTATCTATAATGGTTTATTAGGACTATCCCAGTGGAACTTTTTAACTAGCAGCTATATCGGACCAGCACTTGAACTATTTATAATTAAGTGACTAAGCAGTATTTGATGATTCCTATATGTACTTGAACTGATAAGCCTCATGAGGTTTTTAAAATATGTTTCATCTTGAGACGATGGAAATTTTTAATATTACTATATGGGTTATATAACACTAGTTCTTCTATTTTGATCAGAAACTAACTATAGTGCTATACTATAGTTCTTCCAAAAACGTACTCAAGATCTCTAGCTGACCCAGTTCACGTATAGTCTACGTTTATTAGACAGATTCGCCTTATCGGGGACTACGTCCTGAATCACACTCTCCCCAGCTTCGATTATTCAGCAAAAATTTACGACGATGAGCATTCCAGCAGCACAAAAAAAAACAGGCAGAAATATGAGCCGGTCGGTGGAATACAAAAAAAACTGTTCAGTCATTTTCCATATTTTACTCGACTTATCTTATCGGGCGATAAGGATTGCGGAGTATGTATGAGTATAAGTGCGCTCGTGCGTCGCTCTGTTGGCCTGAAATTTCGCAAATACCTGGCCACATTGCCACATACACTGATAAGGAGTTTTAGAGCTCAGATCCAAGGGGTTTATCTTATCGGTGGGCCAGCCAGCCAGACCCCGTGGGTATATTCCGAGGCACCACCTCCATGTGCAATCTTTCTAACTTGTAATGCCCGAATGCAGTTAATTAGTGAAATCAATCCGTAAAGCCGATTATGAGAGAGATACTCGTATACTGCCCTCCTCTGGCAGCAAGGTCAAAGCTTAAATCATAAACATTGATGACTTGACAAAATGCGATACTTTGTATATACTTTGTATATATGTAATTGAAGGTGTCTATAAATACGCTAGAGAGCAGAGACCACGGAGCACAGAGCACTGGAGAGTTATCAGTGACCGTAAGACATAACGGAAATAATAAAGATAACGGTTAAAGCCAGTGACACGTTTCATGATCAGCCAAAAAAATAATAATATTACGTATATAACGTAACGTAAGCGTAACATAACCCAATTAAAACTATAAAATATATTATTTTTCTATTCTGTTTAACCCCTTTTTCTGTTTGTTTTTTAGAGAATTTCCATTTTTTCTCTCTAGGCTTTGAGCTTTTTATTGTTTTTTTTTTTTACGTTTCCTCCGCCTAACGTTATTGTTTCGAAAAACGATGACTCAGCAGTTTAAAAATAGTAAACAGCAAACAGGCGGGCAAAAAAAAAAAAACTTGCTGAGCGGGCATTAGAGAGGAGGAAACACGCTCGAGAGAGAGAGGGAGAAGAAGGTTCTGCTGATATCAGCAACAGAGCCAGATCCGCCGTGCGGCATGACTAATGAAAAAATTGTTACGCGGTCACCAGAAATCAGACGAATATTAGACTGGCGACTGGCGACTACCTCCTTGTGCCTTTCGCTCTTTTTTTGGGGATGAGAAACCAAAAATAACAACATCCACCACCCCCCACCCAGACCCAGGGTCCAGGCAGCACATGATGCCATTAACTCGATCACTCTCACCTGTTGAATCGTATTTTTGTCGTATTCCTATATTGCGTTCTCAGCTATATCGGCTAGATCGGCCACTATATATCTATTATATCTCACGGTATCGCGCACTCTCGCTCGTCATCGAACGTTCTAAATAGAATTCAGCTCACGGAGAGCAGAGGAATATGAACTAATATGCCACACTTGTGACAAAATGCGTCATTGTATCATTAAATGGTTTATGCTAATTGCGTATGAAGTATACGACACGTTGTACGATATTGCGATATTTGGTTAAATACAGGGTTTATTATTTAATTGATTTTTATGTAGTCGAGTAGTTAGTTCCCTTTCGAGTCGCGTCGATTCTAATATTTACTTTACTATCGTATTCGATTGTTCGTGTTCGACTGATTCGACTTCACTCGCGCTCTGTTCTTTTCGGTTTGCTTTGCTTTGGCTCTTTCTCGCCCATTGAGTTGAGTGTGCATGAATCTGAATTTTGTCGCGCTGCCCACAGCGAAACCTGAGCACTACTACGCCCGCCCGTCTCCCTCTCCCTCAGCCCACATCTCCTCTCTGGCACTGTGAACTAATTGTACGAAATTCGTATGCTAATCACACACAGAACCCCGTCGGATAAAGCGGCCAGGCCAGAAAGCGCCAACAGTAAAAAAAAGCTCTCTGAAAGAGTGAGTCACTTTTTGGCGGGCGTGCTCTCGCTCTCGTTCTCTTTCAGTCAAAGCTCCGCGCCAAAAGATGATGAGGTGTTGCGATGCGCAGTCCGCTTAGTAAACTAAAGCTTTTCAATAAATGGAGAGGTTATTCAGAATTTAAGTTTTTTTTTGTGGAATTAAGCTTTTTTTGTTAGAAAGCTTTTATACTTCAGGATATCTCAAAGTTACTTGGTATTTAATATTTAATATCTTTGGATCTTATAGATACACTTTTTATATAGCATATGGATACTCACTCTCATTCATGTCCATCAAATGAAGATCCTCGTCGGTGAAAATGGAGTTCATGAAACCATCAGCCGTTGGGTTCATGTCCGAGGAGGTATTCTAGAGATTTTAATATTAATTATTTAATAAACATTAATCCTTAATTTAAAAAATAAAAACTCACCGCATAGTACATCAGATCGTGCTCCACCTTATAGGCGGCAGCTGCGGCGGCGGCGCCATCGGCTTCGTGACTGGAGTTGGTCAGATGCATGCTGGAGGAGACCGCCGAGCCCAGATTGTGGCCGTAGTGGGGCTGGCCCGAGGGGCAGATGTCACCCAGGGCGGCGTTCGGGTGGTGCAGCATACTGGCATGGTGCGGCGGCGGCGGTGGTGGCGGCTGCAGGGGAGCAGCAGCAGCTCCGCCACCATACTGACCATGCTGTCCGGGACCGGGGGCGCCTTGCGAGGGACTCGCCTGGTAGGAGTAGCCCGGATAGTGGTGGGGATACGGCGACATGTCCGACACTCCGCCCACCATGCTGGGTATGGGGCTGAAGTAGGTGGCAAAGTCCTGAAGCCGTTCCATGGAGACGCTGCGGTTCAGGCGCGGCATACGACCCTGCAGGAGAGGAGTCAAGACAATGATTAATCCCAGGCTCGTGTTGATGTATTAACAAGGTGAGAAGGGTTCGTCGCTAGTCGCTGGGCATTACGAAACTTATAACTCAATAACCGATCAATCATCCGCCCGGGGAATTCTCTAGAAACGCGCCAATCCACCAAAAGATACAATAAACTGAATCCAAATAGCGCTACAAGTAACAATCTCCCAGCTGTCAGAGCTCACAGGCACCTCCACCTCCACTTCCACCTCCATGGAGCTCCACCACCACCTCTACCTCTTCTCTGTAAGCCAAAAAACGTGCACAATGTATCAGTCTGGCGATTTGACTGCCAGATCGATCAACTCGGAATTGAAATGAAATTCGTATCTGTATCTTACGAATTGACAAGTGCCCAGCCAGAGGTCTCTCCGGCTCCAGTCTTGGGGTTTCTTTACTTTGTTTTTCTTAGACAGACTACCTCTGCCTCTGCCCTGTAAGTCTTGACTGACTGATCGTGGAACTACTACGAACTACGACTTCATTAGGCCGCCTTTTGTTATTTTTAATTATCGGTGGGCTTATTTATTTATTTAACTAATTCCGCAGCCCCGGCGTGGGCAGATATTCCCCCGCCCATCCCCCTCAGATGCATCACTCACACTCGGGATAAGTATTCCTCAATCTTTGATTTCCGATCTTCGATGGGATCCTTTCTCGATTCCTTTGAAGACCGATGGCTGATGGCTGATGTGGCCCACAAATTTGTTTTTAATGCTAAATGCCGGCAAGCCGCCAAGCCGCGCAATTAAGATCTTTCAGAGATGAGATACAATATCGGCGTGACGTTGACGCTGACGCTGATGCACTTTGACACTGACATTGCCAGATACAGATATAGATCCCGACAAAAGGAAATATCGAATATGAATGTTGAATGTTTCGTTCTTCGGAGGTCCGTTGACGTTGAGTTGTCGTTTGACCAGCACCGACTAACTGACTGACTGACTGGCTGGCTGGCTGGCGGAATGACAGTAGCCAGGGCCAGTTCGGATACTCGGATGCATCTCTTTCTGTGTTGGTGAGAGAAGGAGGTGGCTGAATAAACACAACCTGTGTATCTCGGAGCATGTGTATCTAATGAATGCCTCAACACGCTCCTGAAAGCAAACAGGTAAGCTGGTAAGGCAGGTAGGAGTTCCACACGAGCATTGGGCGTTCACTTTAGCCAGTTGCAGTCAGCTTGTATCTGTATCTGTATAGGATGTATCTTTGTATCTGTGTATCTGTGAGTGTGTGTAATTTGAATTGTCACTGTCTTGTCATTAACTTCTGGTGTTGGCTCTGGCTTTGGGCCATTGTTTGTTACGATTCACACGCAAACAAATCCAACCGCCGACTTAGACACGGTAGCGATCTGGATTGTGAATATGTATCTGTATCTGTTCCTGATTCTGTGGCTGCATCTGTGTCTGTGTCTTTGGAGATTCTTTGGTGTGAGAAGCGTTAGATTGCATGTTCGATCGGGGAATTACTATTATTTGATAGGGCTTTAAGATCCCCCAATCCCATTAGCAGTATCTATCAGGGGGTTTCAGAACTTGGGGTATATACATACATACCTCCGAAAGACTAGCCACTCCTCCTATTATTAATCGATAACTATTAATTTTGTTTTGTAATTAAAACCCTTAGAGGCGCTAATGATAAAATAAACTGTTTCCCATTTATTTAAATTACCTGGAAGGTGTCTTAATCAGAAACTGGCAAGTGCCTAGTGCATTGCCTAGTCTGTTCATCCTTAATCGCCAAAACAAGCGATTCGAATATTTGTTCAACATTTTTCCACGAACTATCCGGATCCACTCCATCCATCAATGGCCAGGTTGGGAATCACCGATCCGACTCTGGCCAAGTTTTGGATGATTCTATGGCCTAATCCCTCCGCTACACACCTGAGACGTGTGTTGTTTTTTTTGTCATTAACTTGATTTATGTGTGTGCACAAATCGAGTCCCATGACAACCGACTCCGACTCGCAACTTGAGCCTCCGCAGCCATCAAACTGTTTACATAAATTGAATTAAAATCGTACAGCAAAAAAAAAAATACCAAGTGGAGGAGCAAAAAACTACAACTGCCAAGAAAAAAAACACCAGAGATGCTGTAAAATAATTAATAAAGTTTTTTTTCTGTTTTTTTTTTTATTCTGCGCTGATTTTTCAGCGTTAAGCTTTTTGCAAATATTTAAAATTCACATAATTAAAGCACCCAGCAGCTTGGGCGGAGGGCAGGGATGGACATTAAGAGATGAATATTTTTTTTTTTGTTTTGCGATTCGCGCGCGCTAAATGGGGATTTAATTGCAGGGGCTACCGCAGCTCAAAAGATGCAATCAACCGGGTAGTGGCAGAGGGAGGTGGCTGCTGGCCGAGGAGCCCCCCCCTCGACACTGCAAAGTGCCACCGAATTCAATAAACACTTCGGCCCCATGCGGAAAAGTCAAGTGGCGCATTGCAGGCGACAAAAAAATAATGTCTGCGAGGCTGGGGGGGCTGGGGGAAAAACAACAAAGCCCGGCGCAAAAAATGAAAACAAAACACAAAGTGTCCGTAATGAACGCAGAGGCGCCTCCCTGCCCACTCCTCCCGGGGGGGAGCCTACCTGCCTGCCCACTCTCTCTCCGCTGAAGAGCTAAGCCAGTGATTGCAATTAGCAACAGTACACTGCTAAAAAATAATTATATTAAATAAAAGAAATTGTAAGTCCCTTCCCTCTCCAGAAAGTAAGTAGCACCTCTAAAGATGGTTCTTCTTTCAAGAGGCTCAGGTTCTACCCTGACCAGAGGAAGATTCAGAATTTATTTTTTAATAAAAAGCTAAAACCTCAGGGTTTTAAAAAGAACTTGAATATTAAATGAATATTTTATTAAATATATGTACGATTATTTCCTAACCAACACCCTCTATAGGATAAGAGGGTCTTTAATTTTTCCACCTGCACTGCCCAGGTAGCTAGCCATAACCCCGACTCATCAATGAATGCAAATAGAAAAATGGAAAATTAAATGTGATCAGGAAGTTGCATAATGATAATTCGCCCTAGGATGAGATCGAAGGGAGCTGGGTGCTGCTGCTGCTGGAAAAACAAAAGACCAAGCCGCCTAATGACACTTTCGACCAAACAGTTGGAAAATCCCTGGTGGTGGTAGTGGCAGAAAAGGATTAAAGCCATTCTCGAGAAGCCGTCGAATAAGCGATCATCTGGCTCATTAAATGGCTTTGGCAAGTGCCGAGAGAGACAACCCGCTGGCAGTTCACCAAAAAGACCACCGCACCACATCAAACGTCTAAGCCTAATCCACCCAGCGGTCAGTGGTTTTCTTTTTTTTCCCATTTTCCAGAGGATGAGATCGGTGAGAATGGTGTGGCTACCGGGGAAGAGACTTTACGGTAATTGCCGCTGACTTCATGACTGTTTCGGCCTTTATGGCCTATTGTGTTGTCTCTTTTGTCAACTCTAAGCCTATCTCTTTCTAAAGGTCGAAGATAGTGGCTTAGGTGTTCTGGTATTTCATTCAGGAAGCACTTGTTCCACTCGGAATTGTGGTGGATTAATATTTTTATTTGAGGGATTAGTTAGTTCGGACTAAAATATACAAGTTTTAAGTTTTTAAAATTAAGATTTTTATAATCTTTAGAAAACTTAAGATCACTGAGGTATAAAGTCAAAATGGGAGAACCAAACCATGACTCTTCCGTACAACAAAGGCCAAGAAATCCGAAAAGCCAGCAGATTGGAGACTGGGGTCTTGATTGACGAACTTGTGGCTGGAAACGGAATAAAAGCGGATGACTTTTGGGCCACAAGATGTGGTGGGAGAGGAGGAGGTGGAGGGGGAGGAGCATGTACAACCAGATTTGAAGCTTTGTACAAACAACAAACACACGGCACAGAGCCGAGACAACAACAAGTTCGACTCTTGAGGAGAGCAGTCGGTCCCAAGATCAAGTGCTTGAGAATGGCAGAGGGTTAGGGTTAGGGGGGTTCTACAGAGCCACGTGAAGAAGCCAGAACTGGAGATGTAGAGGGAATAACGAAGCCAGTGAAAAGAGCCACTCCAAAAACGAGAAGAAGCAGCAGAAGAATAACGAAAGCGACGTGCAAATGATCCTTGAATGATTACATATGTATATAGATGTACAAGCACATACCTTTCAAGACACCGGAGATCGTACTACTAGGAACATGGGGGACTTAAACAGGAGGTTTAAAAAGAGTGTGGAGACTATAGTAGATACGATAGTTATACTAGATACTATACTTATACTAGTTATACTATAGATGCTTTAGAAAACATTCTAAAATCAAACATTCTACACTTGAAGACCCTATTATCATGAGAGATTATAATACTAGTAATAGTAATAGATAATACTAATTCTGAAGAACATTAAATGAAGATCCTTTAGAAAATGAACTACAATCCTATGGTATTTAAAGTTATATCTTATATCTTCAGTAAGCTATCTTGTTTAGGACTTTCTACATCTCATAGTAGCTCTACACCCAAAGGCCTTCTTACCTCTACCTGGCTTTTAACACATTCCAGTCTTAAACCAGAGATCATAACCCTAGTAACTTGAAGAACTTGATAGCTATACTACAAGTTATCCCTTTGCTTTACCTCACAGTACTTCTACCTCCCGAAAAGACCCTACTATCTTGACCTCACCTGTACCTGGCCATATCCACATTCCCGTAAGTTATGCACAGGTATAGCCATGTAAGTATGTGGAGCGCTCGACGGATGGCAGCACTTGAGCCGAGCATCCGCATCAAATTATAAATAAATATACTCCGAGCCGAGCGAGCGAGCAACCTTCCTTTTGTTCGGTTTCTCGATTTTTGATGGGGAGGATTATAAAGATCGAGGCACACACAGACACTCACCTGGTGATGGCTGGGATGGAATCCACCGCTGGATGGCTGACGCTGAAAGGCGCTACCCGTACCGCTGCCCACGCCCACTCCGACTCCGACACCGACGCCAACGCCGCCGCCATAGTTGGCCTGCTGCACTGCACGCTGGTGGGCAGCGGCAGCGGCGGCGGCATGATGGGCATGGGCGTGGTGGTGCATCGTGGCGGCATGATGGTGCGGATGGGGATGCGCATGGGGATGGCCGTGGTGAGGATGGGGGTGGTGGTAGGGCGGAGCCGTGGATTGCAACATCTCGTCTAGCTCCTTCTTGGCGTCCTCATCTAAGTCAAACAGGGGCGAGCCCACAGAGTTCTGCAAGTCGTCAAAGTCGCTGACCGAGAAGTCGTCCCCTCCGTTGTTGTCCTTTTCCGGGTCGTTCTCCTGGTCCTTGGTGTCGATCCTACGCTGCTTGAGGGGCACTACCTCGCCGCCGAGGAACTCTTCGCCGGTCTCCGAGCTGGTCCTAAGCGATTGGTTTTCGTTCAAAGCGGCAGCTGCCTGGGAAGTGGAGGCCACCGGATCGTTGGATAACTGGAATGGTTGGAGGGAAATGGGGGTTGGATGGGGGAGTCCACCAGCACCGTGAAAGAGGAACTTACCTCGTCTTCGAGCGGGAATTCAGAGAGCTTGAGCACGTCGTTCAGCAAATCATCCAAAGGCAAGCGAATGTATTCACCTGGAAAAGTGGAGGTCAATGGTTACTAAGGGATCTGATATCAGAGATTTAAATGGCATTCCCCCTGGACTCAGTCGAGGCCTTTATGTTCCTATTAAAGCGAGGTAGAAATACGAAAATATTTTGATCATTTTGAATAAAAAAGATGACTTTCCCCCAGGCGCTCCTTGGGAATTTTCTTGAATTCCTTAGAGGGCGATCCATAATCCGGAGAAAGACTATCCTATATATGCCCCAGGGACTAAAGGTATATAAGGATCTGACCGAACAGTAGCACTTTCCTGTGGGAGGATGATTTAAGAGTTTTTAAAGATCATCGTCGGGGAGATCATACAACTAGAGTCAGTAAAGTGGGAGCGACGATCATTAATCATAATCGTTAAAACGTGATCTCCGAGAGATCTCATCCGCCTGACGGAAGCAGCTGAAAAATATGGCCATGAATGCAATAATTTCCCAAGCTCCCAGCGGACACCCCCACCCCCACCCCGTCCTTTCTAATTGATGATCAGTTGTGACAGCTCTCGGAGCTATTCGAATCCAAAACAAAACCCTCCAATCAAAATAAAAGCTTGCCCCCAGAGTGTATCGCTTACAATTGACACCCAGAGTGAGTCCTGGTCCTGGTCAAATATTTGCACTGGGAATTCTCGGGAAAATCTGAGTGGAGAGGGGGTCAGGGGGCATTATCAGAAAATTACTACTTAACATCGACTGGAATTCCACGAAGAGGAGACTTGGCCCAGAGCGTGGGCAAACACACCACTCTAAGCCACAATCTAGATAAGGCCCAAAAAGAAAAAGGGGCGCAACTCGACCGAAAGGTATTTTAGACTCAAGTGGTGTGACGGCGACGACCTTTGCACTTGAGGCAGGCAGGGGGGCAGGGCAGGGCAGGAGGGGGCACTTGAGGCAGTCGGGTCAAAAAATTAGAATAAACACAGCAGATGGAACCGAGTTTGGCTCTCGGCCCGGCCAACGCTTTGTTATTCTTACGATTGGTTACAAAACCCGACGCTGCAACCATTTTGGGTTCTGTCTTCCTCTGTTCTGGCCATGTTTTTTTTAGGGCTTGATATCGTGGCCTGTTATTTTAGGCCTGTTCTCTCTTCCTTCTTCTAAGCCTTACAATAATTTTTTTGGTAACAGTTTGGAATGCGTGTGTGTGTGTGGGTTGTTGTCCGGCTGTTGGCCCGAAATTGTTTACTTATCGTTTTTGGTCTTTTGGTCTGTTGGGCTTGGTTGTGTTTGTCTTTATGTTTTGGTTGCTCCGCATTGTGGTCAACACGACAACGAAAATATTATTCGATTTTCGTTCCATTGTTTCCACTCCAGGAGCACAACGGCCAGCCAGCTAGCCAGCCCGCACAACTGTCACCGGCAATTAGGCGACCATGAGGTGTTGATGTGTCCAACAATGGGTGTTTGTTGGGTGGGGGATGGGGGCTATCTTTGGTAATTTTCGGTTACCTTTCAGGAAGTTTAGTCCAGGAAGGAAGCCTGTGTCCCGTAATGGAGCTTCTAATGGGGTGGGCTATCCCGACGGGTACTTAATATGGGGTGGTTTCGGGTTCTAAGTAGTAGTTAGTATCTTAAGTGTTTGCATAGCTTATAGACCTTAAATAGTGTCAGCTTTATAAGCCAAATCGAAGGAGTCAGGGGGTCTCAACTTTCTTGGAGAATTATGTTGGTATTTGAGATGGTTGGTAGATAAAGGTTGGTTTCCGATTTATCCAAAGATATGGCTAAATATTTCTTAAAGAATCTATCAACTCTCGGCATTATAAACCCAAAAAAATCTGTTATCGAAGATGTTAGCTTATAAGCCCTAAATACAGTAAGTCTTACAGCCTAATCGAAGGAGTTAGGGGGTCTAGACTTGCTTGGAAAATTATGTTGGTATTAGGAATAAGATATAGTTGGTTTAAGTTATTCCAGATATTCAGATACTCTTAACTCTCCGCATAATAAACCCAAAAAATCGGTCTGTGGAGATATTATTGATATTATATCTTGAAATTGGCTTAAAAACCTTAAATACTAGAAGCCTTATAAGCCAAATTAGAAGCAGTTAGGGGGTCTATTCTTAGGGGGTCAATCTTGCAATTGGTTTCTAATATGTACATATGCCATATCTTTCCTTAATGAATCTCCCTACTCTCTGCATAATAATCTTTAAAAAAAATGCAATAATCACAGAATTCGTCACAAACCTTTTGTCAGTTGAGGGCAGAAGATGCTGCAACACTACCGTGAAACACTATTTCGTGTCTGTAATCCAAAAATAAAACACAAAACAACACACCTCGAAAGCCAAAGTCAAACGTATCTTGGCCAAATAGTTGGTGGCTTTTGTGAGCAGATTGAACACAAATTGTTGCAATAAAGCGCTGATTGTTGTTGATATTTTGGCCAAACACTTTGACAATTATGTAACGTTTTGACAGCCAAAATGTTGCAGAATCAACAATGGCAACACTACATCGACATCCACATCGACAATATGGCCGTTTCCGTTGCAGACAGCCGACTCTTGCAGACTTGCAACCTTTTGTTGGGTTTATTTTTTTGTATTTCGACAGTACGATCGGTGGAAAATGGGTTTAAGTTATTTTGCAATGCCTTTGGTTATTGTTTGGAGGCTTTTTTTTTTTTTTTAAGAATCGCACAATGGTCACTTGAGTGTGGGGCTGTGTGGGGTATTTTTGATTTGCCAACTTTCACTTTTATTCCAGAGCCCCCCCTATTTTTTTCGCGTAATAGTTTAATAATATTTATTAACTTGACACAGTTTTTGGTTTATTTTTTTTTTTGGGTTTTTTAGAATTTTTTTCTCCAAATCATCTAATTGGCAGAGAGCGTAGCACTTGACTCGACTCGCGATTTGAACTGCCGACTTCGAATGCCGCGTCACCTTGCCAAGTCGGAAGGATAGTCCTTTGAGCCTTGCTTTCTTTTGGCTTTGTCCACGCCCACAACTCCTTATATGATTCGTCTATAACTCGCTTTTCTGCGCGCGCGTCAAGCGTCCAACGTTACTCGAGCGTTTATAAAAATTCAAATACGAATTCTAAAACGCGGTCGCTGCTTCAGTTGCTGCCTCTGCTCTGCTCCGCCATCGCTGTCGACGCTAACTGCGACTGCGAGGCCAAAAAGAGAAATGGCGCTCTCTAGCCGGGGTTGAGCGTACGAGTGCGAGCGAGACCACTGGCTGGACTTCCTCCCTCTAAACGAGCTGGCTGTGCTCATGCGCACTCTGTTGCTCGCTTAGCTCCGCCCCTGACTTGGCATGGCTTGGCTTGGCCTGCTCAAGTGTATGTATGTGTGTGTGTGTGTGTTAGCTGTTTTTTGCTTTTGGCCGCTTCAACATGGAGGCTTTGTTCGAGTCGCGGCTCAGGGGCTTCCACAAAAAAGCCAAAAAAAAAACTAAAAACTAAAAAAATTACAAAAACTGGTTCTCTTGTTCTTGTTCCCAGCATGTGCATGTTCCGCTTGTGGCTCTCAGGGTGTGTGTATGGTGTGTGTGTGTGTGTGTTTGGGCCATCAAGAGGAAGAAAAAACAATCTAATCAAGTAATTTTAACCGTCAACAAGAAAAGCGAAACAAAAACGTTTTAAATTTGTTGGCAGGGAAGGATTTTTCAAAGAGAAGATTGAGGTTAGGGCCTGACTGAGATTGAGGTTAGGGTTTTAAATTCCTGATAAAAGTTAGTATAACAACTAGTTAGACTGTTAAACTAAATTGCAAATTTAATAAACCAATTAAGGAACCTAAAATTTAACCAAAAACTCAACTGAAAATAAAAACAATAGTCCCCCCCTTTAGGTTCAATTCCTGTTCTGCAAGTAGAGCTCTTGAAACTCCCGCAGTCGCAGAGCCAGCACATGACCCCTGCCCCGGAGCTCCTTCAGCTTCAGCTGCAACTCCTCCAGGGTTTCCATTTGTTGACTCAGCTCCCACTCCCTGGCGTCCACCTCGGCCCGCGACTCGGCGGCCTCGACAGCCCACCGGTTCTGGATCTTGGCCAGCTGCTGGCGGATTTGGAGCTCAAAGCCACTGGCGGTCTGGAGGACGCCGGCCCGCAGGTGCTGCTGCAAATGTCGCGAGTACTGGCGCTTGAAGCTGCGCTCCTGGGCTGCGGGCGTCCAGCTGAGCAGCTCGTAGAGGTAAATGGTTCCCAGGAGCCCGCCCAGGACCAGAACCGTCCGCCAGCCCAGCGAGCGCACGGCCAGGCCACCCAGCACTATGGTTCCCACAGAGGTGTCGGACTTCAGAAAGGCAAGGGCCATTTCCAGCTGGCTCTTGTGAACCAATGGAGTCACCGTGGGCTGGACGTCCTTGTGGCCGTTCAAGGGCTTCCGGTCCGGGGCCGAGTTGGAGGGCATTGGCAGCTGGCTTTGGAGGCGCTGACAGAGAGCAGCCAGTCCCCAGGAGAAGCGGAAGCGCAGATCCGGCTGGAAATCCTTCATCAGAGACTGGCAGTCCAGGCTGTAGACCAGCTGCCAGGTGAGGGTCTCCTCCAGCGAGGCTTCTCCTTGCACCTCCTGCTCCAAGTCGTACATCTTTTGCTGCAGCGGCAGGGAGATCTGCTCCACGATCTTTGTGGTGAGCAGGGCGTCCAGATGGGCACTGAGGCAGCGCTGGTAGTGGGTGAGCAGTCGGGGCAGCTGGGGATGGAAGGGCTGGGAGAAGGCCTTCACACCCGCGGCCAGGGTCAGGTTGATCTGCTCCCTCAGCACCCGCTGGCCCAGCTCCAAGGACTCGTCGCACAGTTCGTCCACCCGAAAGCCTAGCTGCTCCCGGCGATACGAGATTTGGATTTCCCTCTGATCCCTCTCCCCTCGGAGCATTCTCCTCTCCTCGACGCACTGCATCATTTCCTGCTGCACCTTCTCGCTTAAGGGCTTCGTGAGGGTGACCTCTATGTCCCGCAGGATCTCCTGGGCACTCAACAAGTGCTGTTCGAACTTGGTCCGCAGGGCGGAGTGGGCCAGGCATGTGGAGAAATCAGTTTCGAAGCGCTGGAACTCACGGTAGCGCTCCTGGGTCTGTGGACTGGGAGCGGTCTTCATGCCCATTCGCAGTTGTAGTGCCTCTAGGGCAGAGACGTGGTAGATCCTCTTCCGGGCCAACTCCTCATCGGTGTACACGCCCAAATCCTCCACGAGCAGCTGCAGACAGCGTTCCACGTGCTGGTCCTTCACCTGCTCCTCCATGTCCGGCTCCTGGCTGCTGGCCACGTCCCAGCGATTATTTAGGATGAAGAGATTCGGCCGGGAGAGTCTGGAGGCCACCTCCTTGAAGAACTGCCGCTCCACGCGGGAAACCGTGGACTCGGCATTGAGCACCAGGATGAAGACATCCGCGTCCAGGCAGTACCGATCCAGGCAGTCGTCCAACTGGGCTGTGACGTCCACTCCTGGAGTGTCCATCAGCACGACATCGTAGTCCAATAGCGAGCAGCGGCTCCGTGGCATATTTACGTGCAGCAGGGTCTTTGGCTTCAGGGCCCTGGGGGAGTGGGCGCTGGCCAGGTCGTTCAGCGAACTAAGCTCCAACTGCTGGTCCTCCTTCTCGATCCTCACGTGCCCGGTATCGTCACTGGCCTGCACCTGGCAGAAGCAGCTGGTGGTGTGGCCCATGGCGCTGGGCAGGATCCGTTCGTGCAACATGGCATTGATGACGGCACTCTTGCCATTGGAGGTCCTCCCGAAGAAGGCCACCTTCATCCTGTCCCTGGCCAGAACCTTCTCAATAGCCCTAACCTTGTCGAGGTGGCCCTGGAGCTGCTCCTCAGTCTCGAGACCACCACCCACTACAGTAACTTGCATATTCCTTATGTAGTTACCCAAGTCCTGGTAGATCTCCTGCAGCTCTGTTTTGGCGTCCACGAACTCGCTCAGTCCCGATGAGGAGGTGGACGATGTGCTCGGTGCCAGCGAAGAGATGGAGGAAGTACTTTCTCCAGAGTCTGAATCGCACATTTTTTTTTCGAATTCGATTGTACTTTTTAGAAAATATAAGCAGAATACTATTTTTTGAGAGAGAATACGTTCTATAGAGTGACTTGGGGATTGTCTTCAAATATTCTGAAGGTTTTTTCAAAGAATACTTTTCAAAAAAAGTTTAAACTTGAGGTCCTAAAAATTAAAAAAAGCCTTGACTTATTTGCCACAAATTTGAGCCAATTCGCTCAAGTGTTGACCCAAAATGTTCATTTTGTGGTGACCCCGATATGGCTTCCATCCACCATCCCGCTTCCATCAAACCAGCCAGTTATTTGCCCAAAAAATTAACACAATTACGGCAATCATGAAGAGCTTGCCGGTCAGTATGCACATTAATGGGCCACTGAACTAATAGACCAGGCTAAAATGCTTTGGGTGAACTTCAAAAACCCAAACACCAAATAGACAATCGGATGAGGGGGCATGGTTTGGGGTTCGCTCTGAAAAATTAGCAGCATCATCAACAACGAGGCGAGTCGATTGGATGCTTGTATATTTTTCTCAATTTTTTTTTTTTCAATTCGATTGCTGGTAGAAAACAGTAGGAAACAGAGCCAAGCCGAAACTCGCCTGGTTAATCATATATTTCTTTTTTTGTTTCTCCTCAGTGTTCAAGCGGTTTCTTGAGTGCTTTATTACAACTTAATTAGTTTAAATTGTGGCCGGCGCAAAAAAAAAGAGAGATAATAATAAAGAAGAAGCCGCTGCTGATGGAGGCAGGGGACCAGGCAGTATCCGGTGAAAGATCAGATCATATTAGAGTATTGATTCAAAATTAGAAGCCCTAACTAGAAGCCTAGAAGGGCTTAGAAGGGCCTTATCTAGAAGCCTCAGCCTTAAGAGCCTTGAGACCCTAGAAAGAGACCTAGCCTTAATTAGGGAGGACCCTATTAGACCTACACTTTCCATTATTTTTGAAAGACCATCCTTGACATCGAGACCAAAAGCTGCCATGGAAAGCCAGTGAGCAACAATTATGACAGGACAGATCTGCGGCTTTGGATAGTGTCAACAATGAAATGGCTTAAAAGAAACCAAACTCCCCAGCTTACCAGCTTACGAGCTTCTCCATTGTTAAGACACACATGGCCCGGCAACACTATCTGCACTTTAAGCGAAGAAGTCAGCCACTTTTTGGTTCGGTAATGAGTTGCCATAAAAATCCAAACTGAAGAAGCTGAATGAACCTCATGAATGGACGGCTTGTGGCCCATTTGAATAGCTTCATTTGAATGTAATAATAATCGGAAGAGACAAACAAGCGCAGTAATTGAGGAAAACTTTCATAATCCTTAAAGCCACATGGGTACTCAATGGGTCAAGTGCTAATTAAACATCAACTCGCTCGGAATTATGCAATTGGCGGCGGGATTTGGCAAAGGGGGCAGAGGGTTTCGCAAGATGAAACCTAAACACTTGAAAGTGATACGATTATGCAGCAGAAATGCCGCTGACCAGACCGGACTAGACCAAAAATAAAGCCGGTCAGGACGGGCTGCACCTCCCAAACCCCGAAACCCCGAACCCCTCTGTCTGTTTGTTATTTTGTCAGCATGTAAATTTTCCTTTTTTTATTTGTAAATTTGTAGCGTAATGCTGACCACGTAGAATTTCAACAATTTCTACGGTCCGCTCCGGCACCGCTTTGGTGCCCCTCCAGGTCCGCCGCGCCCTCACTTTGCCGCCAGACAGCCACCGCCAGCGGGAGGAGTAGGGTCAAGGAAGGCCACTAGACCAGGCCAGACAGTCGACGGTGGTGGTGGTGGCCAAGTAATAGAGATCCTCAATAGGTGCACCACTGCACCAGATGTTCTTAAATAACATCCATTTTTTTGATGTTTTCTTTCGATGAACAGGAAATTAAATGATAACCAGAGGAAACAATGGAAACTAATTAAAGTTGGGACTAGACTTCTTTAGATACTCTTCCTATTTTAAGAACCATAACTAACTTTCAAATGGAAAATTCTTGAACTTGCAAGAAGTCTTTCCCATCTTAGAAAGCCACAAAATTTCTCAAAGAATTTTTCTTGAAATTCCCATCACAATTTGGGCCTTTTTTTAGACCCCAAAGTGGTCAATAAACTTGCGTAGCTTGGTGGCCTAACTGATTGCATAATGGAATTTAAGCCACCGAAAAAAAAGAAACCCAAGCCGAGTTGGAAATATCTATAACATAATTGAGAATAAGAGTATTTTTCTATGACTTCTAGCCAAGTCATGCTCCAAAAGTTGTCAACGATCCGAGAAGCTAAAAAAAAAAAAAAAACAGAACTAAATCGAATTGAAAAGTAATCAGATTTGTGATTCATTGGAATATATATGTATATATATATATATAGAAAGAAGAGAACTGATTGGAGAACGAAACGAAATGCCAGCCCAGCCCAAAGATACTTGCAACTTAATTACGATAATGACAGATCCTAGAGAAAGGAAACGGGTAGCATATGTCTCCATGACACGGCAACCTTGACAGGACAATGCCGTGACTCTGTCGGGTAACAACTTCATTTCAGTTTAAAATTAATGAAGAAATCCGGGGACAGTACCAACTAAAACGTCGTCTCTAAAACGTGCAGAAGATACATTTTCCTCAGCCTCAGAATTAAAACTCTATAGCTTGAATAGTTTTTCAAAAAAAAAAAAAATACAAATACAAATAAAATGAAATGAGTCGAAAAATGACTTTCATTTTAGTTTGTAGCCAAAGAGGCAACAATAGGCGATAATGCCGCCAAAGGCCAAGATTCGTTTGGTTCGATCCGTGGGGAATTTGGATACGCACAAATCCCGTCGAGCCACCGAGACAATAGCTATCGATAGTGCGTGTGAATGCGTGCCTCGAATGCGATATGAATCTGTCTATCCATTTATCCGGAGGAGTTGGAGGTGGAGTTGGGTGCGCATCAATGGATTTTTAATAAATGGCCAAACGAAGTAATCATAATAAGCAGCATTGTAGATGCTCATGAATAGGAAATATACAACCAATATGGTGGCTGCCTCGGAACTTCCCTTATTCCCGGGTATCACAAAATGGTTGCCAGCCAGAAGCTACTTCCCCCTCTATTACCCAGATCACTGGCCAGGACACACAGGGGCTCTGTTCGGGAGGGGTGCAGTATTTCTTGGAGGGTAACTCACCAATGCTGGCCTCTAAGGATACTTTACTTATAGAAGGATCTCCCAATGTACCCAAAAGATCCTCCATATCATGATCCTGATTCTGATCCATTGATTTTATTTTTGTGGAGCTTTCTTTGACAGCTGATGCTTTCTTTTCTCGATTTTGACAGCCGATGTCAGGTGACTGGCCACACTTTCTATTGTCATTTAGGCTTTGCGACAAAACTAATCGATTAATCGTAGCAGGGAAGCGGTAACTTAAAATTTAAATTAATATTTTTAAGTTTAACTGAAAATTTTCTAACCCCATTTTCTTTATTTTTAACTCCGCCACTGTCTCATCAGGAAAAGGTTCCCCCTTAGGCTTATGTACAGCTTATAGGCCAAAGTTCGGGCCTTCCCTGTATGTCCCTGCCCCTGTATATAGCACTTTTTTTTCTGTATGTATTTTGTTTATGAATTTATGTGTGTTTGTGTATATTTCTGTTAGTGCTATTTTGGCGAATCATGTTTCGTTCATTTTTCAAAAGAAAAATGTTGCACGCAAGGCGACGCGACGCGCGGTGGCTGCTACTTTTACTGCCACTGCCAGTGCCAGTGCCAGTGGCAGTGGCTCTGGATTTGGATTCGGTTTCGAATCTGCCTCAGAAACCATACTCGGTCTCCGTGGTCCCATTCCTACCAGAAAAGGCGGCCCGGCACGACCCAGTCTCAGACCCAGACGGGTTTCATTTCAGAGCCCCCTCGATCCACATCCACCGCCATCTCCTCCTCTTTTGGAGTCTTAATAATAATAAAAGTTCGTGTGCGTGTCAAAGTTTGTTTGAAAGGCAACCGTTGGGTTTCCAGGCCACCAGATTAGCAGCAGCAGCCATCGGCTGTGGGTGGTGTGGGTTGTGGGCAGTGGGCTGTAGGTTGTCGGTTGATGGTTGGCTGGTTTCCACAACAAAAAATAAGCTCATTTTTCTTTTAATTTTCGTGCCTGTCAACTCAAAATGCCTACATTCATTTATAAACGTCTCGAAAATGCACGCACACCCCCATACCACCATCAACACACAGAAAGTGTATTACAGCCCACCACCCCCAGGGATCACAGCCACCCCCGCCCATAGCCCTCAGCCAGGATAATCCATTTTCGTTTATATTAGAGCAGCCGCCATTTTTGGCAGGCCATTTTCTTTCGTATTTATTCCTTTATTCCGAATTGTAATCAGAAATAATCTTCCTTTTAAGGATAAATGATTAGGTTTTGGAATATATATAGATATTTTCATTATAAATATTATGTATGGAAGGCTTAGACTACGAGTATATGACTGTACTTTGCTACACTCTTTAGGATATAGGTATAGATATGGAATGGTAAAGACAGACCATAGACTATATCATCTCGCAAGTATAAATGTAGGCCCCCATTACATACTTAGATATAGTAGTAGTACTACTAAGTGGAAATATATAGAATCTTAAAGCCTATTTTATAGTATGGTAAAGTATAGAATCTGTAGTCTAGAATATATCATCTCGGAAGTATGAATTCAGGCCCTGACTACATACATAGATATAGTAGTAAAAATACAGAGTATAATTGTCTAGAATCTTTAAGTCTTTAACTGAAAGTATAGTGTACACTCCATAGGATAGTATGGTATATAATCGAACCTGATTAGTAGACTATATCATCTTGGAAGTATTTTTAAACGCAAGCCCCCCTTATAATGTAGATATAGTATTTATAAATATTACACATAGAAGTCTTAAACTGAATATAGTTCTTAGGATCCCCAAAAAATGTAGTCCTTTCCCCAAAATAAAAGTATTACACTTGAAATTACTAATGTTAACCCCCCATACATACATAGATATTATATTTATAAATAATTTATCCAGAAGTCTAAACCCTAAAAGTGTAGTCAAATAGACTATGTAGGATAGTATGGTACAGCACCAAAAATATACCATATCATCTCGAAAGTATAAATATTAAGCCCCAGTTTAAAAACTCCCTGAAATTATAGACCTGTTTAAAAATAAAAGTATTAGAGTATCATCCAAGTAATGAAATTTATGTATCATATAAGGAAGTACAAATGTAAGCCCCCATTACATAGATATTCTATAGAAGTAATATCTAGAAGTCTAAACCTGAAAGTAAAGTCTATAGGATAGTATTATATAGTATAGACTCTAGATTATATCATCTCCCAAGTAATAAATATAAACCCCCAGATTAAAACCCCCCAGAAAGCACAGTCCTATCTTTAAAATAAAAGTAACAGACTATCATCTCGGAAGTACTGATGTAAACCCCCATTTAATAATCCCCTTTAAAGCGTCGCACTTTTATCTTTTCAGAAAAAAACGTGTCAAAAATGAACATCTATTAAGTATCTATACCTCTGTTCCCCCACTAGATCTCCGACTTATCTCGAGTTATTTTTGAAAGTGAAATTATATTATATTATCCCCGATAAGATATGGCCAGCTTGAGATGGTCTTAAGCACATGTAACCAGTGCAAGATCATAAACATATGTCTGCAAAGTCCAATAACTCACCAGTTTCATTGTCGATGGTAAAGGGTATTCCGTTCCATTCATTGGTAATGTCCTCCAGTAGGTTCTCGGCGTCCTTGTCCTGAATGGAAGAAACATTAGCATGGTAATGGTAATGGTAATGGATTGGTGTTAGATAACCCGCCAAGAGATCAAGCTATAAGACCTCTATCTCGGGACGTGTAAATATTGTGAAATTCGGTATGTAAATGGTGGGTGGGTGGTTCTACCTTATCTTGCCGAAGCTCCTCGAGAGCTTTCAGCTTCTCAATATCGTCAACGGTGGCGCCAGTGACCTCGGTGGTCTCGGTGGCGGGATCCTTCAGGGCGTCTTCGGTGGATTCGGGTCCGAGCGAGGGGTCCGACGTCTTGGCCTCCTCCTCCAGTCGGCCCTTGGCCTGGCTGGCGGCGCTGTTGCCACTGGCATAGGAGGCATTGATGATCTGCTCCTGGTCCAAGCTGAAGCCCAAGTCCACATCCTGCTTGTAGAGCACCTCGGCGATCTCACTCTCCTGCAAGGTGGAAGGCAAAGTAAATATTGGTTTTCCTTGGACGAGTGGGTTAACATTCTTCCTAAATTGCTAGCACGAGAATCTATATCTGACCATTATATCCCTGTGGATAAACACTCGCATTTTCACTTGATCACTTTTCGACTCCCTTCTCAGGACTCTTCACTCTGGCACAGTCTATCCAAAACAGTCCTTAATTGCACTTTCAGTTGTTTTTCTCAGTTCGAGTTTATTATTATGGTATATGGTATGATATTCTAGACCCGATCTCGATTTGCCAGCGACGTCATCCGCGTTTGTTAGTTCCCCAACAGCGACTGAAGGCTCACCGAGTCGAACGAGTCATAGTCCATATGGGGCACGTCGGCCCCACAATCCCCCCCGACTTGCGGTTCTGCTTTACTTTAATGAGATAATGTCGATTTACATTTCGCCCTCTGATAAGTCGGCTGTAGATAAAACTACGTCAGCGTAAAGATATGGAGAGCAGACGACTTCAGATACTCTAGGTACTAGGTAATTGCGAATTACACCTGGACTGGTCTTAACTGGTCTGGTCTAACTAATAGCTGGCCTTAACTATATGAGATCTTGTAAAAGTATCATATATCTTTATCGGCGTTCTTTTAGGGACTTGGATTACATGTAGGGGGATTAGATAGTAGGGTTGATTAGTTTATTTTAAAAATATAGTGGTTCTTGTATAGTTCCTGAAACTATTACACAATAGTAGCCTTAGATACTTAGGTTCAAGTCCCAAAAGAGTGGCTTAGTTTTCTAAATAAATAACTTAGATACATACTTAAAACTACTTACTTTATTTGAAATAAATAATTAAATTAATATTCTACAAAATAATGAAAACAGATACAGAAATCCAAGACTCTGCAACTAGATTTCCTCTTAGGATCCAAGCCAGAAGCACTTTCCAGTTAGTAGATCCCTATCAGTTAGTAAGTTACTATCTCAGACCAAGAAGAAGACCATCTCTTAGTTATATTTTAAAAACCTAAAACCTGCTCTCTCTTAAGAGACTTTTAGTACAAGTTTATAATATTTGTGGTGATACTGCCAAGCTATGGCCTGTCTGGGCTGTAAAGTTGGATGATATAGAAGCATAGTCCCGTTTTGGGGTGTAGGGTGGGTGATCATGTTTTTTTCGCAAAAGTCTAGCCCCCTATATAGATTCTCTTTGGCAATTTCACAACAGGGCTTATCAGTGCTCCCTTAGCCCGCGGAAACCTCTGGAAAGAGTGCTCGCTCTTTGGCCGATCGATCGATAGTGCGAATCTTATCAATGGCCCACAGACAGCCACAGAGAGAGCCAGCCAGCCCATCAAGAGTCAGGAGATATAGTATTTATAATGCTTACTTAAGCATAGGATGGATGGTGAGGTGAGGTGTGAGAGGGTGTGGAGCACTCTCTTATGGCGTGTTGGCCCCCGGGTACTTGTTTACGCCGCGGCACAGTCCGGATCTCTTATCATCACCGCCACCCGACACTGTAAACAATACTTGGTGGCTATAAATTCATGTCTAAAGAGTACACTTGACCAAAAATTAAGGTTTCTTCGAAAAGAGAATCGAAGAAATGCGAAATTGTAGCAGACTGAAGATCGGCTATGAAGATTCCGACCAAGGAATTCTGCCAATTCATGCAGCTCTTGGCCAAGAGAGCCGACCAGTGACTAAGATGAGGAATTCGAGACCAAATTATAGCGTTAATGATGCATTATTAACGCTGCTGGCCGAAACCACTTTAATCCTTTTTCTTTATATTTTTTTTCTCGACTTTCGGTTATCGCCCACTCCTGCTCCTGGGTTAGTCCGATTCCAGGTAGAATATGGCTATACTTCAGGTGGACTTCGGGGATAATCACTGGATAATAGCCGGACATTAGCAAAACAATGGCCATGTCCAGTCGACAGGACTTTTTGATGTTTTAATTAAAAAGTTTTCTGTCCTTACGACCTTTTTCTTCTTTTATTTTTTTTTTTATTTTTTCTTACTTTGAGTGACATTTTCTTCAGCGAGGCTTTTCTTGAAGTTTTTCCTCTGCACACAGTGGCTGCGAAAAGTAATCAATCACTCTGCCCGCCTGTGTGTGTGAGTTAGTCGTGTATGTGTGTGTGTGTGTGCGGGACCACGCCTATCTCCTGGATTAGTCAGCAGAATATGGCGGCGGCATCATTGGTCTGCTGCTGCCGTCTCCCTTGCTCCCTGGAACCTCGGGAAAAATCGACCCTCGAGGGTTTGGGGTGGGGTGGGGGAAGGGGCAAGAGAAATTAAGGGCCACTGTGTTGAGTCCAATCAATTGCTGCCGCACCATCGCTGACAGCGACGCCGACAGAGGGCAGCAGGCAGCACCAATTCCCCAGGGAGCACAAAAGTATCTTTGTATCTGTATCTATGCGTTGCGCATGTTCGGTAGAAATGAGCAATTAAACTGAGAAGAAGAAGAAGATGAAGGGAGTCCCGAAAACCGAATCCTCCCCTGCTGGCATTCGATTATTATTTCTATTTTTTTTATTTTATTTTCCAAGGGGGGTTGGTTGTTCCTCTTGGTTCACATCATGGTCGGGTTTAGAGGCCAATGATTGGAAACTCTGTTTTTAATTAAACCAAGAGGGGAAGTGGAGGGGGAACTGGTTTTTCTTAAAACTAAAATTCAAGTAAAAGTTTTTTAAAGCCACGATATCTTCCTATTCTTACAGTGTAGACAAAGTTACAGTTCTTATCGGTTAGGGTCGAAAATACATCCTTATCTTGTACTTATAGAAAAACCGAATAATACGTGACGTTAGGAAGTCCAAAGGCAGTCTCCAATAAAATCGGAGAATTCAAACGAGCCTGAGATACTTCTCCTAGGGAAGTAACTGATCAGATCTAGGAAAGTATCTCGGAAGAGAAGATCATCTTAAAGCCTTTAGAGGCTGGAGAGTTCAATGAACTTTACAAGCAAATACTGCCATTTCGCAATTCTTTGGCCTTAAAATTTATGACCTTATTTATGGGCCAAACTCCTATCGCTGGGCCTGGGAACTCTCTCCCCGACCTTGTAGTTCTCCGCTAGTTGGGACACGTGGGACGCTCTCGAGACCGACTGACAACCTGGAGCAGTGATAAGCGGCCACCAGATAAGAAAGTGGGAATTCCGGGCACCAAACTAAGAGTCTTTATGGTTTATTGTTCTGGCCAGCTGGAACTATCAATCATGGAGTCGGTACATCACAATATTGACACTTGTAACCGTTTTGTGGCGGTAATTAGAGCCGATCTTGGTCGATCTTGGCCGATTACTTGACCACACAACCAGAGTGTGTATTTGTCTCTGAAATGGAAAACAAAATGCCGAAGTAAGGCAAGATAAATGACATTCTGATCCTGCCAGAGGGGCGGCGGCGGCAAATCATGAAAGTCAAGAAAGGGCCGACTCCTCTGCCCGCCGAGTGAAAGCAAAAGAAAGTAAGCGGGGCAACCAGAAAGAATCAAAAGGAAGCCAAGGAAAAGGCTACAGTTTAGCAAGAGTCATTAATAAAGCCTCGGCAAAAGATTTTTCTGATGACACCTGAACTGACAGCGCGGCACGAACAACCAGCCAGCCAGCCTGAGATCCCAGGCCCAGAGATCACTTCACCATCTGAAGAATACAGACACACAGACATCCGAACCTGAAAACAGGTACAGATTGGAGATCCAGGGGATGCAGGAGTGAGCCGGTATGGCGCATATATTAATCATGTGCTCGTCAAGCCCTCAGAAGAGTTCGCTTCGGATTGTGCCACCAACAAAGTATCTATGTGAGGAGGTATGGCTGTGTGCCCACTTGTATCTGACGGATTGCTCAAGCCACCTCAAGTGTCCTGTTTTGCGGTTGCAACTACCCCGGGCCCTAATAACAGTTCATTTGTGTCATCCCAACGATTTCCAAACGGGCCCTGCAATTATCAATTTCCAGCTCGAACTTTTTTCATATAGTTCATATAGCCCTATAAACCTTATAATCAATGTGACATCTGAACTTATATACACTGAGAGAAGGCACTTAGAGTCTCTAACTGTTGTTCACAGTTCTGGGTTTAATTAATTATGGAAATTAAGCAAAGACCGGGCCCACTCGGTGGGAATTAAAAGTTTAACAAAAAAAAAAACACTATTATGGCTCTTCTGCCTTTCGAAGGGTAATTAAGTTGGAAAATGCAACGTAATTACAGGCAAATTATTTTTCAATTTGCAGGCCATGCATATACACTGTTTTTTTTTTGGTTTTTTTGCCCACTACTGGCCATGTGAATAGAAAGTTTATTCCCAGTAAACACAGATTAATGGCTAAGAGAAGAAGTAGGAAGCCAGAGAGACACAGACCGCTAGGTATATATGCATATATTTGTACTCCTCGTTGAGACACATTGTTGCGATTTATGATTTTTCCGATCGAGAGTTATAGTTTGATTTCCGTTTGATATTTTTTTTAAGGGAACTAGAAACGTATTGACTGAAAATCGGCATAACACAGACTGAAACTCTCGAAAATGTCGGGGCTGATTAGCTCAGCCAGCAGTCTGAAGGGGCCCCTCATAAAAACAATATATTCGCTCGATTCTCGATTAAATTCAATTGATAAAGTTTGTTTTCACGAATTTCGAAAAGTTGAAACCTTAGCAACTACAAAGACCAAGTCTGATAAGACCTGGTGGTCAGACGTAGCCAAAATAGATTACTTTATCAGCATTTTGAGATTTAAATTTTGAAGCCAACTCTTCCTCTTGGCGGGCGAGCTGTTGCGCTTAACAGTGCTCTGTTAAGGGGTCGTGTCTCGGCTAAGTGGTGAAACATGTTAGCAACAAATGTTGCTGCAGCAAGTTGCGAGGGCTGAGAGAGTGCTGAATAAGAAGGAAAATTCACATAGTGTGGTGAGTAAAAAAAAAGCCGGTAAATCAGCTGTTTTCCCTTTTCCTATTGTTTCGCATTTTCCCACTCAGAAACACACTAACACTAACAGAGTGGAAAGTGCAGCATCAGAATGACAGTTAATAAATTAGAATTTACAAAACGGGAATAAAAAAAAAAGAGAGTATGGGGAAGAATCTGAATCTGATCTCATCACTGGAAGCGAAGTTCAACGAATCTTCCGAATAAAAAAAACCGGAGAGGCGAGAGACGAGAGACCCAGACCCCAAAATAACACCCAAAAAAAGCAACAATAACAAAACGCTGACCATGTAGAAACGTAAAAAACGAGCTTTGTAGATTTGCAATTAGCGGAGGTGCGACAGAGAGGTGAGAGGAGAGAGAGGCGACGAGGTGGACGACATTCAAGAAACTAGAGTTTTGAGCTTCGATCTGTGTTGGTGTGAGTGATGAGGTCACACACAAACGACCTCTCTCTCTCTCTCTCTCTCTCTGTTGCTCACACCTGGGATGTGACACATACACCTGTCCCTGTCCCCATGTCCATGGGTTGGGGTTCTTTCTTCGAAGAACTAGTTACCTATAACTATATATACTCTTTCATTAGCATATTCTTCTTATAGAAGGGTATAATAAAGAAGCTTTGATCTATTATTGAAGACTAAATCATGATATAGACTTTCTATCATAAAAATGGATGATAGACCATCCAAGAACCTGAAATATTGGCACCTAAACAGAACACCCCAGGTGTACAATTAATGGAAATTAATGAACTGCAATGACGGAAGTTCCAAAGTAAAGAGGCCTTTGTTCTTCAATCGCTGGCTCGAGATTATGCAATCCGAATGCCGAATTGCATTTAAATAGATCATCAAATCATCAGATATTATCATAAAAACTCATATATTATGAGTGGCAGTATGCAACTCGGCTATATCTTCTCAAGAACACACATCAGCATAATACTGAGGCAGAAAATAAAACCGTCATCGGCCGAAATGGAAAACATTCGTGACATGTTGGAACAACAACAACAACAATACTGCACAGGCCAACAACCACAAGGAATGGAAAACAAATCGAAAATAACACAAAGTTAGTCATCTCTTCTGGCCTGTCACCTCTCTTTCTCTTGCTATATATCTCTCTCGTTCTCTGCTTCTGGCCAAGTATAAATATTTATGCATATTTAAATTGCAATTGGCGAAAAAAACACACAACACACAACGCACAACAGCAGCAAAGTATTAAAAATACAAAACAAATAAAAAAAAAATCGCAGGCTGCACGGCCGAACATTTGCTGCTGACACTCAAAATTCCACTTTTTTTTGTTAAATTTTTATAAAAAAAAATATAAAAAACGAAAACTGAATATCTAATTATAAGATATTACATATAAATCTGTATCTGGAGAATCAGATATTAAGATTTGGTCGCAAAATCGCAATGCAATGCACTGGCAGGCAATGCCTCCATAAATACTTTAAGGGGTTATACTCAGTTTCGAGAACCAAAAAAGGAGGATATTTAAACCTATTACAAACAGATCTTAAACTTTTTAAGATACTTATTATTTACTTAAGTAGAATAAACTTTTTAGAGGATAATAGCATGTCGATCGGAAATATTTTCTAATTCCTATTCTGTACTCATTTTATGTCCAAAATTAAAAAAAAATTTAATGGATTTCTTTTAAAGAAGCCATAAATGCAATGGTAATAAACGAAGAATTTAAAAAAGAATCGCATTTTTAGCGAAATGGCTTAACTTTGAAAAAAAAATTCCCTTTTTTGCTACAATTTTCCATTAAATTGTTGAAAAAAACTAGTAAAAATTTTTGAAAATAAATTCCTTTGTTTATAATCTGGAATATATTTCCAAGAAGATTTTATACAAATTCTATACCGATCCGTTTATCCATTTATAGAGATATCGAGATCACTGACTTTAAAAACACTCCCTTAATGACACTCTGACATGGGCAAACAAATCAATATATAGCTCCGAAAATATGTACCAGACCGAAATTCATATTTTAATAAAATAATAAATATTTGTTGTTTTTACATTCATTCTTTGTTTTTACATCCTAACTATTGTACCCCTTAATTCCTACACTGTCTGAAAAGCAATTAATAAATTAAATCTATTAATATTAGAATAAAATAAATAAAAATTTTTTGATTTTTTTTTACATCCTAACTGCGTATAACCCCTAACCCCTTATTCCTATATAGTCGTAGCAGCAATTAATAAATTATATGTATTTATTAATAAAATTTTTTGTGGATTTTTGGAAAATCCTAATTGGGATTAACCCCTTAATTCCTATTCAGATACTGAACAGCAATAATTAAATTAAAATTAAGCAAATATATTAAACAAAAGCTTAAATGTTGAATTTTTGTGGCGCAGCCAACGCGTTTCACAACCTAATTGCTGGATGTTTACGTATAATATTTTTAATATGTGAGCTACGAGGCCGAAAAGTGGAGAAAGTTGTGGCGCAGAGACCTGGAGGTATGACAGAAACAAAGAAAATTACGTATTACCTTTAAAGAGATGAGGAACTGAAAGGCTTTTCTTGAAAGAATTACCTTTTAAGACAAATATTTGGCACAATCCTAGTCATATGCCTGGAAAAAGCATGCTTTTAGGGCAACTATGATGACCAGATGGATAACCGTGGCAACAGTCATGCTGATGTGTAAACAAAGCACCACCCCTTATCACCATTACCCAGACCTGATAAGCCACAAAAATGGCAAAAAAGTCACTCCACTCGACCAAACGGCAAACAGAAAGCTGAAATCTAAATATCGATTGGATTTTAGGGGAAATCACAATAAACTATAATTATATAGAAAGCGGTGAGCTATAGGAAGAGTCTAAAAGTGACTGGAATGGGTCAAGCCGGGGGTTCAATCCTCATTAGCAATTCAAAGAGCTTTCCAGCAACACAGTTTGATAATGAGAACATAGCTATAGGTATACATAGGTATATAGCGACTAGGCAGGTGGTGCCATTCTAGTGCTTCTCGAGGGTCTCCTAATCAGTCTGGAAGTACAGACCCCCCCTGAGTTCCATATCAAGTCCTGACCTATATCTAAGAGGGAGTTTTAGTACGGGAAACCTGGCAATATCAAGTGTTACCTCCTCCTCCTCGAATCCTCCTCCGACCTCCACTTCGTTGGCAAAGCTGGAACAGCCAAACGGCTCGTCGGTGGTGAGACCCTCGACCTCACAGGCGTTGGCCACTCCGCCGGCTAGTTCCGCATCATCGTCATCCACCTCCTCCTCGCCAAACAGCCGGCCCAGGTACAGACTGTCCTCCAGGACGTCGTCCGAGTTGTTCTCCACAATCTGGCTGCCCTGATTGCTGGGATGCGGGGTGCTGTCATTGAGGGCCGCCGTGCTAAGAGGAGTGGCGCTTCCTCCGGTGAAGCCGTGGAGCAACGCCGCCAGGCTGAGATCCAGGTGAGAGCTGTTGGGGGCCTGTTGCTGGCCATCCTTCAGAGGTAGATTGGCGTACGGGCTGGACTGCAGCGGCAGGTCGTTGTAGTCGTGGAGATCGGCCAGGTTCTGTTCCCAGATGGAGCGCTGATCCTGCAGCAGGTGAGGCGAGAGGATGATGTCCAGCTCCGGGGCGGGACGCAGTAGAGAGTGGTTCGCGTTTCCAGCTGCCAGGGACGAGGTGTCGATGTGGATTTCTCCGAGAGACGACCCGCTGGATGCCCCGCCCGTGGAGGACGAGCCAGAAGCTGTCCCAGCAGCCCCAGCGCCCTGCACATCCTGCAGAGCGGCCGTCTGGACGCTGCTGTTTCCGGTCGTGTTGTGGAGGTTCATCACGAAGGTGCTGCCGTTGAAGCTGGTTGGCAGCTTGTACTCGCCCACCCCGCTGCCCATGCCCTCCATGGAGGGGTCCATCAGATTGAGCAGATCCTCGATCCGGGGACTCAACCCTTTCCGATTGCCATAGGGGTTCTGGTCCATGTCCAGCCGGTGGACGGTGCGCAGCATCTCCAGCTCCCAGCCATCGCCATGGGAGCCGAGTTCCAGCTGCGAATCCCAGCGATGGAGCAGGTAGTCCGGGTTGTAGTGCAGCAGGCTCAGGGCCAGTGCCAGTTGCAGCATTTTCATCGCATATGACTTTTTATTTGAGATCATGGTGTTGCCGTTTGTGAGCTATTCCGATTCCGAGCAGATGTGAGTGGGTGCCACCACCTCCTCCTCCTCCTCCGTTGCTTGTGTTGTTGTTCTCCGTCTCCGTCCCGGACAACAGCTCTGCGGCTGCGCCGTCCGGGATCGCTGCCTTCAATGACGCAGTCTCCTTGCCCCGCCTTCCGCCTCCGCAACCGCCACCAAAACAATATATTCCGCCGCCTGCAGTTTCTGCAATGATCTTCGCTTTTAATTGATGGCTGTCCTCGGGCTCTTTCTGTAAGCAGAACAAGATATAGAATGGAATTAGTGACAGAATCTATATGTCTATATATATATGTATGTATGGATGGGAGGTGGAGATGTTGCAGTTTGAATGTTAAATGACTTTTGTTGTGATTTTGCGGCCTTTGTGTTCGACCTTGGGTCTTGTTTTTATAGAGATTTCAAGCTTGAGGAAATGTTTGACAAGAAAGTTGTCATTTCCGGTGGAAACATACTAGTTCTTGGTTAGCTAAAGACATCTATGGACCTGCAAGGACCTCCAGATTAATTTTTTTAAGCAAAAGACTACCGGAAGGTATATAGAAATGTTAGGTTCCGGTTTCTAATCCGACTGACTGACCTCTACGCATTTAAGCAAGTTTCTTAAAAACAGCTTCATGTCTGCGACGCATTTAGTATGCCCACTAGAGACCACCCCCACTCACCACCGGAACTCTTCGGGTTAACAGACACATCCACCCACAGACCTGGGGGCGGGGAAGGAATGACCCAGACCCAGACCCAGACGCGACTGTGACTGTGAACTTGAACTTGTTCAAGGTCTCTCCGTTTGAAAGGCGAAATGTGCGCACTGCGTTGAAGTGAAGAACCCAACTCAAGGACGGTCGGCCCCATGCCGATGCCGGTGCTGGTGCTGGCCAGGCCAAAAAACTGTCAGAGGCGCGTTTGGGGCCTGCTGAGATATAAACTTTCTTTGTTTCCACCGATCGGCTGATAATCGGCCCCAAATGGAATTAATGCATTAATGGAAATTGAATAATAAATAAACTTTATTAAATAAAAAAAAAATATAAAAAAAAACAAACATTGATTAGCTCAGAAGAGTGCGAAATTGCGAAATTTTCAATGAAATGATGGCTGCGATAGGTGTGAGCGAGAGCAAGGGTGTGTATGTATGTATGTATGTATGTAGGTGCAATGGAGAGCGAGAGGGTGCTGTGGAGAGTGCACTCACCTTTTCAGCTTTTTTTTTTGGGGCAGATGATGATGGGTGCTGGCTGACTACAACGGTAAAATGCTGCGACGCAGTAAGGTGCTCCTTCTCCTTCTTGTTGCTGTTATTGTTGGTGCTTCTTCTTCTTCTTCTTAGCTGCACACACAATGGCGTATGTTTTATTGTTTACCCTTTCACACCCCCTCGTTATTGCTGGGGGGAGAGTTTATTTGTTTGTTTATATTTCACTTTCTTTCTTCACTTTTTTTTTAAATAATTAACTGTAAAGCACGCGTTTTATTAGAAAAATTCACATTATGTCTGTGTGAGTGTGAGTGTCCTTGAACTTTCTTCCTTTTCTTTCTTTTAACAATTATTTGCCGACATTTTCATGTAATTTCATGTCTGTGAGATCTGACAGCTGCCCTTTCTACGCACTTTTTGTGTTCTTGTGCATGTGTGTGTGTATGTGTGTTAGCCGCATGGTGAAATCGTCATTTGTTTTAAAAAAAAAAACAAAAATATTTTCGCTTTCTTGTTTTTTTTTTGCACTCCGGTGTGCCTAATATTTTTTTTCGTGTTCCGCCTGCCCACCGCGCTTTATTTCTTTGTTTGCTTTTATCGCCCCATTCTCGAGTGTCTGACTCACGCACACACACACACACGTACATAGAACTGCTGTTTTTTCTTGCCAATTCTGTATCCGAATGTGCTTTGTTGGTAACAAAAAATGACTGCATTTAATTAAATGCAAAATGATTTAACTTTTATGAAAACACACACACACACGCAACAAGCGAGCACTGTAGCCACAGCCACGCTCGGAAGCTTCGAGAATATCCAGAGAACAACTTTGTAATTTAGCTACCGGCGGCAGTGGACGGCAGTGGAATCGGCAGTATTTCTGATTTCAACCTTTGTATCAACAATTATTTATCAAATCACTGGCTCTAGTTGCGCTTTTTTTTCGCTTCTTCTTCACCTCGGGCTGCAGTGTCAGCTGAGCGTGGAAATTGGGAGAGGAGCAGAGAAGCGAGAGCGAGAGGCTGCTATATAGCTGAATAACTGTTGTTGCTAGCCTGTTGGTCGCGCCACCAGCCCACCACCGCCACAATGAGTTGCACTATTTTGTGGGGCATGCCACATAACTGTCGATTTGTGCAATTGGTTCCCCCAAATAATCTAACTACACTTTTCATTCCATGTTCCGGCAAGCTCACACACACACACACACACACACACACACACACACACACACCTCAAATCCGCCGCCTGTACTTCGCACTTTTTCGCGTCCCCTTTCACTGTTACTTTTTTTTTCTGGCGAAATTACCGCCCGCGTCTGCAGTGCTTCACTATTTGTTTGTCTTTATTTTAAGTACGTGGTGCGATTGCGAAGCTTTTGCGAATTATTTTCTCCACCTGAGCAGTTGTTTAGCGCGTTGTCGATTTAAGTTTGACGACAATAACAGATTAGGGTTGTCGAAGCTTCAAAAACCAGCAACATTTTATTGAAGTGCTGTAAAAAGCTCGTTTTTAGTTTCAGTGTGGTACAATGCCATACCTGCTAATGGGTGGCAATTCTTTAAAAACTAAATCTAAATTTAAGGAAAAATTATAATACAAAAATAATTACCCAAAAATGGAAATATAAATATTAAAAGAATGCTTAAAGAATGTGATCAAAAATGTAGGGAAACCAATTTTTGCTTCTGTTAACATAAAGATCAAAAGGTTGTTGTATTGGATAAGAAAATACTGTACATTTCGGCCTTCTGGCAACTTTACACAACACTTGTGTGAATTGTGCTTTTTCAATTATTGTATTCTTTTTTTTTTAATGTAATAGATTTGAGAAACATGGACCTTTTCCCATATTTTGGCAACATACGAATCGGCAAGGTGCGAAAGCCAACTTGAGTTGGAAACATTTCACCTAACATTTCACTGTTAGCGCCCTGGACATTTAAATGTTCGAAAGCTCACCGTAGTAAAAACTCACCACGAGTCGATTCAAATAAAATAATGAAAATGTATAAACTTAAATTAAACTTACCGTTTTGTTAAATATGGCTTATAAATATGTTGTTGTTTTGTCTTGAACTTATTCTTAAAATTATACTTTAAAATCTATACCTTATTTACTAGAAGAACATTATACAAAACTAATTAAATAGAATATTTAATCTAAGTAGTTGGGGTTTGTTTTTTGTGGCATTATCTATGGAGTAATTAGTAACAAAGTAGGTTCAATAGATCATATTAATGGGTATTTTTACTTAACAATATTACTGGTCTATCGAAATCGGATTAATCAACAATATCATAGCCCATGACCCCGAAGGGATAACCCATCCCTTACCTCCCAAAAATATTAATTAAGATTGATGGAAACAATACTAAGATACGAGGGACTATCTGACGACAACTGTTGTGCTAGCAATTCGGGAAAAAACGCAATACCCTCCCCCTCTACTTACCAGGGTGGTAAAGTCGAAGCCGTTGCGCCAGTTATTTTGGCGGTTACCTGGGGTCGTCGACTGGGGTGTGGGCGGGGTCTCCAGAGAGGTCAGGTCGACGGTGACCGGGATGGCGGGCTTGGAGGCCACCGTGGGCTTAATCAGCTTGGCCAGCTTCGAAGGTGGCCCGATAGGCACACGGACCGTGACCTTCTTCTTGGGTCCAGGGATCGGATCCAATTGGGTCTGGTGGTAGGCATCCTCGATCTCCTTGGCCGGGGACAAGGATTGCATCCGAGGCAGGTCTTCCATGTCAATCATGATGGCTTATCGGTAATTCCAAAAGTCAACTGAAAGAGAAGCGCCAGACATAGAGATAATGAGGACTTTGGGTATTATTTATAGTGTGAGTCATGGAGGAAACTATTATCTTCAGAGTATAGGTTGAAATTTAAATTTTTTAATATGAAAGACTTTCGAGGAACCTTGCTAATCAAGTTTTTACTGTAAGCCTGCTATAAAGTACTGATAAGTCGACTTCGATTGGCGGAATTCTAAATCGAGATACAGCCACAAACGGTTTGTTTATTCCATGATTGGGACCGGGACCTGTTTATGGCACAGATTACACTCATTGGCATGGTCTAGCCAACAACAATGGCCCAAAGATAAGAGAGTTGGGCTAGCATTTCCTATCTATCGATTGATACGGGAATAGCAAGTATTTTCGCTATCAGTTGCCATAAAATGTTTCCCAAAGGAATTAGCCCTGTACAGTGAACACAGGCTAATAGAGCATGCAAATTACATCAGCCAATGTTTGAGAAACTGCTTTTTTTCGATTAGATTGTGGATCATAAATGAATTCAAATTCAAACGATAAGTTATGGGAACCAATCATGACTGGAGGTTCTTCTGCGGAGGTATTCCCTCTGGTATGGTTCCTATATGATGCTAGACTATCTAATCAATGAACTCATTCAACTCAAATAGTTATTTGTAATTTTAACCTTTTCGAGTTTATCTGAAAAATAACAATCCACTTGGTTTTTGCATTACACTATCTTGGCTATCTTCCCTATCTTTAGTATCTCTGTTTAATTAAGACCACCCAAAAGGGGTCGTTTAAATAGCACTCGTGGAAAATAATTTCCATACTGCCGTCTATTAATAATGGTTCATTTTAGACCTTACCCAAAAGCCTTATAATTATGAGGTTTTCTGAGAAAATAGCGCCGCAAATAGCCGGAATTAACAGTTCGGAAACGTTGAGATTTGTGGCTTTAAGGCCCCGTGACTCATCGTAATGTGCGAAGAAATAAAACAAGTACAGTGGCAAGTAAAGAAACAAGTCAAGTCAATGGAATCGACTTCAGATCGAGCTCAGATCTTAAACTTTTTTTTTGGAAAGACAGAAGAGGCTGTTGTTGGTTGAAAAAACTGGAAACTGGAAATGAAAGTTTTAGCCATTGAATTGTATTTTAGAACTGAGAGCTGTCTTTAGAAAATTCCCCATATTAAACTAGTTTTGTTATCAAGTAACTCTTATGGAATCAAAGTGATTTTCCAGCTCAAATCGAGAATAAATGACAAGTCCGCTTGTAACAAGGGAATTAAGCTTAAAAACACTACTTAATTGTTGTGTTTTGTAACAGGTTAGTTTTGTTGTCAACCGAAGGTAGAATCCAAAATTCAAGTTCAGATTCTCCTTCTTGTAAAAGATTCTTAAACTCCAATTTCTGCAAATCATCCTGTTTTGGATATTAAATATTAATAAACAGTGAAATCACAGTGCAAACTTGGCTATATCGAACGATTTTTTCCCCGAATCCGAATCCAAGTCAACATTGCAAATCTGTTCGCTTCGAGAAAATAAAAAACAAAACCAGTTTCTTAATGTTTTTTATGGCAATACTCTGGCAAGAGGAAGATGCGCTTTCTTTTGAAGTTGGTTAGGGTTTTTAAGTAAACTTAGGGAATACTTTATCAAGAAATTAAAGAAAAACTAAAATAAAGACTGTGATTTGTTAATCAAAACAAGATCAAAGCAAAGTAGTTTCCTTGTTAGACTTGATTTCCATTGACTATTATTGCATAATTTTAAAACAAACCTAGGGTATTGTTAGCTTCGTAGCTTATATAAACCTATTTTCCGGGCCTGTTTTTAATAAATACTTTCTTGTTGTTGTCGCTTAAATGCCTTGACGCAGCTTATAATTTGAATCCACGCTGGGCATAATTAAATCCAACAACAAGATGATCAGAAAGTACGAGAAAAAATGCGAAAAGTAAATACTATAGAAAACAAATATAAGCAAAGTTCAAAAACAAGCCTTGTCCGGCCCGATATCGGGTATTCTGAGGAGAACACATATTGATTTTAACAATCACCTGTCAAAGTGGCATCAACAGGTGAGTGAAATGGGGAGAGAATAAAGAAAATAAACCCGGAATAGTAAGCCATAATAAAATACACAAAATATTTCGTGACAAAGTCTTTAAAAAACCGTTTTTAATAATAGATTTGGGGGTCAATTGAGGGATTATAATAATATAGTCTCTGGATTCGATTCTCTGGAGCGTGAATTGAGTTTTCGAATATTATTTAATTGTTGGTGCGCCTTGTGGGGAGCCTCCATTATCATTATCATTATCATTACCAACCACATACACACTCTCGCACCCACACACTCTCGCGAATTAATGTAAATATTTATTTTTAACACACGACTTTGTTGTTGTTGGGGCACCAAAGAGACGATTGAAGGGTCCAAAGAGCGCCAAGTTGGGGGAAAGAGTGAGAGAGAGCATCGCTGATGACCACATGCCGGTAGCTGTATGCGAAAAATACAAAATGTTGTTTGTGCACAAAATTTCCACAGAAATGGATACGAAAAACAATTAAACTATTTGCCAAATGCGAGAGGGAGACCAAATTTTCTATTAAATTGAACTTTTTTTGATTAGGCCAAATGCCGGATACTACACAGGGAAGTATTTTCAGTTTTTTTTAGTTTTTCATATTATTTTCAATTAAGAACCACACCCTATTTTATAGGATATTTCCTTAAGTTTGTTTATTTTTTTAAGATTGTCCTTTGGTTTTTCTATATTTTTCTTTCTGTGCATTCACACGCGCACTAACACACACACACGGAACTCATTTTCGCTGGGGGGAGGCACTGGGTGGGGAGAACTCGGCGGGTTTAACGACGCAATTGTTGTGGCCCCTTTCAACTGGGCGGAATTAAATGTAATTATTTTGACTATTGTGGGTTGTTGTTGTTCTTTTATTAGTTTTTTTTTTTTATAACTCTTCACTTTACCTAGGATTGCTTGTTGTTTTTGTAGCTTTAATAGATTATAACTTTTGTTTTTAAACACTGTTTTCAAAAAAACGCGCCACTCTCGCACACTTGTTGTTGTCTGTGATTTTGCCAAAGAGAGATATTACGTATACGCCGTGGGCAACACCAAAGCATGCCACGCACTTAAGAGCAGCGAAATCAGCTGGTCTGGGTTTGTAGAAAGAGCGGTCCGGCAGGCAGGTGGGGAGCACAGAGTTTGGCGGGCGTTTCAGAGGGGGGCGCTAGGTGAGACGACGAGTAAGCGAGCGAGCGAGTAGCTGGGGCGATTGTAATTGACTGAACGGCTGTTGAAAAAACACTGAAAAGCCGACGACTGACAAAGTTGACTTCAGCTGTTTGCGTCGGCGGCCGACGAACGAGATATAGGAGGTGGCCGGCCGGGTGCGGGGAGGCAGAGAGCCGGAGAGTGGCAGTGCGGCAGAGCGGCAGGCCAGCAGCGAGGCCCCAAATCGCTGAACGCGCCTGATAAAAGCAAGCAGATAGTGCAGGGCAGGCGAGCGTACAAGTGCGATGCCTCGGCTGATACCCGCCTGCCTGCCTGCCTGCGCCGACAACTATGCGCTTTTCGGCTTAGTAGTAGTTGTTTGTTGTTGTTGATTTATTCTACCCAGCGCGTGTGACAGCTTCCTAATTGATCAATCATCGCACCTGGCCCACCTGTTTGGGCCATTCAAGCTTGGTGTGATGATCGGCAAACGGGGAAATCTTCAAGCAGACGCCATGACTCAAGCTTTTATCGCAACTTGGCTATTAAAGTTCGGTCGTATTGATAGCTAATCGACATGCCCGGTGTGACCAACTCCATATATGAGTAGGGAAGTGTGACCATATAGCAATCAAGCTTAAGGAACTTTAATTATAGCTTAAATACAATAAGAAGAATAAGATAAATAAATTGGTTGCCAACCTACTTAATTTCTAATAAAAACTTATACTAAAAAGCAAATACAAGCATATGATAAGATTAAAATTTAAAGTGTTGCCGCGCAAATATTAGGTACATTTTAGTGATACTTTCATTTTCAATCGAAAAATTTACCAAAAAAAATAAAAAAGCCAAAAGTTGCCTCTAGACAACCTTTAGTTGCTGTCTTAGTTGTCTCTTCTATGAATGGAATAGTGATTAATAGCTTGAGTAATATTATTTTCCAGGCAGTCGTACTTCTATCCTAGAACAAAATCAATAAAACGTGGTGATAACCAAATCAGAAGGCATTTCCGGGGGTTCCTTATGGTAAGTCTCTGGCCCACGCCTCTGCCATAAACAAATAAAACCGAAAGTACAAAGCAATTGGATAGAAATATTACACCATATCCATAGGCATTGTATCAGAATCTAATATATGGTTTTATCGCAGCCATTTTTCTTTTATATTAAACCAGTGATAGTAAACGAAAGGACTCTGAAACACAAAAGCCAACCCTGAACCACCATTCCAGACACATAAGTGTTACAGATTAGTTATCGCTTTTATTTAATATTCCCAGTTGACTTAAATTACATTATGTAAATATATATATTTATGTATAGATGTGTATATATCATTAGCATACAATTAGAATTACGTCTTTAGAGTTGCTCTGCCTGCTTTCCATTGCATTTCTAGATACACTTTGTATTTCCCTACGCCAATTTTCATATAAAACTGATAGCCAATGCGTAACTAATAATTTATCATAGGTTTACAACGACTAAAAATAAATTTTCATCTAATAAAATTAACTAGAATTCCTTTTTCGATCGGGGTATCTCCAACTCCAGGTCTAAGCACTCGGGGATGCAGTGTATTTTCGGACTAATTGGGTTGAAGGTTGGGTTGGTTGGTCAGATGAATTCGATGAACTTAATGGAACCCAAACGTGATAAGTCAATCAAAGCTGTGGACGGATATGCATTATACCATACAATATATATTGGACAGGGAAATGGGTTTGGGAACAAGTTAGAGTTTGAACCTAAAAGAAGTCTTCTGTTTCAGTTGATCCGTAAAAACTTTCTAAATCTTCTCGCAATCGTCTTTCCTCCCATCCAAGTTCTGCTTTTGGGCTTCGAGTATTTTGTTTTGTTTATTCTGTGTTTCGATTGTATTATATTTCTATTTGGGGTTATTTTCTTTATTCATTTTAGTTGCTTGTATGGTTATACATTTATCGAAAATCCGGTAAAATCGCTCCAAAACTTGTTTTTGTGTGTTTTTCTCTGTGATCTACCTTTGTTTGCTAATAAAGTTACTTTTGTATTTTTGTATCTCCTACCGTCTCTTGTTGTCTCTGTATCGTAAATATACTGGGGTATCTGAGCGATTGACATTGTTGCAAGTATGTATCTATGAGAGTATCTTTGAGTTAGTCTTGAGTGTGTCTAAGCCAAGCAAACCATCCGTTTCCATCCGAAATCACGTTTTATGTTGAGGCCCAAATCAAAGATTTCTAGTGGCTCGATGCAAATACAAATCTACAAATTAGCATAGCCAAAAATAGTTGAAGGCTTGACAACCAATCGAAAAATGAGAGGGGTATCTACTCCAAATGGGCGTAGTTTGAAAGGGGTTTCAAGTACTATTGCCTCTGAATGTCTCCTTATAAGATTCACTACATTTATAGGCATTACCTTCTGGTATAACCCTCTCGAATACCACTTTCGCTACGCCCCTGACCCATCCCAATGCTAATCTCTTTGTAATCTGGCACTCTCTTATCGGGGGACTGCCGCCCATGGCACAACTCCAACACGTTTATATGGCCGGCCCAATAATATCAAACCGGCGTGCCAGGTGCCCCCAGGTTTCGGAGGCTTCCCTCAGTTTACACAAACACCTTGGGCTATCTTTAGGACAGACGCTCTAACACTAATTAAGTGATAAGCAGCGATATGGTAAACACAAGAATGAACCACTTATTCTGGTAACGAAAAACCTAAATCGTAGTTACGGAATGTCAGTAAACTGATTGCCAGTCTGGTGCGGAAATAAAAAGTGTCGGACTAATAACTCCCAATAATATCTAGCAGAACTACAGCATGTATGCCATGTATGTACATTTGGGGGAGGGGTATGACTATATGGTATTTCGTATCTCGAGTGCCTAAGTTATATGCCCACCTGACCTAAGACCTCTGCTCTGCCAACTACGACTAGTACCTATGGCAGCCATGTGATATCGTTAAAGTATTTAAATTTAAAAGTCGTTAGAGATTTACATATTTCGCGTGCCTGAATTGCTATTTTAATATGTGGAATCAGTTGATGTCTCTGCTGAAACTTGTTATTCAACCGAGTTCGATTGGGATCGACCTTGAAGGCCGTCTCACCTTTATAGACTTCCGGTAGAGAGAATCAAGTTAAATGTTATTTATTTAAAATAATAAATATAAGACTATGCTGGAAGCTTCACACTTATTCGGTCAGGCAGTATCCTTAGATCGTTATAGATGCATTATGTTGCGATAAGTAGACTATGCTTTTTGGACAAAAAGGAAGAATTCTGTGATACTTCTGTGATGCGCACATACACGGACACACACCCGAAATCTAATATACATATGCTATACATTTAATCATTTAGCGATTTAGTATATCTGGGGACTTTGTTTTGGTTTTTTGGGGATTTTGGTTTTTGGTTTTTGTGTTTTTATGAAAAAATATGTTTGTTCTTTGTTCTTTGCTTACACTCTACAATTATATCCATTGCTCTAAATATGTTTTGTTTTGTTTTTGGGTTTCTGTTTCGGTTTGTAAAATATACATACATATACAATATACATATATAGATAGATCCTTATGTTCAGTTGTAGATATACACATACATATGTGCTAGAAAAGGTCACCCGCCTCCGGGTTAGATATACACATATATAAGAGCTGCTTGATCATAGCATTTGTAATTTACAGTGCGTGTGAGGGGTTCTTTCTTTTAAAAATACTAAACTTATAGGAGACCTACGAAACGAGGGAACCAAGGAGATCAATCGAACTTTCAATGATATGCTAAAGAGTACACATTATATCCATAGTTAACGCGGCGAAATCAAAACCCACTTAAGATTCGTGTCTGAGAGGAACATAATTACAAATGAGTTTGAAGAGGACTCTGGCGTCCCTGCTCTGCCTTCTCGGCTTTTATCGATGTGAGTGCAGGTTGCTTTCCACCCACTTGTAGAGCGAGGTCTGTGACCTGGCCACCCACTCCACGTTGGAGGCCACGCTGCTTAGGGTCATGTTCAACACCGACATGCCGTGACCCCGTCCAAAACGATGCACCAGGGATTTCAGCTGGAAAACGAAACACACAAAAGGTTAAACTAATATAAAATAATGAAGATATTTCCAACAAACCTCATCGTAGTCGAACTTGGTGGCCCCGTATTGGGTGATGGCCGATATGACCTTGGCGAAACTTATCGTGCCAGGGCCCAGGCGCTTCTCCAGCTCGAACCACTTGGCCTGCAGGAAACGGCAGGCCATAGCACCGCCCGTGGGCGTGCCCGCAATAGCCTTGAGCACCTGCACCACCTCCTCGGTGGGCAGCATCGTGACATGCGAGAGCAGGCGGTTCTGAAGCCAAGCATCCTTGGTCCTGCCCAGAGCACGGAGCAGCTGCATCCTTTCCACGAAAGTTTCCGAGGTGCGTTGCAGGTTAACGAATCGCTCCCAGCAGTGCTGCCAGTAGATGTACTCCCCGGATAAGATGGAGCCAGTGTAGACCACCTGAAAGGCAGAGTTTTATTTTAAATGGATTTTTAATCGGAGTAAAGAAAGGAGTATTACCTCTCTAAGATTTGGGGGTATGGCAGAGCCATTATAGTACAAGGACTGGTTAAGCATATTCTTGGCCTTGTTTATGCTCTCCATGTCCTCCCACAAGACAGAGGCCAGCAACACCTCTGGACGCATTAGCCTATAAATTTGAATAAATTTATTAATTAGCTTATTGTGTCTTAAAAAGCATCTCCCATACCTGGTAGCCACATCGCCATCGTCCGACCAGCCCACCTTTTCCATTACGGTGGATATCTTTATTTTTATGAACTCGCTAAGCATGAGGAAGCATTCAGAGTACTTGAGAATGCGCCGCCATTTCTCCAGGTGCCTCAAGGCCAGAGCCATGGGTCCGTAGTGGGTCTCGCTGGGCAGATACTGGATCATGTTCATGGTGATCTCGCAGGGCAGCAGGTTGGCATGGCATAAGGTGAAGGCGTCCGACAAGAGACCCAAGCGATCCTAAAAGAGGGTTAACAGGAATATAGTTTATGGTTAAAATAAGTTGGGTATTTTGATATTTACCTCGCTCGTAAACCGTTGGGGATTGTTGGAAAGTTCCTCAATCAGACTCGCCCAGTTGTCATCGTTGTAGACCACTCGGTAGTATCCATTCTGTATGGCATTCACCTTGATCCACTTGACGTTCTCCGGCACATTGAAGGTTACTAAATAATAAAATAAAAACTCAGGACTTTATTACAAAATTTAAGAGAAAAGAAGATCCTACTAACCATCAACGTTCTGCATCCAAAGAGTCTCGCTGACATTGTTTATATCGGTGACATAGGTAACCGGGAATATCCACTTCATATGTGGCGGAGTCTTGTGCTTGTTGCCATGAACCGAGGGCGCCACTGTGCTGGGCATGTCCGTGGCATTGACTGCCGTCTTGTTGTAGTTGTTGCCATCGTAGGAATCATCGTGAATGGCCAGGAATTCGGCCGGCCGGAAGGGTCTCTGCGAAATGGAAATGCTATTGCCCATTTTGGTGACGGTGAGAAGCGGAAATCCTGGCTGATGTGTCCACAGGGTCATCATATCCTTGATGTTCTTCGATCCATTGGCCTTCTTGGTACAAATGGTCCAGAGATCCGTGGGCTCGGCAGTTTTGAAACGATTCACCTTGAGGAACGTACCAAGACATCCTCGGAAACGGTCTTCCCCGATGGCCGTGTGCAGCATGGAAAATATGGCGGCCGTCTTCTGGACGAAGAACTCCTCGTTGTTGCCATCGTGACTGGTGCCGTTCATAATGCTGTCCCATCCTTGGATGGCATCGATATCGAGTGCCGCAGTGGCCATTTTCAGCAAGTACATCTCTCGCAGCGGCCAGCTATCCTGCAGGGGGGCCAGGGCATGAATACCCAGGTACTGGATCAAGCCCTCCCACAGCCAGACGTCCTTAAGTACTTTCCGGGAGGTGATGCCCCCGAAAAACTGCCTCACCATGGCCTCGGCAATGCGCAGGGCACTGAACTGATACTGTTCCGAGGTAATCGAATGCGGATCCGTCAGGAAAGATGTCTTCAGGGTCACCAGGCCCAGTGAGGATATCATATTTCGATCGAGCGAAGGGAGTGCCACAAAGTCCACCTTCGTAAGAGGATAGCTTATGTCCAGCCAGGTTTGCAGATACTCCAGAACATCCCGCGATGTGTGCAGGATGAACGAGGAGCGAACCAGCAGATCCCTCGGCGCATAGAAGGTGTACGATGGAGCCCGCTTTATGGAGTATCCCGTTGACTGGGACATCGAGGTGAGATTCGAGGGCTTTCCGTTTCCGTTCAGATTAACCGGAAGTGCTGTTGTCGTTGTAGCATGAATGGCGCTCAGGTTCTGGCGCGGCGTCAGGTTCACGTTCAGGGAATGTGTCAGGGCAGTGATGTTCCGTACCGGCGGGTTCTTGCCTTTCAGCTGCGTGTAATTGTTCAGCTGGGCGGACTTTTTGCCACCGACTCCGGAGCCCAGGGGGGCTGGTGTCGTCGGAATGTAGGCGGCGGAGGGCTGCAGGGACTCGCGTTGGAAATCGCTCACTACCCATGCCACAGCGTCGGCGGGCAGAGGTGGTGTTTCAATGAAGTCATCTCGGAGCTGCAGAAGAATATAATATTTCAAATATAAGGGTATCTCTTCCAATATTTGTTTTTCTGGAAACTTACCAGTCCCGTGCCCATGTAGAAGCCAACATCTTCGGTGGTGTGCACAATGGAGTTGGACAGACCAATATGGAAGCGATCTCGGAACACGGAAATGCGGAATGGAGCTCGAACATGCGGCTCATCGAAGCAGGGAAAAGCCCGTCTCGCACCATTCGGCCGGAAAACAGTGGCAGCCAGTAATCTGAAGGAAATTAGTTATATTTTTAGATTTTTTACATTCATACTTTAGATTTTAAACAAGTAACATTACTAAAAGTCTTGAAAGTTAAAGTAAAAACCTACCTTTCCACTCCGTTGGAGCTCTCATACTGGTCGACGTAGAAGCCCTCGGGCTCGGGATTGAGTTTGGAGTACCAGCGCAGGTTGAGGGTGTAATTGGACTTCTTCTTCAACTTCTCCTTCACCTCGATGTAAAGCTGCTGACGGGGCGGAAACTCCAGCACCTTGACAATTTTGAGGGCATAGCCCTTGGGTCCGGGGGTTACAATGGCCTGGAATCGAAACGGAAATGGTAAAAGCAACGGAAACGGACTTGGACTCGGCCTCGGTCTCAGCCTCGACAATGCAATCAATGGACGCACTTGAACCAAATGCTAATTGGCTTAATTTGCATGCTCCCGGATCGGGCTTACCTTTTCGGTGACATTGAGGTCCTGGATGTGCAGCACAATGAAGTTGGTCTCCTTCTCCACGTGCAAATCGATGGTAACTTGACCTGAGCCGGAAGGAAAGCAAGAAAGTCAGACAATCGAATTATACCTCCAATGGATGAACCCAGAGGGCAGAGCTCAGTCATTAAAATCTTGGGAGACTCACCTTTGACGTCGAGGGTCGTCAGGTTGGGGTGAATGGTGACCATGTAGCGCAGGGGTCGCGCACTGGTGGGCAGCATCTTTTCCAGCCAGGGGAAAGGCTCCCCGTTGGTGGCAATCGGATTGAAGGGCTGGGTGTTGTTTTCTTCATCCGATTCGTATCCGGACACCGTTTTCGATCCGCAGGAGCAGTCTGCAAGGATAGTCAAAGTGCGTAATCAGTAACGGAAGCAGTTCAGGGCTCGTTCCTCTGCTCCTCTCGCGACTCTTTCGGGGATTCGTTCGCTAAGTTCGTTAAAGCAAATTGCATTATACACAATCAACGGAGTATATAAAGGGGGGTAAGACCATCTAAGTGGGGGTTTGGGGTCTGGGGATAAAGTAAAGCTAGCAGTAAATCGGTTTAATAATTTTTCACGTCATTAGCACATCTAGTGGTGGAATGGATTAAACTCTCATGGGATATCACAAATGAAGATTATATTCTGGATGAGCTTCTGGATGAGTGATGAGTGGGAGTACGTCTAGAATCCACAAGCCATTGGGAAATCAACAAAGAAATCTACCACATAAACCAAACATAAAAAATACAAGAGAAGGTTTAGATTTAAATAATATCATTATAAAGAAAATATGTACAGATATGTAGTCTTCGTGGGAGTTTAATGCTTTTCTTTAATGTTAAATGGAGTTTATTTCGAAGTTTCTTCTTATTAAAATTAGTGAGTTTTGTCATTTTTATAATCGCGATGATCACTAGGTCGGTATTTGGTATTTACAAATTAAAGAAGACAGTCTTCCACTAAGTATAGAAATATAAATCGAAAGAAAGATCTAATATCTAGAGATAGAAAACGCAAAACTAATAAAGTAGAGAAAGGATAAGATATTTAGATGGTCAATGACACCAACATGCCGAATGATTATATAGATTTCGTGGCTATTTACCAGTTTGGAAGTATTCGGGTTTGGCATAATTGTTACTCACATTTGAACCAATCAATCAAACAAGCATTTAAGAGAAATATTTCATATTTTTTTCAAAGATTCATAATATATATAATATATATATAATAAACGTTTGGTATACGAAGGAAACGGAAGAGTGGAAACGGCAGTATGGCAGAAGGGAAATAACAAAGGGAAACAAACGAACGATGGCCAGGAAATTAAGTATTTATTTTAATGGATATATATACTGGATACTGAATACTGAATACTGGATGGGAAAAGGCATAAAAATACATGTGACATGGAGTAATAAAGCCTGTCGTTATGATGTATTCTCTAATTGGCTAGGCGGAAGCAAAGGTTAAAGCTGACAGGAGTCTATACTCTCCGACAGACATGTGGATATCCGCAGAACACACAACACACACTTGCGGCTGGTTGACGCTCCCCTTGGACTAATGCAATTATCCCCCAATGCATTTAGCCCCATTAAGTATGCAACAGAGACTTGCAGCGAGTGTTTGCACTTTGCATAATTCTGCAATTGAATATAGCCTGGCATCGGTATCCACAGTATCCACAGGCCGCACACCACGCTCTGCAGGTGCATCTATTTATACGCGGACCCCGCCTTGGCCCCCATTTAATATGGTTAAAAGCCTATTACACGGCCCGAATGGATTGCTCTCGGCCAGAGATGGTTTATGGCCGCCTTTGAACGGGGCCAGTCAAGGAATTCAATTACCATTTATGCGGATTTATTGCCCCTGAACCCTGAACTTTGGGTGGCTGTTAGTCATAGTCGGGTGGTTGGTGGTTTTCTGACAATATTTAAAAGTTCATTGCAGTACTCTCTATCAAATTCAGTTCACTCTTTACCCCTTTGTTAAGTTTCCCTTTAAAGTTGTCAAATTTGGAAACCCTTTGCTGCACAATGGACTACATATCCTGGCACCCGCAATAAAAGCTTAATCAAGTAGCAAACACAAAGGCTCCTCCACTGGCACTACAGCCCAAACTCGAACCCCAAACATGTCCCCTTTGTTCTGTAGGTGGAAATGCAGAAAAAACGAACCAAAGGGAAAAATGCTCGAAAAAATTGGAAAAACAATATGGAGAGAGAAGAAGTGAATGGCGATAGAGATGGATATGGGATGGGGTGGTGGAGCGGATGCGCTCGGGGCACGGGGCAAACCTACCGTTCTGCGGTCCGGCGTAGGCGATGATGATGGCCGTCAGCAGGAGTGAGCCGAGTACGATTCCGGCCACAAGGAGGGCCCGCCGCTGGGAGCAGACGGCCACTCCGGTTCGCGTCTGGCGGCCGCCGCTTGATTCGCCACCTGTCCAAAATAAGGAAGGAAATGTAATTAAAATCCGAATAAAACTCATGACTGAGGTGGTGAGTAAATATTTCATTTCTGTGGTCGGAGTCGGAGTCCTTAAAAAAGGCCATCAGTGTTAATATAATACACATATTTGGGAGTTACTTCAATGGTACTTTAATTACTTTTATAAATGACTTCACCCTTCAGAGTCAACTTACCGGACAGAAAGGCACAGTCATCGAGGTCCGGATCATTTGTCATCTCGATTCTCTCGCGACGCCAAATCTTCGAGCCTCTCTGACCCCCGCCGACGACCGAAATCTTAACGGGGCCGGTGTCTCTGTGTCTTCCGGCCAATACGTACGCTTGCTAACCCGTGGCCGTAAATGAAATTTGGATCGAAATCGAAATCGAGAAACCTTTTGGAATCACAACACACACACGCCGCAAATAATTGCCGGGCTATTTGCTCTAGAAATCGAAAATCACAATCACTTTATGACCCAATCCAATCGAGGTCGAACCCTTTGCCAGACACCTCTCCCTCCCATTCAAGGCTTTGGTTTTGAGGACCTGTTCTTGGCAGCAGTCACGTGCTCTTCATATTTTATTAACGATGGAGAAAGGGGTTTGTTCTGATTCTGTTTGAATAGCTTCTCTAAAAGGACTTTTAAGGATCCCAATTTATAAAGGATTACCAACTACATTTCTCAGTAGACTGTATTACTACTGAACCGACCCCATGAACCGACTGCCAAAAATGTTGCGCCATTGACGAGTTGATAATCGAGCAGCCAAAAATATACATACATAATTTATGCAGTCATAGCTCCCACAAATATGTATATTCCTCCCAGGACAGCACTTTCGTTTTGCCGGCACTTCTGCCACCCCCTTGGGCTGGCTGAGCGCCAGACGCTGACGCCCTTCCGGTTCCGTCTAGTCAGACGGCCAGCACCCCCCGCCCGCTGTCTGTGCGGCCGTAAGTCTCTCCGCTAGCCGGGCAGAGTCTGCAGACAGCGGTGCTATTTTCAATGTCGCATTGAATTAGTGAAAAGCGCTTTCAACGCCCAAAAATCAACCCCCAAAATATGTTTTCATCTCCCTCTCGGTCTGTAGTTGCTAATGCCGGCTTTTCTATGGCATTATGTACGTACGTAATGTCCGTATTTGTGTCTGCCTCTGAGGGGCTCTTGAAACTGAAGTTGGCTGCCCGTGGAGCATCATTCAGGCATAATTTTGTGGTTAAGGTTTGTTGGCCAGAACCGAAGCGGATTTAAAGGCGTTCCATAAGGCATTGGAGAATAGCAGAGACGAGAGATAAGGCATAAACCTTAAAGGTCGGCTATGAATCAGAGGTGTTATCTACCAGATTCGAGTCAGTCTATTACTCGTCAATGATAAGGTTTTGAGGCAAGAAAGAAGCTATTATATAATTTTCATACATTTTGAAAAATATTCGCGGAACCCCTTGAAGTATGCAACAATATTTTAAAGAACAATGAAGAGCAGACAAATATTACGTATACGTAACTTATGACAGAACTTCCTTTATTTTATTACTTCCGTTATACTATATACTGCTTATTGCTCATAAAAGGGCCATAAAAATATTTACAGTTTGTATTTCTGCCAAAAATTATCCTGTACGTATATCAAGGTCGTAAAAAGAACGCTTCATGGCTGTCAATAGCATCAAAAAACTACTTATTTCGTATTCTGGTAGTTGTTATTTTCGAAATCTCTCCTTAATGAGGTTAGCTTTTGTTTCTCGATTGTTGTTTTCGCTTTGTTTTCTGCTTCTTCAATTAATGTCAATGTCAGAGCAAGGCCTAATCCTAATTTCCAAGTGGAACGAGACCATGTGAACACGATTGTTGTGGCGAATTGTGTTCCCCTTTGTTTGCTTTCCTCTGCTCCTCACCCCTGCCACCACCTGCTATCCTCACCCTTGCATTCCTGGGCACGCAAGAAGCGTGTTAATGCATATATCACAATTCCATTTCATTTTTGTTTAATGCGGCCGCCTTTACCATTTTGTTTACATTCTCATTTTCCCATTCGCAAAAGCAAAGCAAAAAAAAAAGAAAGCGAAAAAAAATGAAACCTGAAGGAGTCCAGCTCGAAGGACCAAAAGAGTGTGAGAGCAGAGACAGTGTGAGAGCTTGGAAGTTTCGCAGAGAGAGAGAGAGAGTGTGAGAGAGCGTTCTCTCCTGCAGGAGTGTGTGTGTGTTTTGAAAATGAAATGTCAAAATGCAAAAGCTCAACAGCGCGAATTTCCTTAGATGCGTATGTGTGGGTGAGTGTGTGAGCGGGTGAGTGTATAAGTGAATTTCCTGTTTTGTCTTATGCGGCGTTTTCTTCGCTTCGCTTCTCTTCTCTGCCGTTCGCGGCACTCGCTTTGTGACTGCGCGTATATATGTCAATAGTGCGCTTTCCAGTTCGCTCCCCTCATTTCCCTCACTCCGCCCCCTTCTCTCCACCTCAGCCCGCTTCCCATTTCCCATCAGTTCCCAATTCCTACTTTCCACTTCCCCTTTCTGCTTTTCTTTTTTCGCACTTTTCTGCCTTCAGCTGCTCCCTTTTGACTGGTTTTTGTGTTGCCACTTGACTGAATTGCGGTTCTCAGCTGCAGTTGCATTTGCCTTTGGCTTTTGGCCTTTGGCGACAGAGCAGAATCGTTGATTATTCCATTTCACATTGCTAATTGCCAAAAGGATAAAAAAAGCTTGTTGCTATTGCTTTTTCGCGGAGGGGGTTTGCTAGGGGGAGGGGTCTGGCCGAAAAGGTCAATTTCAGCAGATCAATACGGGCATATCCACTAATTAATTTTTTTTCACATCGAACACACCTCACACACGTTTATTGCCACTTTTATTTGCCAATTTGCCTGCTTCGCGTTTTCTGGTCGCTGCTTTCTTTTTCTTCGGCAAAATTTCGCTACTTTTTGTTGCTTTTTTTTCACACAGACACGCACAGCGACAGGACGGGAGGGTGGGGGGGCTGTGGGAACGGCACGCGACGCATTCGTGTGTATGTGTGTGCGTTGGAGAGGAGCTCTTCTTTTCAGAATAAAAACCGAATTCGATTATCCTTTCCGTTCGACTCGCCAGTGTCGCCTGTGTCACGCGCTTTTTGTTGCGTTTGAGTGCGCGTACATTTTCCAACTGGATGCTGCCGCAGCACGACGCCGTGCAGCAACCCTCAGCTTGGAGCATGTAGCACGTAGCATGGAGCAGGGAGCGCGAGATGCGAGGTGGCAGCCCCTGCACTCGCCCGGCGCATGTCCAATCTCTCTTTTTTAGTCTCTCTATGGAGAGAGAGAAAGGAAATTGGGGGAATTCTACTCACCTGCAAAAGTGAAAATGAAATTTCTATGGAGGGCCCTTGTGTTTTGCTATTCTACCTCCCATACTGACCCCTACTGACACCCCCTTTTCTATTACTTTGCAGCCAACAACATTTTTGTTTTGTTTTTTGTTTTGAAATAAAAATAAACCAATAATAAACAAAGGGTTACCCGGTAACAAAATAGTAAAATAGTATAGTATTTTTATAGTTTTTAGAAAAAGTTAGAACTGGTTTCAAAAAGTATTTACAGTATTTTTCATAGAATTCCTCAAAGCCGACATACCCTTGAACTCCCTTTACTATCCAGTAAAAGCGTATTGAAGTGTTGCCAAGCAAACGAAAGCTAGTGGGTATTACAGCAACCCTTAAAAGAGCTCATCCCCCACCCCGATCCGGCCGTTTTCGCCAATATTTGGTGCATGTTGTGCTGTTTATCATGTGTCGTCCAAATACTTCAATCTGGCTGGGTCTCATCATTAGAAGTTCCACCCGTTTAAGGGTGGGCCCCGCTCCCCGACCTTTTAACTTTTGATTTACTCTTGTTTTTACCGAAATCATCAGAAATTTCGTATAATTATTTCGATGACATGCGAGAGAATTTATCACCAGAAGTCGACTCTTTTGTGAGTCGGGGGATGGGACTTTTATGATTCAAATTACGTTCGCCGGTCTCAGGGATTATTGGCGGCCGCCAGATGATAATTTTTGTTGCCTACTTTTCGGTCTCCTTGGCAACTCGGCAACTCGGCATCTGGGATAACCAGAAACAATCAACAAATGGAGCACAAAGCTCAACCGTAAATGGTAATTCTCTTTGCCAAGTTTACCGGCAAATGAAATCTCATACAATTTTGTTTCTCGTTTTCTTGGTTTTCTCGATTTTTTGTTTTTGTTGGCTTTTGTTCCGGCAATGCGACGAAAGTTTCCTTTTTTGTTTGTTGTTTCTCGGTTTTTTTTGGGCGGAGGATACATATAGACGCTATAGAGGATGAAAAACACACCACCGGTTCGCGGTGACTTGTTCGACAACAAAAAATGGGGATGCTCCCCGTCAGACTCAACCTCCCAACCGCCCTGTTTTCTCAGCACCACCCACCCGCCGCGACTCTTCTCAATAAATTCGCCGTCACGTTAGTGTAAAGTTTTTCCTTTGCCGGTTCTGCCTGAATTCTGTTCATTAGGCAGTGCCACGCCTCGTCCAACGCCTCCTGGTGGTTATGCCAGAGCAGGCAAGGATCGTGGAACAAATTAAGATTCGATTATAAAGATGTTTTATAGCCCAAGCGGATGGACGATGTTTATGAAGAAATTAAAGACACATGTCGCGATTCTAAAAAAAAAATTCAGAGACTTCTATATAAATAGACAAAAAATATTTAAGAAAACTCATAGTCTAAAATAGTTCCAATTATTTCTATTTACGCAGAACTAGTGAGCTCTCGAACAAAAGTCATTTCTCACCCGAGTGTTCGATACAATTTACCAGGTTTCCCTTTTCAATTCCGACCCTCAACACAGGAGGTGTGGCGGGCGGTAGGGGTCTGCCACCCCCAAGCCCTGCTAACTGACTTACTCAACATCATGTCCCCCACATTGTCTCTGGCCTCGTTTGTGTCCGACCATTGAGTATTTGCTGTCGCATGCAAATTTACTGGCCGCACTTG